CCCGTTGCCATGGCAACAGCACAGCAGAGCGATTTTGTGGATAAGTCCTGAGAGAAAGGGCAGACACAGATGAGTGTGAAGGTACAGTGAGCCTGAAAGGACATGTAGCTAACAGCTCTCTGGAAGGACTCACAGCTCAGTGCTCTCTGGAAGGACTCACAGCTAGTGCTCTCTGAAAGGACTCAGCTCAGTGTGGTGGTGCACTACAGTTTGGAACACAGGCACTCAGCTTGTCTCCTGCTGTCTCCAAGAGGCTGGCATGTGCCCAGTTGAGGGGAGGGTCTTGCCTTTGAAGCCACTGTAGGGTTCAATGATGCTGGAACAAGACCTGAAAACAGTGCGGGAGTCATGCCCACACCTCCTTCCTTATCTCTCCTCTTGGGTTCCTATGCTCTTAGTCCTGTCAGCAGGACAATGCCAGCCTCGAGAAGAGACCTTTTTGATTTTATGCAGGAAATAACTCCTGTGAAGCTTCCCTAATTCCATCCACATCAAATCATTAGAAATCTAGAAGGAAACAGGCAGGTGAGTTAGCTGAGCTGCCCAGGAACCCTCTCTGGGGAAACCTGTGACCCCCAGGCCTCGTAAGTTCCCACGGACTGTTGCTTCGTTGGGGTTTTATTGATCTTCAGAGGTCAAGTTTATCTCTATTATACTCCCTGCTTCATCAGATTGAAATCCTTATCCTGGATAAGCAACACATGGCGTGTCCTGCATCTTCCGGCGTCTCAGGGGCTAGGGAATTCTCCTTCCTCCCACCTTGACAGACCCTCTAAAAAGTGCCTTCTTGCTCTGAGACCCTGAAGCAGGCTTCCATCTCATTATGATTTATTGTAGCTGCCAGGCACAGTGCTGGGCAGCAGAGGGCCCGAGGGATTCTGAACCCAAATGGGGACAATTAAAAATTTAATATAATTTGAGAAATGTTATCTCAAGGCAAGTAAGTTTTTGGGGAAAGGAAATTACTGGGGCTGGAGAGAGTAGAGAGGATAAAGAGGATAAGACACTTGTATGAGGATGACCTGGTTTGATCCCACAGTACTGGGCCCCCTGAGCAGGAATCACCCCTGAGCCAGGAGTAAGCCCTGAGCACTGAGGGTGGTGGCTCCCCGCCAAAAAAAAAAAAACGCACTGAAATGGACACCCTTGGTCTGTGACTCTGCAGACTCCCTGTTCCCGTTACAGTGGCTGGAAGGGTCTAGAGCAGTGCTGAGCCCAGTCTCTGACACGTGTCACAGTGCAGGGTCCCTTTGCTAAGCCTTGTGGGCTGGGAGGGGACAGTCCCTTCATATGGGAGCGCCTATTGCCGTCTTTGGAGTCAGAAACCACGTGTCACTTCTGTCCTTTGGAACCGGGCCATCTGACTGCATCCCACTGAACTCAAATTTCTCCCGAGTTTCAGAGAATAGCTTTCAGTACCCGCAACACTTCCGCCATAAGAACATCACTGGTGTCCCCCCTTTGCAGGTCACAGCCCACCTGCTTGCCAGAGGCCCCTGAGGCCTCTCAGCCATGGCTCAGGCAAATGCTTATGTGGGAGGATTGCCTGGTGCTGTCCCTTCAGGCAGTCCTGGTGGTCCTTGGCCCCATTCCTGGCTGCACTACCCAGGGGCCCCTCCTCCTGGCACGCCCTCCCCAATTCCCCACTGCTGCACTGCTCCATCTGTTCTGGCTCCTCATGACCCCTTGCTCTGTGCCTTTTCCTTCAGCCCCAAAGGCCACCCACTAGCACCACTGCTAGTGCTCCTGAGTTTGTACCCAAGGTGAGGGTCAATGGCATCAGAGCCATACTTGAAAATGGGTCTGGAGACAGCACTGGGGGTGGACGGGCTATCCCCGCTGGGTCCCTGCAGGCCTGCACATGCTCCTGTGATGGGAACATGTGTCAACACTCCCACGGAGAGGGGCCCGTGGGCAGCCACAGCCGTGCTGGTATTTGGAGAGGAGCATCCTGGGACCCTCCAGTCCTTCTGGAGTGCCTGATTCAAACGTGTCATGTGGGCTTAGGATCGGACTCGACTGGTCCCTACATGGCACCCCTGCTTCAGCGTCCCCACCACCCTCACCCTGCTCAGCATCCCCCATCCATCCTCACCCCTGTCTCAGTGTTCCTACCACCCTCACCCCTGCCTTAGCATCCCCACCACTCTCACCTCTGCCTCAAAATCCCCCACCTACCCTCACTTCTGCCTTAGCGTCTCTCACTCACCCTCACCCCTGACTCAGTATCCCCCACCCACCTCACCCCTGCTTCAGCATCCCCACCACCCTCACCCCTACCTCAGCATTTCCCACCCACCCTCATCCCTGCCTCAGCGTCCCCACCCACCCTCATCCCTCCTCTGCATCCCTCCCTGAGCCCAGGGGCACCCCCAGGACATGTGTGGCTGGGCCCTGGGAGAAGATGCCTCCAAGCATCTTCTCTGTGTACTTCACATTCTAACTGTGCTTTTCCCTTCTAAATTGGGAGAAGCCTCCGCCCCCAGCGTTCCGGGGAGTGAGATGGATGGGCACCATCTCACTTTTGAAAGTGACATTTATTCTGTGATTCAAGAAGCAAGGGTGGTGGGAATAAATAACCGGGAGCTGATCACAGATCAGACTTTATTAATAACGTGGCAGTGGGAACGTGAGTGCTTAGGGGTGTGGTGGGAGGCTGGGGGTGCCTGGCTGGTTGTGAGGGAGGCAGAGGGACATATCCCTGGAGTCCTCGTGCCTGGAGCCAGAGCCCTCCCTCCCCCTGCACCTTTCCTTACCTACCTTCTGCTGTAACCTGCACGCTCAAGAACATGAAGAAGCACATGGAGGAGGCTGCAGCGGATTCCTGGGGTTGAGTAGCTGGGTCTTCCAAGGGCGTCTTTATTTTAGATATTTACTTTTGTTTTTTGGGCCACATGCGGCGATACTCAGGGCTTATTCCTGGCTCTGCACTCAAGGGTCACTCCTGGCAGTGCTCAGGGGATTTTACGGGGTTCCCGGATATCAAACCCAGGTAAACTGTATGCAAAGGCAAGCACCCTCCCCACTGTAATATCTCTCTGGCCGCAATCCTCAGTGTATTTTAAACCTTTCATTGAAACTTACATTGTGGTGCAAGGGTCTTGCCCAGGATTGAACCCCAGGCCTTGTACGTAGTACACCTGTGATTTCCTACTGAGTTCCATTCCCCACCCCACCCCCAGTCTTCTACTGGGTCTGATCTGCGTTTTGAACTTGGATTCCAGGGCAGGAATCTGGTAGCCGCCTTGTGACCTAGAGGGTAGACAGGACTCTTCAGTGGTGCTCACATGGCAGGCCCAGCAGGGGGAATGAAGGCAGGAAAGCAAAGCATCAGGCCTCTGGTTCTCAGCCTAAATATGCCTGGAACCCTCTAGTGTTTTCCCCAAAGTCCTGAGGCCCTCATCCCACTTCAGAATTGGGGGAGGGGCTGGGAGCTGAGAGCGTGGAGTGCTTCTGGGGAGAGAGGGGAGTGCCTCTGTCCAAGACTGGTCCTGAGCTGCCCGCTGCTGCTCTGAGCTCCAACAATCAGGGACGGAGAGAGCTTGGTTCCCAGGTCCAGAGGACACAGATCACACTGGTGGGTGAGCCATGAACAGAGAAAGAACAGATGAGCCCCCAGGTGCAAGCTCCCAGGTGCAGCTGGCAGTGTCTGGGAAAGGGGTGTGTGCTCAGGCTCTTCCTGTTGGAGAAGCCTCACTTTAACTAGAGTCAACTCTCCCAGCTTCCGGCTGTGGGGACGGTCTCCCTTCCATGGCGACCCCACCTGTCTCCTGGGCTGAAGTCACATGGTACCCATTGTCCTATTGCAGAAGGCCCTGTGCCAGGCTCTGGCCTGTCCTGGACGTTCACCTGGAGAGGCCCACTACCCCCCCCCACTACCACACACACACACACACACACACTCAGTTGCAGAGTGTCCAGTTCAAACCCTCCCTGCCGCCCTGTTCCCTCATGTCTAACACACTTGACTGCCACCACCCCAGAAGACCATTCCATCATTTAGTTGAAGAAATGTCTACACCTTCCCGAAAACTGCTTCCAGAAACAGGCAAAGAGCAGCAAGTGCGCGTGCAGAGGGGTTAAGGGGCTGAGCTGGCACGCAGCAGCTAATGGGCTTTGCCCCTGGCACCACGTGGGTCCTACCAGGGCACTGTCCGGGGTGAGCCCTGAGCACCGCTGGTGTCGTTGTCTTGGCCCAAACGGGCAAGGAGCAGAGTGTGGGGCGGGGCGGGGCGCTGTTTTCCTTATTCCTGAAAAGACACCCGCCTGGCAGGGCCCGAGGCCGTGGCGCGGGGCGTGCGCCCGGGGAGAGGGAAGTGGGTGTCCCTCGGTGTCTCCGATCCTGCTGGACCTACCCAGAACCCCGTCCCCCCCGGCCCGGGCGCCAGGGTGCGCGCGTGTCGGGGAAGGGACACTGCAGGCTCGTGGCTGGCCCCCGGGACTGCCCTCTGCGGCAGGGGCTGCGCGCTCCCCGCGCCGGCGCCCGTGCGCGCCCTCCCGGTGCCGCATGCGGGCGCTGTGACGTTCCCGGGTAAATGCCGAGCAACTGTGTAGGCGAGCGCGAGCTAAAAATAAGAGCGGAAAATCTATCATTAAGGTATCATTGCGCCAGCGCAGCTATTCGCAGGCTCCCATGGTCCCCGGCGCCTGCGTTTGAAGCCGCCTTCGGCTTGGGGGTGGGGGCGGGGGGATTTGCAGCAAACTCGCAGCAGCGGCTCGGCAGCCAGACCTCGGGGCGCAGGGGGCGGCGCCGGCAATAACAGCAACACTCAAAATAAAATAAGCTCCTACCCCCACCCCCGCCCCACCCCCGCGCCTCGCCGTGGTCTTCCGATCGCCCGGGGGCCGCGGGAGGGGCTGGAGGCCGGCGCTCGGGGCCCAAGGAGCGCGCTCTCGCGGGGGCTGGCCGGGGCTGGCCCCCCGCCTGCCCGGCCCGCGCGGCTGAGCACCGAGCGCCGGGGGCGTGCGGGCAACCCGACCCCCCCGGCTCCCGCGGCCCCGTAGCGGGGGCAGGTCGGGCCGGCGCGCGCGCGGGAGGAGGAGGCGGCGCCGCCGTGCGCCCCGCGCGCGTGTGTCCCCGCCGGCGCCGCGGGAATCGGCTCTTCGAGGGATCGCGTCACATGACTCCGCCTGCCCCCGGCCAGCGCGCAGCTCGCCGGCCCCAGCTCCCGGGCCCGGGCGCCCAGCGGCCCCCCCGGAGCGCGGCGCGCGGCGCGGCGCGCACGGACCGGGCTGCGGGCTGCGGCGCGGGGACGATGTGAGCGCGCGGGCTCGCGGGCCTCCGAGCACCATGCAGAAGGGGATCCGGCTCAACGACGGCCACGTCGCGTCGCTGGGGCTGCTGGCACGCAGGGACGGCACGCGCACCGGCTACCTGAGCAAGCGGAGCTCGGACAACACGAAATGGCAAACCAAGTGGTTCGCGCTGCTGCAGAACCTGCTCTTCTACTTCGAGAGCGACTCCAGCTCGCGGCCCTCGGGGCTGTACCTGCTGGAGGGCTGCGTGTGCGGCCGCGCACCCTCCCCCAAGCCCGCGCTCTCGGCCAAGGAGCCGCTGGAGAAACAGGTGAGCCCCCCCCCCCCCCACCACCACCACCGGGTGCGGGGCGCGGAGGGCCGGCGGCGGCGCTCGGGAACGCGCCCCCCGCCCCCGCGGGGTACCCCGCACCTCGCCCCTCCCCGCCCCGCGGGGGCCGCGACTCCGGCTCCCCGTCTCGCCGAGTTGGAGCGCGGGGTGGGTGGGTGGGGGCGCCGGGGTCGCTGCGTGCCGCCGGCCCCGCTGCGGAGGCCCCCGCCTCCCCCCGCCGCGCGCTGCAGCCCAGGCCGCCAGCCGGGCCTCGTTCCCGGGTCTGCGCGCCGCGGCTCCCCGGGCCTCTCCGGACCCCCGCTCGTCGCCATCCCCGGGGAAGCTGCGTGTGCGTGTGCGTGTGCGCGCGCGTGTGTGTGTGTGTGTGTGGTGGGGCGCGCTGCCGGGCAGGGCCGGCCGGGGCGAGTCTGTGCCCTGTCTCGGACCCAGCGCCGGGCCGGCAGGTCGGGCAGGCGGAAGGGCCGCCCAGGCCCCTCGGACGGCCACGCAGAGAAGGCGGGTCCCGCGCGGGGAGACGGGGCCTCCGGGGTGCGTGTTGGGAAGACACATGCCTGGCATGTGTGCCCGCAGACGGCGCAGCGCAGTGGACGGCCGGCTCGGGGCTGGGCCACGGGGCCCCTGTCGCCGACCCTGCCCGGCGGCGAGCGGCGGGGGGCGCTGGCCCCGGGTGCAGGCGGGACCCACCCACGGGCACCCTTTCCGTGTTCCCCCCTGACCCTCGACTCCGGGCATCCCGCCCGAGCGACCCCCGACTCCCGGTCCCTGGCGCCCTGTCTCTGGGTCCCGGTAGTGCCCGCACAGTCCCCTGGGGCTGACCGGCCGGCAGCCGCGGGCGAAGCTGCCCACAGCCCCTCAGGGGCGTCCGCCTGAAGTTAGCGCGAAGCCACAGGCCCCCTCGCCCGCCCGCCCGCGCCCTGACAGAGGGGCTGGGGGCCCCCGGCCCAAGGGTTCCCGAGCGCCCGCGAGAGGGGCCGGCGCTGCTGAGGGACTGGCCGGCGGCGGCCCAGGCTCGGCCCGCGCCTCAGACTCTCCTCAGCCGCCCGCAGACGCCCCGCAACGCGCGGCCTCCGACCCTCCGCGGAGCAGAGCCCGGCCGCAGAGTGGGCGGGGCGCGGGCCGGCCGCGGGCTCTGATTGGCGGAGCCGGGCGTCCGGCTGTCTCCAGCGCCGAGCGCCGCGGCCAGGCGCAGCCCGAGGCAGCGGGAGAGGGGTCGCGCCTCTGGGGCCGCCCAGGCGTTAATCTGGGAGAGACTCCACGCGAAGCGGCTGCGCAGCCTGTTCTGCCTTTCTTCCTCGGTGGGGTCGCCTCAGAGGGGGTAGAGACGGCCTGTTCAGGGGTGTGGGAGTTGGGGGTCAGGGAAGGTGGAGGTCGGAGGGTGTGCGGGTCAGAGGGCGTGCTGCCTGTTGCCCCGCGGGTGCTACGAGGCTCCTCCTCCTCCCTGTCCAGTGTCACTCCAGCACCTGTGGTCTTCTGCTCTCTAGCACTTTGTCCCACTAACAACCCCCCCCCCCACAAGCCTGGTGTCAGCAAATACTTGTGGACTTGTCAGCAGCCCAGAGGTACCCAGCCAGGTCACACAGGGGTACAGACAACTGGAAAGACAGGCTGCATGAGGTGTTGGGGACCCCTGGTCACCCTGCTCGCTCCTGGGCTGAGGGGCAGAGCACTGAGCAATGTCAGTGTCAGGCCCTGAGTGTTGCTGGCTGCCTGCCCTGTGGCCAGGACTCAGGGGTGACCGGCGGAGATGTGGGAAAGAGCAGCCTGACCACACCAGCTCCCTCACAGCACCAAGACAAGCTCGGGCCCTCCCTGGTGGCTTGGTGGGAAAGGCCCTGAGACTCTGCCCGTCAGGCCTAGGAGCACCCTGAGAGCACGAGCTTATCCTGGCTGCTTGCAGTATCCTCAGGAGGGAGCTTGTGCCAGGCCAGCCAGGCTACCTTCCTACTCTTGCTGTTGCTGCTAACCACGCTATACAGGCGCCCTCCTGGCAGCACAGAAAGGACGATGCCAGAGACCACCCCAGGGGTCCTGAGGGGCAGGGGGGGGCCTCAGAGGCTCCATCTGGTGTTGGTTCCTTTGAGTGACTGCGTCTCCAGGGGCCAGGTTTGGTGACTAGAGGCTCTGTTGGCATTTTGTCTGCAACCCAGCTCTGTTTCCTAGGAAACAAGGGAGAGATTGGAGCTGTAACATGCACATGCACGCGCACACATGTGTCCATGCATACACACATGCACATAGTGCTCACATGTAGAGATATGTGGTTATACACACATGCCTACAGACCTGCTCACCTGTGTCTACACATGTGTTCCATACATACTCACACGTTGAGTGCACAGCAGGCATGTTCACGGATGCACAGGCACACACATGTGCATACACTGCCTGCCACGGGATCAGCAACAGCAGAAACGCAGCCTCGTTGGCAGAAGCTAAGAATAGCTCTGTGCTGCTGTGCCCAGCATGGCCACCGAGGGCAGAGGGATGGGGTCAGTGCCCGCCACATGGCCACGTGGGTCCCTGTGCATCTCCTAAAGCTGTGGGTGGGGTTGGCTCTGCACCCCAGTTGGCCCTTGCCCCAGTTCCATCAGAATTCTTCTGCGCACCCCCTGCTCCGTCAGCAGCCCCACGCTTCTGCCCTCCCTCCCACAGCCTGTCCTGTTCCAGCTCCTCCACGGTCAGTCCAATTCTAGCCAGAGCATGGCTGTCTGTATAACTCACTCTTCCCCTGGAGCCCTGCCCCTCTAATGACCCCGTCGGCTCCCCTCCCTACAGCCCTGCCCCTCTGAGGACCCTGTCAGCTCCTCATTCTTGCTCTGGCACACACTGCTCTGCCAGCTGACCTGGGTTCCTCTGCCCACAGCATTACTTCACAGTCAATTTCAGCCATGAGAACCAGAAGGCCTTGGAGCTGAGGACTGAGGATGCCAAGGACTGTGATGAGTGGGTGGCTGCCATCGCTCATGCCAGGTATGGCCCAGCTCCATCGGTTGAGCCCTGGGGGCTGGGGAGTCTCAGATCCAGGGTACAGGGATGAGGTAGGTACTCCCATACTGGCTTGGCCTTTACTGGAGGTCATTCCAGGTGGTCAGCATTAGCAGTGTATTCTAGGCAAGTGTAGCGTCAGGACACAGGCATCATGTAGAAGGGCTGTGGGCATAAGGTGGGCATCATGCGGCTTCACTTGGGCAGCAGGCCCTGGCCAAGACTCCTCCTCTGCATCATACTGGGTGTCCTCCGGGGAACAGGGAGGCAGTGTGTCACACGTGTCCTGGTGTCCACAGCTACCGGACGCTGGCCACAGAGCATGAGGCTCTGATGCAGAAATATCTGCACCTGCTGCAGATTGTGGAGACAGAGAAGACAGTGGCTAAACAGCTGCGGCAGCAGATTGAAGACGGGGAGATTGAGATCGAGAGGCTGAAGGCTGAGGTCAGTGGCACTGCGTATAGGGCCCCAGACCCACATGAGGCACCAAAACGTGCATGTGACATGTAATACACATGACACCCAAACACACACATGGCACTGGGCCCATATGAGCCACCCAAACCCACACGTGACATATAATACATGTGATCAAACCCACATGTGGTGCCCAGGCTCATAGTATGAGATGGATGTGGCATCAGTGATGTGTCATGACATCAGACCCACATGTCACCCTGACCCACACATCAAGTACATCATGCACACTGCACTCAGACTGCCAGATAGCATGTGATTCATGAGCATGCCCTGCTGCCCTGGGCCTCCACCCTATCCATGCACATGTTGGGTCCTGGGTTCCCCTGTGGGTGTCACTGAAGATGTGGGGTGGGGCTTAGGCTCAGGTCTGAGTCAGATCCCACTGTCCCCAGAGCAGGTCCCCAGTATCGAGTACTGCTGACTGAAGTGCCCGTCCCCAGTAGTTTGTATGGGTGCAAATGTGTATATGTGTAAGTTTGAACATGCATGTGAGTGTGAATGATACATTAGTAGTTTGCATGGGGGGATGTACACAAGTGTGGGGTGTGTCCATCAGTGTGTTTGTGTGTATGAGTGTGCATGAACATGGACACAAGGGTTGTGTGTGAGTTTGAGTGTGTGCACACATGTGTGCTGATACCCTCATGAGTCCTGACCATAGGCCGGCAGCTCCACAGAGTCACTGTCAGCACTGCATGTTGCGAGACACTGATTCCCAGAGGCCTCTGCATCTGGCCTGTGCCAGCGTCTTCTCCTGCTGCAACTGCCTTCAACTTCTGACTCTGCCTGCATCGTGCCTGCTTGCTGGGGTTGCATGGCTGCCTGGGTCCTGGGAATTCAAGATGATACAGGCATAGTGCATCACAAGGACCTCAATTGTTTTTAAAGCACAAAGGCCAGGTTCTCTCGCACAATGTGTACAGTATTGTCAGCCAGAGCCTCAGAAACTGGGACTGCCCTGACACCATGGCCATGGCCAAGAAGCCCCAGGACTCAGGCAGGAGCCAGAGTCCAGGACACCTGATGACCCACTTCCAGAGCCTCTTCATGCCACACAGAGCTGGACAAATGCAGAATCAGGGACATCAGGGTCACCATCCTCAGGCTTCTTGTGGCCCAGTGTGGATTTCTCACCAGCCTCTCTGCACACAGACCTCTGGGACTTAGAACTATGAGCACATGGAATCATGAATACATGGGATTCTCTATAATATGAGACCCTGAGCAACCTGGGATCCTGTACACATGGGATCCTCTACAAAATAGAGTCCTGGACAACACGGGAACCTCTATAACATGGGACCCTAAGCAACATGAGATCCTGTACTGATGGGACCATGGACAACATGGAACCCTGGAAACATGGAATCCTCTATAACACAGAACCCTGAGCAACATGGGATCCTATACACACAGGATCCTCTACAACATGGGATCCTTGGGAACTTCTGTAACATGGGACCCTGGAAATCATGGGATCCTCTATAACATGGGACCCTGAACAACATGATATCCCATACACCTGGGACCCTGGACAAATGGAATCCTGGACTACATGAAATCCTCATAATATAGAACCTGGACTACATGGAATCCTCTATAACATGAAACCCTGGACAACACAGGAATCCTATGTGCATGGAATCCTCAATAACCTGGGACGCTGGCCAAAACAGAATCCTGGACAGTGTGGAATTCTGTATACATGGGATTCTTTATAACACAGGACCCTGGACAACATGGATCCTCCAAAACACAGAACCCTGGACAACATAGGATTATATAATGGGACTCTGGACCACATGTACTTTGTACAATGTGAGGACTTTAGGGGAGCAGCCCCCTGAACGTGTTTCTGTGCCAGGTGGGAAGGCTAGTGTGAAGTGGCCAGTAGGTTTAACTGGTGTGACACTAGCCAGGCAGGTGCCAGAGTGGGCATGAAGCTGGCATGCTGCCACATGCATGGCTGGGGGAGTTGTGCCAAGGCTGTCACACTATTTAGCCATCGTTGGAGATGCCATCCCAGTGAGCGGGTTCTAAGCAAGCCCAGAGCAGAACCGTGGGCTGGGGCCAGGTCTCTTGGGCCCCCTTTGCTGGATTCTACACAGGGCTCAGGCTGCAGCCACCTCTGAGGAACTCTCCACTCGCTGCTGCTGCTCTTGCATCTAGGACAGACCTGCCAAAGGAACAGCTTCATCTCAGAACCAGCAGTCTCCACTCTCTCACATTATACCCCAAAGAGAAGCGTGGCAGTGAGAGCCCTGCTCAGAGCTCCCAAGGAGGGAGCCTCGTCTGGAGGGATAGTGGCAGACCAGGGGCACCCCATGTCTAGTTCTTAAGAGGTCACGTGTGCAACTATGCATGCATGATTGTGTCCACACATGTGAACATGTGTATTATGCCTGCCATGCACATCTTATATGCCTGTGTTCATGTGTCTGCATGTTCCTGCACACATCTGTGTGCACGTGTACCTGTGTGTGCACGTGTGTTTTATGCATGCGTGTGATATTATGTTGTATGTGTGGACTCTTGTCTGTGTGTTTGTGAATATGTGCATACTGCATTGCCTGGTGTGCGCACAGGCCTGTATGCATCCATCTGCAGGCTCCGATCAGGGAAGCATCTATATTCAGTGTGCAGATGTTGTTAGCTACAGGCTGGAGGGGCAGGAGGAGAGTGGAGCCTGAGTGCTTCTTGGCTAGATATTTTCAGCCACTCTTGGGCACAGCTGGGTAATTTTAGCAAGCGAGGAGTGGAGAGTGCTAACTGCTCCACTTCGCCTTCAGAGTGCTCTTGCTCTGCTCGATCGCAAGGCCCATTCATTCTGGCCCAGGCACGGCCTCAGGAAGACATGGCTGTGTGCTCTGGATGGGTGACGGCTCCGTGGCTGCTCCTTTGGTGGGGTTTTGTGCTGCTCAGGTTTTTGTGGGGTGCCCAGTGCCTCAGCACCAGCCTGTGACCACTTCCAGGGCTCCCACAGTGGGGACAGAGCTTTTGTATGAGACAGAAAGAAGGTTCTCAGGATGCAGAGAGAGTCTGTACCCGAAAGAGTGCGGAGGGTTGTGGACCTGTGCTCAAGTTCACGTGGGTATCTTCTACTGCTGCAGCTTCACCACTTTATTCATCGATCCCCTGGGGTCTGGGAGAGAAGCCCAGACTGAGCCACCACACAGGGAGCAGCTGCCGTCCAGACCATGTAGATGGTTCTGGCCCAGCGCCACCAGTGACCTCACACAGGGCTGAGACCTGCCACCTGGGCCCAACACACACCTGTGCTCCCTCATAGCTGTCACTCCCTCACACACCTGTGCACCCCGCACCCACCTGTGACCCCTCACACCTGTGTATTCCTCATCCTTCAAACACCTGTGACCCATGACCCGCTGAGCGCTCATGCACACACGCACACACATACACGTGTTCGCCCCTCATGCACCTTTGTGCAGAGGGCAGCCCTGGAGCTGACCTGGCTTCTGTCATAGATTGCATCCCTGCTGAAGGACAGTGAGCGCACCCAGGCCACCCAGACTGTCACCCCCAGCGATGAAGACAGTGACATCAAGAAGATTAAGAAGGTGTGTGCCTCTCTGGGTGCAGAGACCCCAGCTCCTGCTCTTCCCCTGGCCGCCTTCCCTCTGGGGTCCCCGCAGACCCTGATGCTCAGCCTGGCAGCTCCTGGAGTGCAGGGGTATGCTGGCACACACGCTTGTGTGGTAGCCAGAGTAGTAGAACTGGAGCCCACAAGGAGAGGGAAGGAGACCCCGCCATGCCAGCAGAGGGACGCCCGCTGGGCCGTCCACGCCACGGCCTGCTGTCACTGGTGACATGTGCCAGTGTTTCAGAGCTAAACATTTATTGGAAAAACCTGGATTTCTGGTTTCTCAAGCACAAATTTGTGGACAGCCTCCGCTCTGCCCATGGGCGGACGCTGCTCCTGCTCCTAATAGAACCTCTGAGCTCTGGGCACCCCCTACCTATCGTGGGTGAAGAAACTGAGGCATGGAAGTCCACGTGTCCGGGCCCCTCATGTGAGCACTCACAGACTGACCCAATTCCCACACCTGACTCCACCTCCTCTGGCCCCCCAATCGTAGCAGCTCCTGCCAAAGCTGGGTCAAGGGTGCAGAAGCGAGGCGGGCAGGCCTTGTCTCGCGTCTGCCCGGTGGCCTACCAAGGGGCCAGGCGGGCTCTGACACAAGCCCCGGCCCAGGTCCAGAGCTTCCTGCGAGGCTGGCTGTGCCGGCGTAAGTGGAAGAGCATTATCCAGGACTACATCCGCTCGCCGCACGCTGACAGCATGCGCAAGCGCAACCAGGTGGTGTTCAGCATGCTGGAGGCCGAGGCTGAGTACGTACAGCAGCTGCACATCCTGGTCAACAACTTCCTCCGTCCCCTGCGCATGGCCGCCAGCTCCAAGAAACCTCCAATCACGCACGATGATGTCAGCAGCATCTTCCTCAACAGGTGAGCCCAGGGCCAGCAGGTGTGGACCTCTCCCATCCCTGACTACCCCTATGGTCACAGGATGCTGGGTCACCCAGGCCAGGGAGACCCAACATCCCTGGGGTCATGTCACCATAGTCTGTCCTGCCACCAGCAGCAGGCTCCTCTACCATGCAAAAGTCTGGCTCTTGGCTTGGAGCTGGGGCGTGGCCTTCGTGTCCCCTTCTAAAGGGACTGTTAGGGTGCAGGATGGGTGGGGTGCCAGACTTGGCTTTCCCCTAGGGTCCCCGTCCTCTGAGACCCCGTGGGGCCCCCTTCAGGTGGGTACGAGCTGGATCTGCCCTGTGGGCCCCTCATTCTCTGATATGTTCCGGGGGCTAGTATGGCGGAGGGAAGGTGTAGGACACTCTCTGTTTCAGTGAGACCATCATGTTCCTGCACCAGATCTTCTATCAAGGCCTGAAGGCCCGCGTCTCCAGCTGGCCCACGCTGGTGCTGGGTGAGTGCCTGCTGGGTGGCAGTGCTGGGCCTGCTTGAGCGCCCTGTGCAGAGACCCCACAGGGAGCAGAGCAGACGGTGCTCCGGAAGGACTTTTGGGAAAACCTCCAGGAGTAGAGAAGTACGCCTATCCTCCCATCCCTGGCTTCCTGCTTGGACCTCCCTGGGTAGTTCCCCACTACCAGCATCTATAGACACTCAGGGGAGGGCCCCTACCTGTGTCAGGGGTAGAGGGCAGAAGGCAGGGGGCATGGCTTAGAAGTTTTGAGCAGACAGAGCCTGTGGCCACCTCAGTGACCTTTTCAGCGTGCCCAGGGACAGCCTTTCCCTGACTCCACAATGAAACATGCTCAGGTCTGATCACTTGGCCGAGCAGACAGGACACACCAGCTGGGCCTACGCTGGCACCCACATGGAGGGACAAAGGGCAGAGCTAGGCAGGCTGAGGAAGGAGTCACCTTAGTACACCCACTGGGGAAGATCCCACCAGTTCCCACAGCAGCAGTTTGGGGGCCGGGGCCTGCTGAGACAGTCACTGGGCTTCGACCCTGATGGTTCCCAGGTGAGGCCCTGGTGCCTGTTGTCACCCACCTCTGACCTAAGTGCAGGCCAGGGACTCGGCCTGATCCGCCATCAGGGCTGGGCCTCTGGTCCTCTCTGGGATTCCCTGGGGCTCCCTGGGGTTCTCTGGGCTTTCCTGGACCTCCCTGTGCCTCTCTGATCCTCCCTGGGCTTCTTGGCGGGTTGAAGCAAGGCTTATGGACCTCTGGCCGCGCTGACCCTGGCCTCCTTGCAGCCGACCTGTTCGACATCCTGCTGCCCATGCTCAACATCTACCAGGAATTCGTGCGCAACCACCAGTACAGCCTGCAGATCCTGGCACACTGCAAGCAGAGCCGCGACTTCAACAAGCTACTCAAGCACTATGAGGCGAAGCCCGACTGTGAGGAGCGGACGCTGGAGACCTTCCTCACTTACCCCATGTTCCAGGTGAGCCCCCAGGGAGCGGGGCGGGCTCCTCCTGTACCCCAGATGCTGCCCAGACAGGCCCCCAAACAGAGAAAGGGTCTGTTTCCCCATCTCCCCCATCTCTGCCCCCCACGGCTCCTCCCCACGCTCCGACCCGCTCTCCCCCGCCCCCTAGATCCCCAGGTACATTCTCACGCTGCATGAGCTCCTGGCCCACACACCGCACGAGCACGTCGAACGCAACAGCCTGGACTATGCCAAGTCCAAACTGGAGGAGCTATCCAGGTGAGCCCCCACACCCCAGGAGTTTGGTTCCAAGCGAGGGGGCTCAGCTTCACCTCCCACAGTGCAACCCCAGGTGTCCATCCTGATGCAGCTCTAGCTCCTGGGGTCCTGCCACAGCCCCTCTTCACAGGTGCCAGGTCTGACTGGGACCCCACATGGACCTGTCCTGGGCTTACACTTCACACGTCTGCTGGAGCAAGCGGGGGGGCCTCAGCCAGGCTACCCCATTCTCACAAAGTGTGTTTGCAGGGTCCCTTGTTTCATCAAGGTTTCAGCATGGGGCTCTCCCACAAGGTAACTTTGGAGTCACCCCTTTTCACAGGCAAATCTAAGAGACACCCGGTGACGAAAAGAAACCCCCCAAATCTACTCAGCGTTGCCACTTGCAGGGCAGCTTCTGTGGCTGACTGAGGGCTCCAAGCCTGCCCTCTGGGTCTCTGGGTCCTGCCCGGTCACAGCCTGGCCTGGAAGTGACCACGCAGGTGTCCTGCACCAGCAGCCGTGCTTCACGGCAAATGCTTGCAGGCCCTCCTGGTGTCCAGAGGCTCCATGCAGTCCTAGAAACCTGTCCCTTCTCTGTGTCCTCCTTTCCCTGTTGTGTGGGTTGGTCTCAGATCATGCACTTCTAGCTCTTAAAGGTGAGGTCACAGTGTCCACAGAGTCATTCCCCTTCCTGGCTCTTGCTGAGCTCTGGAAACAGCTTCCAGGGCTTGGCAGGGACATGGTGTCTCCCCACCAACCCCCCAAAAGGCTTCCTGTCCCCACAGGATAATGCACGACGAGGTGAGTGAGACTGAGAACATACGGAAGAACCTCGCCATAGAGCGTATGATCATCGAGGGCTGCGAGATCCTACTGGACACTAGCCAGACCTTTGTCAGGCAAGGTATGCCCACAGGTATATCGTAGGGCTCAAGCAGGCCCCCTTGAACACACACACACACACACACACACACACACACACACACACAGATACTGAGCACGCCCAGGTACTTCTGAGCACATATGAGTGCCCTGAGCACTCCTAGAGCACACATCGGTGCCCTGAACACCCACGGGTACTCCTTAGCAAGCGCAGCAGGAGGCTGTGGATAGTGCTGGCTGCTCAGCAGGCATCTCCTGCAGGCTCCCTCATCCAGGTCCCCATGTCTGAGAAGGGCAAGATCACCCGCGGCCGCCTGGGCTCATTGTCCCTGAGGAAGGAGGGTGAGCGGCAGTGCTTCCTCTTCTCCAAACACCTCATCATCTGCACCAGGGGCTCGGGCGGGAAGCTGCACCTCACCAAGGTAAGCCTGGTGGGCACCCATGGCACGTGCAAGAGGAGCCGGGGATCTCAGGAGCATACCCACTTCACTCACTGTGCCACTCCCTGGGCAACCCTGGCATGGACTCAGGCTGACCCCCTGGAGTCTGGCGCAGGTAGCAAAGCCCTGGGGTCTGAAAGCTTTGACCCCATCGGCTGGGGTGGGCCTGGGGTGAATTTCAGTCTTAGCACCCAGGAGACAACCCCAACAGCCACCTGGACCCCGGTTGCTTGTCTGAGTGTTGGGGTGCAGCATGAAATGAGGTAGCTCCTTGGCTGCACAGCCCCTCTCTACCTTGACCCTCGTGATCTAAGGCTCCCACCTTTTCAGAATGGGGTCATATCCCTCATCGACTGCACCTTACTGGAGGAGCCAGAGAGCACCGAGGAGGAAGGTGGGTGTCAAGCAGGTGTGTGTGCTCACCCTTACTCTCACACACTCTGACACTCACATTCATTCACTCAGAGACACACTTAGACAATCAGGCATTCAGACTCACTCTGTGCTACTCACACTCACACACTCACACTCAGACATTCACACTCACTGTCAGATACTCATGCATTCACACTCAGACACATTCACTCTCATACTCTCACAGATACTCAGAGACACTCTCATACACTCACATTCAGACAGACACTCGTGCTCACACATTCATACTCCCATGCCATGCGTTTATACCCATACATACCCACCCGTACATTTATACAGTCACACTCACATTTGCACACACACTCTACACTCACACTCATATAGTCACTCTCATGCACCTACTCATATTCTCGTACACTCACACTCATTCACACACTTGTATTCTCCCTCTCACACTAACACAACCCACTCCTAGTCATACAAGGGTGTTCACACCTGTATACACTCACATTTGTTCACAGTCACTCAGGGTGAAGGACTGGCCTAGCATCCCCCTATCCCTGACTGTGGCTGGGGTGTGTCCTCACTGCCCAGACACCCTGGATTCTCTTACTTGGGAGGTGCTCAGGAGAGGAGGGTTCAGGGCCACCCAGCACTTACTGACCCTGTCTGTGCTTCCAAACCAAAGCCAAAGGCTCAGGTCAGGACGTGGAGCACTTGGACTTCAAGATTGGGGTGGAGCCCAAGGATGCCCCACCCTTCACGGTCATCCTCGTGGCCTCATCCCGGCAAGAGAAGGCAGCATGGACTAGCGATATCAGCCAGGTGAGGCCCAGGAAGCCTTGAGAGAAGGCTGTGCCATCGGGGGTCCCTTCTTGCCTATGGTGCTGGACCACATGACCATCCAGAGGGCATTGTCTGTGTCTGATGCTGCCATGTAGCCAACAGACCATGAAGGTAGAAACCCCTTGTGTGGCTGTAGAGCAGCGCTGGGCATTGCCCAAGTTCCCGCATGGGGCCTGATGCCAACCGAGTCCAAGCCCCATATCCCCTGTGCAGGACAGATTCCCCTGTGTCCCCTTCATTTTCCCCGCCCAGGACAGAGTTCCTGTGTCTATGCTCCTGTGTTCCCCCACATCTCCTGCCCAGGACGAAGCCCCCACAGGGTGGGAGAACATCTCCCTGAGGGGGCGGGGGTCTCTGATGCTGGCCGCTCCATCCGCAGTGTGTGGACAACATCCGGTGCAATGGGCTCATGATGAACGCCTTTGAGGAGAACTCCAAGGTCACGGTGCCACAGATGATCAAGTAAGTGCTCTGACCTCTAATGTCTAACAGCTGCAGGGCTCCAAGCAGCTTCCAGGGGCTCTGAGGCTTCTGTGTTCCACTGGGGGTTTGGATGTTGGCTGGGCCAGGCCTGGAACTTACTCTCACCTGCAAGCCATCTGCGCAGCTGTTTCTCCGGTTTTCATTGTTCTTTTGCACCCCACAAGCCCAGACTCTTGGGGCTGGGCATGGTTAGGGCATTTGCCTTGCCTGCAGCTGACCTGGGTTTGATCCCCCCATCCCATATGGTCCCATGAGCACCGCCAGGAGTAATTTCTGAGTGCAGAGCCAGGGCTTAACCCCTGAGCATTGCCAGGTGTGACCCAAAAAGCAAATAATAATAATAATCTCTGTCATTGTCTTCCCGTTGTTCATCGATTTGCTCGAGCGGGCCCAGTAATGTCTCCATTGTGACAATTGTTACTGTGTTTGGCATATTGAATACGTCACAGGTAGCTTGCCAGGCTTTGCCATGCGGGTGAGATACACTCGGTAGCTTGTCGGGCTCTAATAATTATAATAATAATAATAATAATAAAATAAGCCCACACTCTCAGGTTTTATCCGTTATGAAGTTTGGGTCCTGGGATCACTGGCAGCAAATACCTTTGAGCACTGTCAACTATGTGGTAGTTCACAGGTGGCAGTTCTCTGCCTCACTCTCCTTGAGAAACCCTGGCGCTGGGACTCTGTGAACACTCCCGAGGGAGGGAATTGACTGAACATCTCCACTGCCATCAAACCACAGCCCCTGCCTGGCCCCAGGTCTGTGAGGTGTCCACTCCCCTTTCTGTCTGCCAGCCACTTTCAAAGCCCACCTGAGAAGCCTCCATTCTAAGCTATCTCCTGCCACCAGCGCTACTCCTGCGGGCTCAGGGTGCCCCCTGGTGGCCCCATGGACAGAGCTGAGGGTGTGCCTATATCCTGGGAAGGTTTGGGCTTCTGACCAGCCAGCTATCCACTGTCGGTTCAAGTCCCTTTCTATGTCAGGCCTGTGTCCTTGCAACCTCATCTCCAGAATGCAGCCTAGAGGCCCAAACCTGCTGGACCCCTCCCGCACCCCGATACTCACATGGCTGGGGACCCAGTTCTCCCCAGTAAAGAGCAGTTACCACCAGCACCCCAGAGCCCATCTGCATGGGGCAGAGAATTGGGGCAATGCAGAATGAAGCTGCCTCCCCTTAGGGTCACGGGAACAGGTCTTATGCATGCCGGCTCACCTGTCTGGAGCACTCTCAGACCTGATACTTAGGCTGGTCAGAACACTCCGGACACAGGTGGTCCCTGTCCCCAGCACGCACTCTCGACTCCTTCTGTGCTGTCGGGGACTCCCTGCTCACCACCTCCATGCCCTACCAGGTCCGACGCCTCTCTGTACTGCGATGACGTGGACATCCGCTTCAGCAAGACCATGAACTCCTGCAAGGTGCTGCAGATCCGCTACGCCAGCGTGGAGCGGCTGCTGGAGCGCCTGACCGACTTGCGCTTCCTCAGCATCGACTTCCTCAACACCTTCCTGCACTCCTACCGCGTCTTCACCTCTGCCGCCCTCGTGCTCGACAAGCTCATTGCCATCTACCGGCGGCCCATCAGCGCCATCCCTGCCAGGTCCGGTGCCCCCGCACCCCCTTCTCCATTCTGCTCCCCTCCCCAGCCCCCACAGAGCAGAACGATTACAGAAGAGTTCAGCAGGGCCTGTGGCCCCACCTGGAGAGAGGAGGGAGGGGGCCACCTGGGCAGTCACACTGATGTGCACACACTGACACCTGTGCATGGACATGCACTCACCACTCACATGTAAACTCACATGCGCTCACACGTGTACACACATGTATTCACACATGGACACTCATACTCTAACATGCACATATATGTGCAGTCACACATGCACTCATGTGTGCCCTCACATGCAGTCATACATGTACTCATACACATGTATTCACACATGTGCACACATTCACACCCTTGCGGTCATGCATCTGCACTCACGTTTGTAGTCACACATATGTACGCACACACATCATAATGTGCTAACATGTATACTCACAATGCACTTACACATGCACTAATGTACTCACATGTGTGTACTCACATCTAGTCACACACATGTACTCACGTGTGCACTCACTTGTACAGCCACACACTCACATGAACTCACACATGTGCACTCACATGTACAGTTGCGTGTGCACACACTCATATGCGTGCAGGCCTGGCAGTGAGATCTCCCACTGCACTGCGGCCCTCACGAACGCCTCCCGCAGGTCGCTGGAGCTGCTTTTCGCCAGTGGCCAGAACAACAAGCTCCTGTATGGAGAACCCCCCAAGTCCCCACGTGCCACCCGCAAGTTTTCCTCCCCGCCGCCCCTGTCCATCACCAAGACGTCCTCACCCAGTCGCCGGCGGAAGCTGTCCCTCAACATCCCCATCATCACGGGTGGCAAGGCCCTAGACCTGGCCGCACTCAGCTGCGGCTCCAATGGCTACAGCAGCGTGTACTCGGCCATGTCGCCCTTCAGCAAGGCAGCCCTGGACACCAGCAAGCTCTACGTGTCCAGCAGCTTTGCCAGCAAGATCCCAGATGAGGGCGATACAGCGGCTGAAAAGCCTGAGGAGCCCTCAGCTCTCAGCAAGCAGAGTGAGTGGAGGCAGGGGTGGGGGTGATGCACATGTGTGTTTACAAGTGTATATTGTGTGCGTGTGTGTGTCTGTTAAGATCAAGAACCCCTCTCAGCTCCTGGGGAAGGGGAGGTCTTGGGGTCCTGCCAGGCCCCTGCGGGCAGGATGGGGGCTGGGACATCCCACTAAGCTCTACTGGGTGGGAGGGGAAGACTTGGGGTCCTGCCAGGCTCTGCAGCAGCTTGGCTGTCGTGTGTGGGCGCCCAGGCTGCGTGGATCTGGCGTGTGGCCCCCATCCTGACAACAGTATCTTTCCGTCCTGCTGTCTGTCCATATCTGCATTGGCCATGTCCTGGCTGGATCGGGGGTGGCTGAAGCAGGGGCAGATGGAGGCGAAGGGGGGAGCCCCAGACACCCTGTCATGAGTGGCATTGACGGTCCAAGTGAGTGGGCAAGCCACAGAAGTTACACGACAGTCAGACACCCTGCCCCCATCCCGGCTGGTGTGAGGGGCCCATGGGCCTTGGTGGGGGTCGGGATAGTCCTGCCCAATGTTCAAGGTGCTGATTTGAGGTGCAGCAAGCTATGCATGTGTTCTGTCCTGGCATTGTGAAAGGGTGAGAGCCCTGCATTGACAGTCCCTGGGGGAAACTGAGGACCAGAGAGGGCGAGAGGCGCTTGCTGTGACCTCACAGCAGACCCAGCTCTGGCACTCAAGTCTCTGTAGAGTGGGCATAGGAGGGCAGCCAGGCCAGGAAGAGGTGGTGGCTGGGCTGTGTGCCACTTTCCCTCAAGGCTGCGCCCAGATCAGGTGGTGACAGCTGAGTTATGGAGGGGACCCTTACCAGGCCCCGGTGCGCAGGGGCTTGGTCTTTCCCGCAGGTGGTCACCATGAGTATGCGCCCTCGGCAGGAGTGCCCCATGCTGACTTGTCACATGACTGCGAGTGACATTGGGCCCTCACACACCTGATCTCTACCCGTACCCCCACCCCTCAGGCTCAGAGGTGTCAGTACGGGAGGAGTCAGACCCAGAACAGACCCAGAGCGACGACGGTGACCCCGAGGGCTCACCCACAAAGTCCCCCACGACACCCCAGTCTGTGAAGAGCAAGAATTCCTCAGGTGGGTCCAGCGGCTGCTCACCCAAGCGCAGGGCCCAGTGGAGGGGGAACAGGGTGGGCCCCTCTGCCTCGTCTGATCCCCTACGCAGGCCTCTGAGATGGCTATAGACCTTGTGGTCATTCCTGGACATACCTAGTCTGGGTCCTCCATGCCCTGTAGCAGAGCCTGGGTGGACTGAGGGTCACTCCTCTGCTGCCCCATGGTTACCCATGCCCCTTCGTCTTTGTCTCCATGCCCCTGGGACCCCCTAACCCCCTTAGCTCACAGAATTTCAGTATCTGCGCACACAGGACAGGGGTTTGTTCTCGACAATTGAAGAGGCCCTGCTGGCCTCCAAGAAGTGGGGTGTGGGGAGAGACAGACGTGGGGACCCCCAGAACTGCTGGGACATTCACCCTGACTGCTGGCCAGGCCCGGCTGATGGCTCTGTCCCCACAGAGTTTCCACTTTTCTCCTACAACAATGGGGTGGTCCGAGGTTCCTGCCGGGAGCTGGACAGTAGCCGCAGTGGCCTCTCAGCTGCCTCGGCCTTTGCCATCGCCACTGCGGGCGCCAACGAGGGCACCCCCAACAAGGAGAAGTACCGCCGCATGTCCCTGGCCAGTGCAGGTATGGGAACTCCTGTTGGCACATGAGCTCTGCCATGGCCCCCAAGGCCTCCCTGGAGACACAGGCTGGGCCAACAATTTTGTACTCTCCTGGGAACCAGCACCTGCTACCCAGCCTTGACCTGAGCTGAGTCCTCACCTGCAGCCCCCTTGAGCTGAGACCACTGCTCCTGGGTCTGGGGCAGAGAATCTACTCTGGGCCGGACTCTGGCCCTATCTGGGAGACTCGGAACATTCCAGCAGCCTCTGGGAGATGGCACTCTTGTGGATGTGTAGGGACGCCATGTCCTGGCACATGGCCAGCTGGAGGGTCCCAGCAGAGGCAGGGAGTTTCATGTGACAGCTCGCCGGTGGCTTCTCAGTCTGGCTTAGGGGCACAGGAAGTACTTAGCTGGGCATTGCTGCACCTTGTGTCCCCCCTCCTCTGTGCATCCAGGCTTCCCTCCTGATCAGAGGAATGGAGACAAGGAGTTTGTGATCCGCCGAGCAGCCACTAACCGTGTACTGAACGTACTCCGGCACTGGGTGTCCAAGCACTCACAGGTGGGCCCGCAGCTGGGGGCGGGTGGGTGTCCAGGACTCACGGTGGGCCGCAGCTGGAAGTGGGCATCCAGGACTCATGGTTGGGCCTCTTGCTGCGGGTGGGTGTCCAAGCACTTGAAGCAGTGCGCTGAGACCCCAGGTTCTTCAAGGTGATGTAGTAGACATCTGAAACCAGTGGCGAGCAAGTGGCTGGGCCATTGTCTGTTCAAGACACCTTGTTCTCAGAGGGAACAGAAGCAGCCAGGGACCAGTGTCCAGGCCTGGCCTAAAGCCACAGGGATGAGGAGGGGCCTGGCCCAGCTCCAGAGGATGAGGATGCAAGGAGGCCTGTGCCAGAATCAGGACAAGACCCCACCTGGCCGGGAGGGACTGCGAGTGTTCCTTCTCACTCCTGCAGGACTTTGAAGCCAATGCCGAGCTGCAGAGCAAGGTGATGGGCTTCCTGGAGGAGGTGATGCACGACCCTGAGCTCCTGACCCAGGAGAGGAAGGCGGCAGCCAACATCCTCAGGTGAAGTGGCAGGACTGGCCCCGGGGGTCTGCATGGGGTTTGTACTTGGGATATGCACACGGGATCTCACAGAGGTGGCGGGAGGGAGGCAGGGTAGACAGCTGGGTCCAGGGTCCAGTCTCATATGCACCACAGCCCCAGCTGCCCAGGCCACCAGCTCTCAGACTCAGGCTCAGCCTGGCCTCCCTCTTTCCCCCAGCTAAGGGCTGGGTCAGGCAGCCCCTTTTGCAGCTTGTTCTGCTCACATTTGAATGACCGTGGCAAGGCCCTGCTCCAGCCTCACCTTCTCCTCTGAGGCAGTGACCGGCCCTCAGAAGCATCCTGCTGCCTCAGCTCCAGCTGGGACACAGGGGTAGACAGGGTCAGGAGGAGGAGGTCCCTGTTGGGGAGAGTGGTTGCCAGGGCAGGGGCTCAGGCCCAGGGCACATGGGGGAAGGGCAGGACTTGAGGCCCACATGCCCTCTGTACCCCAGGACCCTGACCCAGGAGGATCCCGGCGACAATCAGACCACCCTGGAGGAGATTACACAGATGGTGAGAGGGTCAGGCCAGCCCAGGCGACGGGCCCAGCAAGTCCCTCCTGAGTGGCTCCCAGGGCTGTCCTAACCAAGTCCCACTTTGGGGGGCCTCCTCCAGTCCCGGGGTCTCCCTGGCTGCTTGGGCCTGAGGCTCTTTGCTCTTTCGCATGTATGTGTCTGTCCTGTACCCAGAGGACCCCTTTTTAGTCACCAGTCACAGGTTGCAATGCTGCCTGCACCACCTCTCCTCACTCTATCAATCTTCCCTCATTCATACAACCTCTCCTCACCTGCACAGTTCTCCTCGTCCACAGAACCTTTCCTTACCTGTATTTCCACTCTTTACACTATCCACTCCTCACCCGCACCACGTCTCCTCACCTACGCCACCTCTCCTCACTCTATCAACCTCTCCTCACCCTATCAACCCCTTCTCACCTGCACAGTCTTCCCTCACCTATACAACCTCTTCTCACCCTGTAAACCTCTCCTCACCTGGACAACTTCTCCTCGCCTGCACAACCTCTCCTAGCCCACACCACCTCTCTTCACTCTCACAACCTCTCATCCCCACACCACCTCTCCTCACCTGCACAACCTCTCTTTACCCATCCAACCTCTCCCTCACCCGCACCCACTCTGCCCTCCACCTGTGGCCTGTGTTTCTGCAGGCAGAAAGTGTGAAGCCAGAACCCTTTGAGAACCACTCGGCCCTGGAGATTGCTGAGCAGCTGACCCTGCTGGATCATCTGGTCTTCAGAAAGATCCCCTATGAGTGAGTGCTGGGACCTCGCTGCAGGGCCTCCCTGAGCCTGGCTAAAGGGTCCTGGTTAGGAGACCAGCTCAGATGCACCCAGCTCCCTCCCGCTCTCCCTGATCTTGGGGGTGTGGGAAATGCACAGACACTGCCCCCACCCCATTCCACCCCTGCCCACAACTGCCCACCACACCCTGACCCTCTCCCCATCTCAGATAGGCTTAGCCTGAGCTGGAAGGCTCCATTTGTGCCCACCAGGCAGCCAGGGTTCCCAGGACCCCTGGTGGGGTCCTCCCTGGCTCTGCTCCCCAGGGCCCCAGAACTCAGGCGCCAGGACTGACTCCTGTGCTCTGTCCTCAGGGAGTTCTTCGGCCAGGGCTGGATGAAAGAGGAGAAGAATGAGCGGACCCCTTACATCATGAAGACCACGAAGCACTTCAATGACGTGAGTGCACATCCGCACCCCAAGGACTGGCTGTTCTGCCCTGCTGGGGTCCCCAACTCTGACCCCACTTGGATCCTCAGAAGAGAGGACAGGCTGGTGGGCAGGAATGAGTGTGACACTCCCTGGACACTAGCCCTCTGCCCCATTTTCCAGAGACCACAACCAGCCAGAAGCTGTTTCTTATCCTCTCCTAGAGTCGGCGCTCCTGGGGGGACCAGTTGGGTCTGAGGGGGCACTGAGTGAGGCCTCGGGGGGTCTGGTGCAAGGGCCCCCACCAGCCTCCCCTCCACCCAAGCTGTTGGTGCTGGTGGCACTTCCTCTCCTGTGCTTGGATCCCCTCCGGCCAGCGGGTGCATCCTGAGCTGAGCCTGCCCCTTCCAGTCCCTGCAGGGGCGACGGATGGATAGGTCCTTATGCCCATTCGAGCCTGCTCCTCCCCGTGGCTCTTGTCTCCCGCGCGGGCCTGCAGATCAGTAACCTGATTGCCTCAGAGATTATTCGGCATGAGGATGTGGCCGCACGGGCAAGCGCCATCGAGAAGTGGGTGGCGGTGGCTGACATCTGTCGCTGTCTGCATAACTACAACGCCGTGCTGGAGATCATCTCCTCCATGAACCGCAGCGCCATCTTCCGGCTGAAGAAGACCTGGCTCAAAGTCTCCAAGCAGGTGGGACCCCTGTGTGCCTCCCCCCCCAGCCAGCTTGGCCCTGAGCACTCCCAGCTAGCATCACGCGGGAGCGACCCTGCCCAGCTACTTCTAGAGAGAAAGGTCTCAGAATGGCCGGGCACATACAGTGTGGCACTGGACATCAGGGGGACATGATGTCAAGATCCCTCAGGGTTGGGGAGAAGATAGTGTAGACACTTCAGAGGGTCTGGAGAAAGAAGGTAGTGTAGATACCTCAGAAGATAGGGAGAAGGTGGTGTAGCCACCTCAGAAGGCAGGGGAAAGGTGGTGTAGATCCCTAAGAGGGTTGGGCAGAAAGACAGTGGTGTAGACAGCCCAGAAGTGAAGAAGGTGGTGTAGACACCTTAAGGTGGGGAAAAGGTGATATAGACACCTCAGAGGGAGAAGGTGGTGTAGACCGCTCAGAGAGTAGAGAAAAGGTGTTGTTCGCACCTGCAGAAGGCAGGGAGAAGCTGGTGTAGAGAGGGTGGAGAGGGTGGTAAAGACAGCTGAGAAGTTGGGAAGAAGGCAGCTCAGAAGGAGGGGAGGAGGTGGTGTAGACAGCTCAGAGGGCAGGGAGAAATATGTCATCTGCACCCCGCCTGGCCTGGGACTCACATTGGGCCCATGGTCGCCAGCCCTCTGTCTCTGTGCTGGCACCCAGGACCCACTGCTGTGCCATCTCCATCCTATGTGATCACAGGGGCACTGGGTAGGGGGCCTTTGGCCACAGGGGCAAGAGGGAAGGAGCTGCAGCTGCCAGGGGTTGTGCCCATGAGAGCCCGTGCCTACCTTGCTGTGCCAACTTGGAGTCTCAATCTCAGGGACCCTCCGAGAAACCACGGCAGGTACAGAGTTGCTGTGCCCCATAGCCAGTGTCCCTCTGCTGCCCACCTCCTGTCCCACCACCATCTGCTTCTCAGCCACTTTCTAGGCGGCGACTGAGGAGCCGAGAAAGAGGTGTGAGGGGCACCCAGGGGTGTTGGGGCCATGGCAGGTGTGGAACTCAGGGAGCCCCTCTGTCTCGGGCCTGCTCCCCACCTACCTGTCACACCGAGGCCTCACCTTTCTCTTCCTGGGCAGTGCACTACCCCTGGTTTTCTGCCTTCAGCTGCAGAGCTGAACATCCCTCACATGGGGCTCTGGGACCCTGATGTGTCCCCCATGTGGGCTGCCCATGGCGTGCTGAGCCCTTGGGCCCCAGTGCCAGCCCCCACCCTAAGGGTTCTGCTTCCTTCCAGACGAAGGCACTGATTGACAAGCTCCAGAAGCTCGTGTCATCTGAGGGCAGATTTAAGAATCTGAGAGAAGCACTGAAGAAGTGAGTGTCCCGTACCCCGTCCTCCTTGGCAGCTGGAGCACACTGGGGCCAGCTGAACCTGTTCCCATGAGGTGCCCTGCACAGGCAGTTGTGTCCCCATCATCCCAGCTGCCGGTGGAGACTGTCCTAGGTCTTGAGGTGTCGCAGATGGGCTCAGCATATCTCAGAGTCTGGGCCTTTCCAGCCCGACTCTCAGTCATCAATGCAGGGTGCACGGGGCACAGAGACATGGCCCTGCAGGAGGCGCTGCCTCCACACTGTCCCTGTACCTGGGCCAGTCCCAGCTGGAGGCCAGAGGAGGCTGGCGGGGGGGCTGCATGAAGTGGGCGTCATGCCAGGCTATTGGTGAGGGTACACGTCTCCTCTGCAGTTGTGACCCGCCCTGTGTCCCCTATCTGGGCATGTACCTCACCGACCTGGCCTTCATCGAGGAGGGGACCCCCAACTACACAGAGGACGGGCTGGTCAACTTCTCCAAGATGAGGATGGTGAGTGCCCAGGAGGGAGCCTGGGCCCACCCATCTCTACCCCCAGGCCCACCTGCTTGCCAGGCCTCATGTCCGATAGGAAGGGCTCTAAGGGCTAAGCACAGGATTTAAAAGTGGAAGGTTCGTTCCATCCTGGTGTCACGGGGTCCTCTGAGGATTGGTGTGGTTCCAAAACCAAAACAAATAGGGCTGGAGCCATAGGACAGTGGGGAAGGCACAACACAGCCACAGTTCAGCCCTGAGCACGGCCAGGTGTGCCCCCAAACCCAAACAAACCAAAGGCATGTGCCAGAGCCAGAGATGAAGCTTGTGCCTGGCATGTGTGAGACTGCTGATGCCCTGTCAGGCCAGGGAGAGGCTTCACATCCAGGGTCAAACACTGTGAAAGCAGCCCTCAGCATCAGGCCCAAGACAGAGAAAAGCAGTCAAAGACACTGCTCTCCTGGCAGCCCAGCCTGGGTGGCTGGACCATCTTTGCCTCCCTCAGCTCTCCCAGCCTCTGGCCCTAGGTTGGGGTCCGCAACCTGCCCCAGGCCATGCACAGGTCATGGAGCCAACTGGTCATGGTCACTCCCCACAGATCTCCCACATCATCCGCGAGATCCGCCAGTTCCAGCAGACAGCCTACAAGATCGAGCACCAGAGCAAGGTGAGGCCGCGGCTGGTGCCTGCATTTGGGCCACTCCTGCCTGCTGGACACCTGCCCAGGGCCACGGCAGTCTCTAAGCCTCCTGACCAGGTTCCCCACCCCCGCAGGTCACCCAGTACCTCTTGGATCAGTCTTCCGTGATGGATGAGGAGAGCCTGTATGAGTCTTCTCTCCGCATTGAGCCCAAACTTCCCACCTGAGGCCGCGGGCACCCGGACACGCGGCCGTGTACATAGCGTGGGTGTCTTGGACCCTCCTCCTTAGCGTGTGCTTCTCCAACAATCTGAGTCCGTCCTTGTCCTCTGGTTCCTGTCGCGCTGGCCCCTTTCCCCCCACCCCTCCTCCCCTGTCCTCCCCGCTCCACATGCCGCGTAGTCCCCGCCCGCTTCCTTCCAGCATGTTCCCTGTGGTTGTTCTGGGGGTGGGGGGAGGCGGGAGGGGACCCGTCATCCGCAGACCTTCCGCTGACGGCCACTTTCCAGAGCCACTGCTGGCCCACAGTGCCAGGGCTGGGCTGAGGACATGGGACTGGGAACACGGGGCCGGGGACATGGGGCTGGGGACAAGGGGGTGGGGACATGGGACTGGAATCAGCCGTCCTTGGTCCCCACCCCCATGGCCCCCAAGGCGGGATGCTACCTCCTCAACCAGCCTGCGCCTCCCCCGTCCACCCGCACTGCCCTGCCAGCTGGGAACCACACCCGCGTCCCACCGCCCGGCCCGCACGCTTGTGTCGCTGCGTCGTCGTCTGTCCCTGTGACTTAGCGCCTCTGAGATGCAGGCGGGGCCTGGGGGACTCGCCCGTCACAGGGCACCTGTCGTGCTGCTCAGCACCTTCTGCTTCTGTGCTGCGGAGCTGGGGGGGGCTGCCACAAATGGCAGACAGCAGACAGATGCCTCTGTGCAAGCAATACCCAGTGGTCTGAGAGCCCCACTTCAAGTCTGATGATATTTCAACTCACAGCTCGTTTGGAAAAAGAAACTTCCATTTTTGTAAAAATATATGTTTCCTGATTACCTCTTGCTAATAAATCTATTCTATCTCAGGGTGAATGGGGGCGCTGATGGGTCTCCTTCATGTGGACTGGGAGGTCTCCTATTTCACCCAGATCTCTTTAGCCTCTGCTGGTGCTCGGTGCAGTTCCCTCTGGGTCCTGAGGGGCTCCATCTCCCAGCGGCCAGGCCAGGGGCCCTGAGAGCCCGACCCTCATGGCCCTTGCAGCCACTGCTGCTCCCAGACTGGGCTAGGCTCAAACAAGCCTGGGCTGCTTTCCAGGACTGTAGCTGGCCACAGGGGGACACTCCAGAGCCTCATTCCTATCACTGCGTTTCACAATCACAGCCCTGAGGATGGAGAACAGTCGCTTATGTCTGTGAGTGCACACTCGAGAACAGTCAAGACGGAAGGGGAACACTTATTGCTGAGGTGGTGAGGCCTAGGATCTGTGAACACGGGCAGCTTGTTCTTAACGATGAATGACTTCAGACTTCAAAGGCATCAGGGGGCTGGTGGGAAATGGCATCATCTTAGATTCTGGCAAATCTCTCCTCTGCTGTCTACTCGGTGGAAATGGCTTCCACATTCGTGACCTGCTGTCTGCTCTCCAGCTGCACCCCTGCAGACGGAGTGAGGGCGAAGACCACAGCTCCCTCGAGCAGCATGTTCCCACCCCACAAGGCTCCTTTGCAGACACTTGACATGCAGCTACCTCTGAGGCTGTCTGGCCCAGCTGCAGTTATAGCCATGTTTCAGACCTGCTCATGACATCCTCAACACTTCAAAAAAGGGCTGAGGAGTGACTCCGAGGCCTATTCAATGACTACATGTACCCTAGTACCCCATTAGCACTGAGTGTAGCCCCCACAAACTAAAACCTGAACAGTAGCTGCTGCTTCTCGGAGTGATTCCAAACTCCCTCTGCCCCAGCCTCCCTACCATCCCACTAGCCCCAAACTCCACCATCCCACAGCACCCCCACATCCCACTGGCCTTGCATCCTGGCAGCGGATGAGCACCTGCACCCCAATTTCCAGGGGCTCATTCCAGTAGGTTCCCACAGGGAATGCAGATACCACACACTAATCAATGTTTGTCCCTCAGTCTGAGAAGGGATAAAATGCAGCTTCCAGAGCTGGAGTGGAACAAAGGGGTTAAGCACGTTCACTGCATGCAGTAGCTACTGTTGGATCCCCAGCATCAGATGAGGCTCCCTGAGCACTCTTGGGTGAGCCTTCCCCCCAGAGTTGCTTCATTTACAACCTAAACACACCTCAAGAGCCATCTGCGGGAGGAAGCTGTCATGAGCCGCCCAGAGCAGTCATGTGCCAGACATGGCTGTGGGGTGCTGGGCAGGCAAGAAGTGACTCCTCAGGGTTGTGGGCGTTGGGGAGATCCTGATTGTCTAGGAGTTGCACAATCCTGCCTCTTGGCTGAGCTGGGCAAGGAGTTGCTCTTTCCTCGTACGTGGGCTTCATGTTGCAGTCCGCTGGACTCCTTTGTCCAGGTGCAACCAGATGACCCAGATCAGCTCCAGGGTGGCTGAATCTTCCTTTAGAGGGGCTCAGGGAGCTCTGTGGCTCATTCCAGTGAAAGCCAGTGATCTGGATCTGAGGCTGTGGCTGGGGAGGGTCATGTTCTGCTGCAGAGTCCTGAGGGTCTTGGCAGGGAGGGGGCAATGATGTGGCTGTGTGATGGGTGGTGCAATCTCACTGAGGTCCTGAGTCCCTCAGCCCTGTTTAGGAATGTGCCGAGGCGGCCACCTGCATTGCAGTGTTTATGGCCCACTTCTCTGCCCGGACATTCCACTTGTGGTGAGAAAGGCACACTTGTTACCTCTCCTGCAGTCAGCCTGCTCTCCAGCCTGAGCCACCTCCCTGTTCCCTCCCTCCCTTGGGACCACTGCCCCTCCAGATCTGGCCTCCAGAGTCACCTTCACATACTCCCTTCAGACCCACCAGGTCTGGGGTGGGGGCAGGAGAGCAGATTCCTGCACCCCCACCTACTGCACATTGCCCCCGAGCCCTCAGCCAAGGGAGTAGGTCAGGGGGCACCAGAGACTGGCCCTTGTGCAGGAGAAGCACAGCAGGAAATTGGGAGCGCCACCCAGGACATGTTTATCGAGACCCCAAGCACATGCAGAGGCGTCAGGCGCATAAATAGACAAAGAGCACAGTGGCCATCACCGCGAGACCATTCCAGGAATTTGCTCCCCACGGGGCAGAGACAGAGCCCCCGGGGAGGAAAGGTCCAAAGTGGGGCTGACAGAGCCCGGATGGGCGGGCCTCGGGGCCCTAACCACACCTGGGGGACGCCCAGCAGCTGTTTGTGAGAAGCCCTGCCCGCCCCGCCCCTCCGCTCCTGCCCGGGTGGCGGCGAAGCCCCGCCCACGACAGGCGCCGCCCCATGTGAGGCCCCGCCCAGAGGCCCCGCCCCGCGCTCCTGCTACCGCCACGGTGCAGCCCCGCCCCACGCCAGGCCTCGCCCCGGAGGCCCCGCCCCGCCCCGTGCTGTCCAAGGCTCTGCCCCGCCAGAGGGCCCGCCCCTCGCCCCTGCGCTGTGGCGAGGCCCCGCCTTACAGTAGGCCCCGCCCATGCCCATGCCCCGCCCCAGCCCGGAGGCCCCGCCCCGGCCCCGCCCCGGCCCGCCAGGAGGCCCCGCCCAACCCCTCCCCAGCCCAGTCCCGTCCAGACCCCTCCCGCCGCCGCCGCCGCCGCCGCCGCCGCAGTGCCCGCCGAGCTCTCCCGCGATGTGGCTCGCGCTGCCGCTGCTTTGCGCCGGGGCTCTGCTCCTGGGAGCACCGGCCTGCGGCGCTGCCAACGTGTCGGTGAGCTCTTTAGGTACGAGTTGCGGGCCGGGGAGGCGGTGCGGGGCCTGCGCGTGGGGAGTGGGGAGGGTCCCCCGAGACCCCTCGGCCGTGTGCTCAGACTGGATGGGCAGCGCTCACCCGCACACGTTCCGGCGAGGTGCGGAGCCTCATGCCAGGACGGCCGCGGCCACTTGTCGGAGGTGCAAGTCCAGCCCCTGAAACTGGGGGCCTGGCCCCGTTTGGGCCGAGTTGGCCGCGTGCAGCGTGAGTGCCCGTGAGAGCCCTTCGCTGAGACCCCGTAGATCACCTGGCCCGCACCTGCTAGTCCGGGGAACGGCAGTCCCCAGGCCACCGGTTCTTGCTGGGACCTTTCAAGTGCCGAGCTCGGTAACTCGGTACCCCCGCTGCCTAGGGGGGGTGGGGGGCCTGGCACTGGGCTCTAGAGCTTCTGGAAGGGGGCCCAGGTCCAGCCCGTCCTCCCCGGGCTGGTGGCGTTTGCTGACCTTGACCCGCTATGCTGTACCAGGCGCTGTCCCACCAGACGTCCACCTGCCCTGAGCACAGAGGCACTATTCTGGGTGTGGCCAGTCACAGCCCCTTTCAGACCCTGCACAGACCCACGGATGGGTCCAGTGGATTGAAGCGGATTGGCCGTAAATACTGGGGTGGGGCAGGGGCACCCGCAGGTCCTTCTGCTTTTCCTTCGGGGATCCCTGGTCCCCAGGAGGAGGCCCAGCTTTCCCACCTCCTTTCCAAAACCACCTCGGGGTCCTCAGGCCGGGTCCTGAACTGTGTGGCACCCCTGCAGCCAAAGGCTGCCCCAGGCCTGTCCCCCACATCCATCATTCTCCAAAGAACCACCCGGAACAGGGGCCAGGACTCAGGTCTCTGTCCCCGGAAATGGCTGGGAGAGGAACGGGCATCTGCTTCCGCCCTGGGAATGGCACGCCCACTGCCCCCAGACCCCCCCATTCCCGCACACACACCCAAGTCCGACTCCCAGACTTCTGGGAATTTCCTTCTTGTCCCCGCACTGCTGTGACGACAGGGTTCTTCAGCCCTTCCCCTGCTGTAGTCCCAGACTCTGGGACACAAAAGTCTGTAGAGAAAGCACCAACGGTGGCTGGACTTTCCCCTTCTCCTCCCTAACCAGCTTTGGCCCAAAGCCGAGTGGGAACACTGTGGGTTCAAGGAAATGGAGCATGAGAGGCTCTGGAAGGGCTGGCAGGCGTCTGAGGGGACGTGGGGAGCTGCCTGCTTGGGGCCAGGCCTCGCTCCTGGCAAAGCCCAGTGGGCCCGCTTATAGCAGCAGGATTCCACAGATCCCAAGGCCAGATTCCACCACTCACAGCCCCTGAGTGTCTAGAAACCATGGAGATGTTCCCCCTGGGCGTGAGGCCCATCTGTGGGTCCTTGTGCATCCCTCCGGTGTCCACTTCTCTCCCTCCCGAAGTTGTTTGCTGGTCCTTCCCCATAGCTACGCTGTCCCTCTGGCCAGGACACACTCTCCAGGGTGAGTCCCATGACTCATCTTGGGTGATTCCTTTCCATGGTGTGCATCCTAGCTGTTGTCATCAGGTGCAGTGTCTGCCCTGCTGACACTGTGGGTCCTACAAGTGGAGGTGACTGAAGTGTGTGCTTTGTGGGCTCTTGTGTAAAAGGTGGAGAGACATGTGTCCCCTTGGGGCACAGCCAAGTTGGAGTGCAGGGGCGCCCAAGGAGGGGGACCCACGTGAAATGAAATGAGGTGGGGAAGCTTGCTTGTGTGTGTGGTGTCTGCAGATCAGAGTGACGGATCCAAGGGAGGATATGAGGAGCAAGTGCCCTGTCCAGGCCCACATGGCTGAGCTGCAGAGCACATTGGCTGCCTTGTGCAGGGACCTGGGCCCATCTGAAACCCCCTGCACCCCACCCTCACCCCAGCACCTCTTGGTAGCCTGAGCACCACAGGTGTGGCCCTTGTTGCCCACGCATGGCTGGGTGAGGCACCATAGCAATAGAATCTAAATGGTGAAATGCTGGGAAGTTGGTGGACACTGTTCAACCCTCAGATGAAATACTCCTCATCCCCCACCATCAGCCTGGTAGAGCCGTGGCCCTGTCCGCCCTCTTGTTCTGCTGCTGCAGCCATGGCCAGTCACACATGCACTTGGTTGTGGTGCTCTGCGGGGGCTGCCCCAGGGCTCATACGTGCTTGCGGAGGGCAGGGATTGCTTGTTGGAGCCCCAGGGATCAAATTTGTGATCAGCCTTGCAAGGCTGTCGCTTCCACCCCTGCACCCCTGTGCCCGTCTCATAAAGCTTCACTGGCGCAACCACACACTCACAAAGGCTTACTGGCTAGTGTCTGAGTGTTAACTGCCCGAAGACGGGGGTCGCTCAGTCCTGTCTGCGTTTGGGGCATTCCCACAGTGCACATGCGCAGCAGCAGCACTCCAGATGTGACGTTTCAAAACTAGCCCGGCCTAGAGCAGAAGAGCTGGGGTTTCGGTTCATTCCTGTAGGGTGCCCAGCCCCCGCTCCACATGGGGTGTGAGCACAGGCAAGCTCGGGTCAGGCAGCTGCTGCCTCGGCCACCACGTTTCTCTTTTTTTGGCAGAGACGTTCCGCTTCAAAACGTGGATGTTGCAGGTCAGTGCCCGCTTCTTCTTTCTGTGGTTCTGGGGTTCACTGCACTTCCTGTTATCGGAGTGTGCCAGAAACAAGACAAAGGGGATTTTCGAGCCCCGTTGTGGGTCTTACCACATTGTGCTGACCCTGGGCGGGAGCTGGTGACTCGGCCTAACATTGCCTCTGTGAAGCCCTGGCCCCGGCAGCCCTGGGCCTCCCCACCCTTTCCATGCCCGGCGTGGGCAGAGACGATGTTGTGGCTCTGCATCTGGGCCCTGCCACTGACTGAGGAACAGGGACCATGTCCCACCCACTGGTGCAGAAGGAAAACCTCATCCTCAGGGCCCTTGCCTTCCTGTGCCCCTTGGGAGCTGCCTCATGCTGTGCACTTTGTTTCAGCACCAGAAGAAATACAGCTCGGGGGAGTACTCACACAGACTTCGGACTTTCCTCCACAACCGGGACAAGATGAAAGCCCACAACGCGGGGAACCACACGTTTCAGAGTGCGTGGGGGCTGCCCGGGGTGTGTGGGTGGCTCTCAGAGCCAAAAACACTCCTGACGGATGCTGCCATGTCCAGGGTTCGAGCCAGTGCTAGGCACGTCCAGGGGCAGACAGAGGCATGCAGGTCTGCCCAGCGTTGGCCAGATGGGTTCAGCCACAGGTGCTTGACCTCTGCCCCCAAGCAGCTCGCATGGTATGCAGTAGAGGACGAGGGCTGGAAGAGGCTGGGGACAGGGTCACTGCAAGCTCCCCCGCTAGCATTGGGCACTGCCCAGCAGAGGGGCTGGTGGAAAGGCCACGGGGGTGGAACAGTGGCCACCAGGCTCAGGGAACTGGCCCCACAGGCTTCTGTTTCCTTATCAGACCACTGAGCTGCTTTTGTTTATCTGGGTCTTGTTTCACCTTCTCTATTTCAGTGGGACTGAACCAGTTTTCAGACATGAGCTTTGCTGAGATAAAACGCAAATATCTCTGGTCACAGCCTCAGGTGGGTGACCTTCGTGTGAGCGAAGATGTGTATCTGCTTGGGCACTGAGGCCTGCCCTGCTACAAGCCACTCCTGGCCCAGGGCACCCCCAGATGCTTGGGGACCCTGAACTTAGGGGTGCCAGGAGAAATGCAGGTGTCTGGGGGAAACGGAACTTCAGATAAACAATGGCCGAGTTTAGCCAAAGCTCATCCTAGGACAGACTCTGCTTCTGCTTCTCCTCCGTGTGTCTGAAACTCAGATTCAACTGAGAAAAGTGTCTTGACATGCTCAGCCCGACAGCCCTGTCCTGAGACACGCAGAGTGGATCTCTCTGAGATGGGGGGTGGAGGGGGGCGGTGGCAGAGTCCTTCATGCTCCCTTCCTATTTGAACCACTCTTCTGTGAAAATGGCTTTTTTTTTCCTCCTGAAAAATTACCCTGCTTGCTTGTTTCAGAATTGCTCAGCCACCAGAGGCAACTACCTTCGGGGGTCAGGCCCATACCCCACCTCTGTGGACTGGCGGAAGAAGGGAAACTTTGTCTCACCAGTGAAAAACCAGGTATTTGCATGGTCCCCCTGCCTGACCCCAGCCTCGGGCAGGAAGCCGCCCAGACTCTAGATCCTGTTAGGGGTCTCTGCTCCCCATGCCTCTCACGCAACTCCAGAGAGAGAAGTGGGATGATGGAGGAGCCACCGGAGCCTCTGACCTTTATATAAGTCCCCAGACTCGTGTGTGAGACAGCAGCCAGGGGTTCCCTAGACTGACAGTTAAGACCCTTGGGCTGGGGAGATGGCAAGGGCTGGAGATATGATGGGGCACAGAAGCAGGCTTTGAGAGCTGGAACCTCCTGGCCCCGAGCTGCCCTGCCTGTGGCCCTGGTCCATGGCCTGAACTGACCATGCCATTGCTGGGCGGAAAGAGGTGAGGTGGGAAGGTTGGGCACCCGGGTGCGCCCTCTGCTGGGTAGCAGCGGGAAGGCCAAGGGCTGGCCTGGATACAGTGTCCAGGCTTGACCCTATCCCCTTGCAGGGCGCCTGTGGCAGTTGCTGGACCTTCTCCACTACTGGGGCCCTGGAGTCTGCAGTGGCCATTGCAGGTGGGAAGCTGCTGTCCTTGGTAAGTGACTTAGCCTTGGTCAGGGAGGTTGCAAGGGCCCAGGTTAGGGGCTGGGGTCCTGCCTGGGCTCAGTGATGGAACTCAGGTTGGAGGGGGCGGCCCCGTTGCCTGGGCCTGTGCAGGAGGCAGCATCTGACTTTGTGAGGGGGTCAGAGTGGGTGGGGTGGGCCCCAGCCACACTTCTGGTCAGGTCGCTCTCCTCCCTCTGCCCTCGGCACACTCCCAGGTGGAAGAGTGGGGCCTGCAGGCTGCATGTTAAAGGACTTGCCCCTCTCCCCCCCACAGGCAGAACAGCAGCTGGTGGACTGCGCCCAGAACTTCAACAACCACGGCTGCCAGGGGTAGGTCCTATGGGCCCCGAACCCCTCTGCTGGTGGGCCCCAGAGAGGCACTGCCCCACCCTGGCAGCAGAACTACTTGTCATCCCCACCTGGTCCCTCAGCCGGTGACCTAAGTCTTCCACTGCTGCGGGGACTCCCAAGCCAAGGCCCTGAAGCTGCCAGGCAGTCCCAGCAACACCCAAGTGGGCACTCCCATGTGCATTTCTTGCAGGGGTCTGCCCAGCCAGGCCTTCGAATACATCCATTACAACCAGGGCATCATGGGCGAAGACAGCTATCCCTACCAGGGCAAGGTAACTGCACCCCCAGAACCTCACCTGTCTGTACTCCTCTGCATGTTCCTTCCTGCCCAAGCCCAGCAAACCTACGGCTCATACCAGCACACACACACACACAGCCAGAACACGCACAAGCGCATCCATCCCGCACAGCTGCAGTACACACAGCCTCAGCACACAACCTCACCACGCACAAGCGCATCCATCCCACAGCCACAGCACGCAGCCTCACCACACACAGCCACAGCATACACAACCACATCTATTCTACGCAGCTGCAGCACACACAGTTGCAGTGTGCCTCAGCAAGCCTTACCACACGCCCTCACCATACAGCCTCACCGCATACACAACTGCATCCATCGCACCAGCTGCAGCACACACAGCCACGGCACGCACAACCACATCCATCACACAACCGCTGCACAGCCTCAGCACACACCCTCACCACACACAGCCGCATCCATCCCACAGCTGATGCATACATCCTTACCACACAGCCACAACCAATCCACACAGCCTCGGCACATACCTTCAGCACACACAGCCATAGCACACAGCCTCGCCACATACCCTTCCAGTAGCTGCTCACTCAACTCCCTTGCTCAGTAGGGGTCAAGCCCACCTCTGCCTCAGCCTCCACACTAAGGTCACAGGCAACTGTTCTCCTCTAAGTGACTGTGGAACCACCCAGCAGGGGGCTTTTGCTCTCTCAGTGTTGAACAGGGCTAGTCCTCACCGGTGCCCCATCGCTGCCCTTTGCTGCCCCACATAGGACAGCCACTGCAAGTTTCAGCCCGAGAAGGCCATTGCTTTCGTGAAGGACGTCGCCAACATTACCCTGGTGAGTGTTGAACCCGTCACCTATGAATCAGGACCATGTCCCCCCAGCTCTGGGGTTGGCACTGGTCAGGAGCCCCCTTGGTCCTCTCCCGGCCTTCCAGAGCTGAGGGACTCTTTCAGGGATAGCCAGGAGGGCAGAGCTGCTGGAACACTGGCTTCTGATATATTTGTTGTGGCAGACACCCACATCTCTGGTAACAGGCCTGTCATTGCCCACAGAATGACGAGGAGGCCATGGTGGAGGCAGTGGCCCTGTACAACCCTGTCAGCTTTGCCTTCGAGGTCACGAGCGATTTCATGCGCTACAGGAAGGGCATCTATTCCAGGTGAGCCACGGGAGGGCCAGTCCAGCCTCCCCACCCCACCTTCTACCTCCCCCTGCTGTCCCGGGTCCACACAGGCCTGCAGAAACATGCTCAGATTTGCCAAAGCTGGGGCGCCTTCCTCAGCTCATTTCAGAATGGCAACGTGGTGTCCCCTTCCCAGCAAGGATACCCTTCCAGCCATGCTGCCCTCCCAGCAGCCTAGTCATACAACACAACAGCCTGACCCTTGCTTTCTCAGAATCTCATGGAAAGCTTGTTTGCGGTCAGAAAGGAAAACACCCTCAGTACCTAGTAACTTGACCTCTAAAGCCCAAGCAGGGCCACAGCTCTCTGCACTTCGGCAATGTAGTCCTGGCAACAGCAGGAAGGTGCTGGGAAGGCTCACAAGGGTCCAGCCTTCCCCAGAGCCCCTGTGCCGGGGACGACCTCTCTCGGGGCGCTGACCCTTCTTACTGTCCTCTTCCAGCTCGTCTTGTCATAAGACTCCAGACCGAGTTAACCACGCAGTACTGGCTGTGGGGTATGGAGAGGAAAATGGGATACCTTACTGGATTGTGAAAAACTCTTGGGGTCCCCAATGGGGGATGAATGGGTAAGCAGCCAGGGGACTTGGGGCAGGGGGGTTCTGAGGATCGAGTCAGACAAGCCCCAGATGCAGCATTTATGACTGTGAGGAACACATCTGCACAGACCAAGCCAGTGTCCACAGAGCACCTGGGGCATCAGTAGGGATCCAAGTGGTCCCCTCATGAGGGCCTCCCTGGTTCTGAGGTGCAATGATGAGGGAGAACGGGGGCGGGCTCGAGGAGGGGCAGATGCGGAGGCACCCTGGCTTAGAACTGCCCCTCCCGCAGGTACTTTCTCATTGAGCGGGGCAAGAACATGTGTGGGCTGGCGGCCTGCGCCTCCTACCCCATCCCGCAGTTGTGAGGGCAGGGCCTCGCCTGGCAGGCAGGACAAGACAGTTGGCAGAGCAGAGGAGCCCAGTGGGAGTCCAGGCGCCAAAAAGAAGAGACGAGACCAGCCTCCCGTCCAGTGGCCAGCAGCCCTGCACCAAGCACCTTCTCTCCCAACAGAGGGCAACTTCTCAATAAAGTGTGCACACCTCCTGGTCTGTATTGTGCCGGGTCCTGGCCCACTACCTGCTACTTGCCCACCAAGGGCTTGGGTTCTCTTGGTCACTGACTTGCCAGAGCCAGAATCTAAAACCACATCATAGACAAGGAGACCTGTTCCTCAGCCCAGCCTGCACCCAGCTACTCTTGATACTGTGCTCAGGGGTCACTGCTGGCAGCAGAGGATTGAACAAGGGTCAGCAGCACACAGACCAAACACTTCTACTCTCCTCCAGCAGAGGGCGACTCTGGGTGTTGGGTGGCTTGGCCCTGCCTGTCACCAAACACTGAGATCTGGCTGTGACCAGGCAGGCGGCACACATGCAAGTCTGGAGTGTCTACTGAAGCCAGGGGCCTGGAGAAGTGGACACTGCTGGCTTTCCCAGTGTGATCTGCCTGGCAGCATTTACTACCATTTTATAGATGAGGTCAGGGACATGGAGCAGAGGGAAGGGGCTTCTCCATCAAGTCCCATTTGTGTTTTTTTTTCTTGGGACAAACTGAACTCTCCGAGACACAGATATGGTCTCCTTACTCCTTTGTCCAATACTTTGGATATGCCTGAGTAAAGAGAAGGGGAGGAAGAGGAAAGGCCCCACAAACTCCTAACTGCACAAAAAGCACCCCAAATCCTTGAGATTAATGTTTGGAATCCATTATCATTGAACTCTGGTTCCAGCCCCTAATTCCAATGCTCTAGTGTTGAAAGACAGGAATGAGCTGATCAACGACTCCCTGATTGACTGACGGGTGTCTGAGAATGGGAGATGGGGGTAGTTGCTTAGCTCATCATGGGCCAGTGTACTAAAAGCAAATTGCCCACGTTGCTGTAGATGAAAAGTAGGTAACTGAACCCAAACATCAGCTCATCCTTAAAGGCTAACAAGAAACCACACCCCCACCTGAAAAATCACAGTAAAAATACAAGAAAGACAACACACAATATAGAATGCACCCACACAAGCACACTGCTCTTTGAAACTTAAAGAAAATTTATTGAAGATCTGAAAAACAATTCCTAAAAGATTGACTTTTCCAGAAAACTGCAGCTACACAAGGCATTGCGTCTACCATGGCAAACGTGCATTGACACAAACACAAACACAATGAAACAAGCCACTGTTCTACAATCCGAGCCAGGGGAAGATGCCTAAGGAACACCATGGATAACCTGCAAAGGGTGGGCTCGTTAAGCACCGTTAAAAAAAAGGGGGAGCACAAGTGGGCGCAAGTGTTCAGGTATATACACTGAAATCGAACCTTTGGCACTAGCAGAGCATTTGTCACAGAGCATTAACACATAATATCAAAGTGCGTAGTGTCAAAGGAATAGGACCACCAGCATTCACAAGCAGCTTTGTCAACCAGGCAATGAAACACTAGGGTGTATCTCTGCGTCGTCCATCACTGAATACACTGGTAGCAACTTTGAAATTTTTTAAAAAAAGAGAAAAGGGAGCTATAACCCCTTTTATTTTCTGAGTTTAAACTCAAACAGAAAACAAACATCAATATTGTTATACATCAACGTTTTCAAAGTACAACAAGTGTACAAGAGGACTAAGAACAGAAGTGTGTTACAGAGATCCAAACAACGTGAGTGTGTCTGCGCCTCACACTGCTTTCCGGTGGTACTCGGGAGGTGCCACTTCATAATCGCTGGCACTAAACAGAGTTGCGGAATTCTTCGCCAAGTACCTAAACAGAAAGCTCACATTACAAAGATGGAAACGGCATCTGGATCCAAACCTCTTCACTTATTACAGAGCCATATAAAAACCCTTTCTTAGAACACAGTAAAATAATTACCTCACGGTAAAACCATGTAATTACAACTCTGATAAACAGGGATATATAACAGACAACTCAGATGAAGTCTACAACAAAGAACCAAAGAACACTCAGAATATCAACTCTAGAGTCTGGATTCTTTAAGAAACTTGGTGTTATCCCAAGATGATATCTGTACTTCTTCCAACTTTTTGAATTTTTAATATACATTCAGAAGTTAACTAGTAAATTACATGTTTAAATTTGGAATGTACATTATGAAAAAGCAACAAGCCAAAATGTCAAATTCCTGAGCACTGCTGTGTGTGGCCCCAAAAAACTGTGTAATACCTTTGTCTTCTTCCTCTGATTTATTCATTTTGCCTATCACCCTCAAGATCCTGTCAATGCTGATGTTTTGGGGTGGCCAGGGGCTTCAGTTTGGGAACCATATGGGGTGCTGGGAATTAAAGCCAGGTCAGCCACATGCAAGGCAAGAACTCTACCCACTATACTCTCTCTTCAGCCCCTCTTGATTTTTTTGTTGCTTTTTTTTGGGGGGGGGGGGGGAAATCACACCCAGAGATGCACAGGGGTTACTCCTGGCTTTGCACTCAGCAATTACTCCTGGTGGTGCTTGGGGGACCATATGGGATGCTGGGAATCAAACCTGGGTTGGCCACATGCAAGGCCCTACCCGCTGTGTAATAGCTCCAGCCTCTTGAGGTCTTTCACACTACTGTGATTTTTTTTTGCCACACCCAGTGTGCTTAGGCTTATTCCTAGCTCTGTTCCCAGAAATGAATGACTCCTAGTAGATTTGTGACCATACTGGATGCTAGGGATCAAATCCGGGTTGCCACATACAAGGCACTTACCCTACCTGCTGTACTTACTGCTCCAGCCCCCTTCATACTATTGTTCAGACTGAACTTCCAAAGTCTAGTTTTCCACTTAAAGACCTTTCTCACTAAAACAATCATGAAATTATCCTACATTTCTCCTTCATTTCTTGGTTTCTCAATACAAGCTCTTTATATTCACCATTTATAAGTGCATGATGGGTTGAAGCAGTGAGGGGCTTGCCCAGCATGTGTGGTATTTCCACATATTTGTTTTTAGTCTATCTACTCCTATACCAGTACTGTACAATATTTTTACCTATTTTATATCTTAAGATATCTAGCATCACTCAACAGAGTAATTTTCAGTATGATTTTTTCTTTTTGGATCACACCCAGCAATGCTCAGGGGTTACTCTTGGTTCTGAACTCAGGAATTACTACTGTTGGTGCCTGGGGGACCATATGGGATACCGGGGATCAAACCTGGGTCGGCCACATGCAAAGCAAACGCACTACTCGCTGTACTATCGCCCCCCCCCCCCTTTGTTGGGCCACAGCTGGTGATGCTCAGGGGTTACTCCTGTACTCCTGGTGGTGCTCGGGGGACCCGAGGATGGGATGCAAAGGATCGAACATGGACTGGTGGCATGCAAGGCAAACGTCCTACCCGCTGTACTATCACTCCAGCAAAGCAAAGTAATTTTTACTGAATGAAACTTACTTAGATGTGAGGAGAGAGGAAGAGATGAAGAACACGCTGAAAGAGAAGACAGGCTTCTCCAGAGTGGAAAAAGCCAGCAGACACACACAGGGAAGAATGAGATACATGTCGAAGGGAGAACACGGGCGCAAAGAGCAAGCCTCAAGAACGTTCTTAAGACTTACTTTAGAAAATCATGAAGGTAATTCAGTAATAAAGCAAGGCTCTTCTCATCCAGGGGCGTATAGGCCAACATAGCTCCAATTCTTACTGTTTAAACAGAAGACGTCAATCAAAGTTAAATCCAAGGTAAGTATACAGTCAATCAAATTTTACTTATCTAGTAAATTCCAATGGTCACAGACTGCTTTCATATTTTAGATAAAAGTTCTAATTCAAGAAAGGGCTCTAATTCAGTAACAGAGCACATGGCTCTTACGTACAAAGTACTTGGGTTAATTTAGAACACTTAAACACAATCAACTTTAAATGAATGGGCGATATTTTAAAATCTTTTTTTATGTCACCTCTGCTATCAAACAGAAAAATTAAAATTGTCCAAGATACACAAAGGTTGTTTTTTCTGTATGCCCTCTTACCAAACAATCTCAGCAGGTGCGGTGCCCCATACACCTGGGACATGGGGGCATCAGGGTGGTCTGCCAGGATCTCAGCGTACTGCGGTCTCTCAAACTTGTACAGGAGCTGAGTGCCCAACATCACATTGAAGTACTCTTTGATCCCCGCCACAACTTCGTTGACCGCGTACTCCCTGACAAGGAAGAATGCGTATTTTCAAAGCAGGGCACTGAGAAAGGAACAGAGACCACGGCACTTGCCTTGCACATGGTGACCCCTTTTCTATCCCTCAGTTCACTCCCCAATGCCAATAACGACTCCTGAGCACAGGGCCAAGAAGAGTCCCTTCGAATATCTGAATATTCCCCAATACATCCCCCCAAAGTGAGATGGAAATCAATCAGACATAAGGGTAAGAGAGAGAGTAAGTTGAAAGCTAAACCAACAACAACAAAACTTTTCCTAGTGTGGGGGTGTGTGAGGAAAGTCGGCGGGGGCAGGCATTTAAACCTACAGCCGCCGCAAGTGCCTCACCCACCTCCCCTCTCCAGGTCCTGAGTAGGTGTCTTTTTGTAAGGTATTCAATACCTTAAGATAATAATTCTAAAAATTAACCAAGAAGTAAGCAAACTATAGCCCTCTGACAATCACTTTTACCCTTTTAAGGTTATTACATTAAATGCGACATAAGTACTTACATATAGCAAGCCTCAATTTTACCAGAAACACTTACTATTTGGCTCTCTAATAAGTTTAAGTTGACAACCAATGCCCCCCATGTCAAAACTCTATTTTGTTAGTTTTTGGTAGTACTGTTCAGAGTATGAAGTTTTGGCTAATTTCAAAATAACATCTTAAAAAAAAGTCTTTAGGTATGCTTAAAAAGATATATATACATATATAAATATATACTTACTTATTATCTGTGTTTCCACGAGATTTCTTGTAATTTGCATAATCCTCTAGAATGGAATCCACATTCTTTTTGGCAGGGAGATAGAAAAGCTATGAAAACAAAAATATTGGAATAGCAGTATGCTCCTGGGGCTAAGCAGATAGCTCAAAGGGCTAACAATGACCGCCACACTGCACAACATGTACCACGATAAATGATGTATGTATTATCACATCACTGTCCACTAGCATGGATATTATGTAGCAGACCCCATCTGAAAGCTCTACCAACTCTCTTTTTGTCTTCACATTAGTCCTCTGAGGTAGGGATTGGGACTAGCATCAAATCAATCTCCAAGACACATCAGAAGTATCAGTGCTAGTGTCTAAGAGTACTCTACTCCTGTAACCCTCAAACAGTGCCAATGCTTCTCAAACCACTTGTCCATCACTCAGCCTCTCAAGTCATTCATTCTGATGATCAAAGTGTTGGGGCTAGAGCGACAGCACAGAGGTAGGGAGTTTGCCTTGCGCACAGCCAGCCCGCCGAGCCAGGTTCGATTCCTCCGCCCCTCGGAGAGCCTGGCAGGATACCGAGAGTATCTCGCCCACACGGCAAAGCCGGGCAAGCACCTGTGATGTATTCAATATGACAAACACAGTAACAAGTCTCAAAATGGAGACGTTACTGGGCCTGCTCGGACAGTGACAGTGATCAAAGTGTTCAATCTATGAATTCAAATACTCTCCAGTTGTCCCTCACTATTCATATTATACACCCCTTATCCTTTGATATTATATTATTTTTCACGCTAGAAAGGGCATTAAGTGGATTAACATTTGTGCAGCTTTCGGTTACCTGCTTCTGTCGAGTAATTAAGTCCCAGTCATCAACCAGCCATGGTTTTAGTTCTTCAGGAATTTTTACTTTAACTTCAACTCTGTTCATGAAAGTCTCCTCCTGAACAGAAAAAAAGGTATTAAATAGCTACTCCTTTTTGCTAAATAGCAACTCTATAAAAAAAACTTCTCTCAACCTTTAAAAGCACCGCATATAAATTCTTTCAAAAGTACCCAAATATGCTACTAACTAGCACTGCCATTGAACACCTTCAATGAAAAGACCTTTTCAAAAAGCTGCTGAGAATCCTCTTTGGAGGAAACAGTTCTATACAGTGCTTTCTCATACCAATATCAAACTTCTTTTATGCAAATTTTCTTTTCTAAGTGAACGGACTCAACGCACCTTAAATTATTATTTACAAATTTACTGATTACCCAATGGCCATCCATGTATCTTTAATTAAGTGTATTGATTCAAAAAGTAACTGAATTGACTTATGAGTCCTCGACTGTGCCCATAGATGCCTAAAATATGAGAATATTCCCTTTTATTTTTCCTCCAGAATATTCCTATTTTTATACATACCACTAATTCTGCTTCATAAATTTCCACTGTTCTTTATTTGGATATGAACACAATTAGTAACAATATTGTTATTTAAGAGCTAATATACCCATACATGTATGCTGAACTTAGAAATTTGCTGATGTGTTTATGGGTTATTTAAATTAGTACGAGAAACACTAAACTACCTAACATTTAGGAAGCTGAAACAGGAGAAGGGGTGGGCAGAATCTAAGAGGCAAACCTAGAGCTACAAGTAAAGCAAGTAAAGGATGCATACTAAATATATGCTTTCCCCCGAAAGTAGGCGCTCTGGGTTCCATCCTCAGCACCAAAGGGATAGGGAGGAGAAAACAAAACAAAACTCACATTTTCAACTGTGGGATCTACTCGAGCTCTTTTCTTCCGAGGAGGCTGAGGTGTCTCACTGGTACTGCCTCCATCTCCATTCCCAGGAGCTATCAAAATTGGGGTTGTGAAGGGGGGATATTTCACTTATTAAAAAAGAAGTCCTTTCAAGGAAAATATCTCACAATATCTCTCAAAATAACTCCCTCTTTTATTTCAATCTATAGTAACAAATCATACTGCTACCAAAATAGACCTTTCATGAACAACTCTACCAAACATTTAGCATAAAGCACATTTGGCACCATTACCATCATACCACTCATCTAAACATCATCTTCTAAACATTATCTTCTCGGGGTCAGGAACAAAGACTATAGACCATACAAACAGTAGGTCTCTGAAATTTACTCTAGTGCAATGACTCTTATGAGACCATCAATAAACATTACTCTTAAATTCTGTAAATTCATATTTTATTAGGGAATTTTATTTGTCCTAAAAGAACGAAATAAAATTAATTTTACCTTTCTGTTTGTTCTTTTTTGTTTTCCTATAAAGAGAGAGAGAAAAAGAAAATAAACATAATTAACTCAGGAACCAATTATTTTGAGACCTCCCACTGTCCAAAGAGAAAAAACCTGATTTTTTCAGATCCTTACTCAACTATTATTTTTAATTGAAACACATTGCAATACTTTACATTATTATCACTCTGGCCCTGAAGTTTTTAATTTTTAAGTTTTTTTTTATCAGTTACTACTCCTACACTGCCTTCCAAGTACATAATTTTTGACACAAACATACCATGTGAAGCAAGTGGAAACAAATATAAACAAATGGAACTACATTAAGAAACTTCAGCATCTCAAAAGAAACAGTAACTAAAATACAGAAAGAACCCATGAAATGGGAAAAAAATATTTACCCACTACCCATTAGACAGGGGCTTAATTAATATTCAGGATATACAAGACACTGGTAGAATTTTACAAGAAAAACCTCTACCCCATCAAAAAATGGGGAGAAGAAATAAACAGAAACTTCCTCAAAAAAGAAACTTAAGGGGCTGGAGTGATAGCACAGCGGGCAGGGCGTTTGCCTTGCACACGGCAGACCTGGATTCAATTCCCAGCATCCAGTATGGTCCCCAAGCACCACCAGAGTAATTCTTGAGTGCATGAGACAGACAGGAGTAACCCTTGTACATTGCTGGGTGTGATCCAAAAAGAAAAAAAAAAATTAATGTCCAAAAGGCACATGAAAAAATGCTCTGCTAATCATCAGGGAGATGCAAATCAAAACAACGAGGTATCATCTTACACTACAGAAACTGGCACACACAAGAACAAGAACAACCAGTGCTGGTGATGATGTTGGGAGAAAAGGAACTCTCATTCACTGTTGGTGGGAATGCCAACTGGTTCAGCCTTTTGGGAAAACAATATGGACATTCCTCCAAAAACTAGAAACTGAACTTCTATATGACCCAGCAATACCACTCCTGGGAATATATCCCAGAGATGCAAAAAACTACCACAGTAGAAATGACATCTGCACTTGTATGTTTATTGCAGCACTGTTCATAATAGCCAGAATCTGGAAAAAACCCGAGTGCCCCAGAATAGGTGACTGGTTTAAGAAACTCTGGTACATCTACACAATGGAATACCATGAAGCTATTAGAAGAGATGAAATCACGAAATTAACATATAAATCAATAGATATGGAGGTAAGGCTAAGTGGAATTAGTCAGAAAGAGAGGGACAGACAGAGAATGACTGCACTCATTTGTGAAATATAAAGTACCATAATAGGAGACTAACACCTAAGGACAGTTGAGATAAGGTCCAGGAGGGTCATGCCATGGACTAGAAACTTGCCCCACGTGCTGCAGGAAAAGGCAGTTGGGATGGAGAAGGAACCACTAAGTAAATGATGACTGGAGGCATCGCCCAGAATGGGAGATGTGTGCTGAAAGTAGACCAAGGACTAAACACCAACCTTAGTATCTGTATTGCAAACCACAACCCCCAAAATTAGAGAGAAAGAAGGATGGTACCTGCCACAGAGGCAGCGAGTGGGTGGGGTGGGACACTGGAAACAATGGTGGTGGAAAATGTGCACTGGTGGAGGGATGGGTGCTCAAACATTGTATAACTGAAAGGTAATCGTGCAAGTCTGTAACTATCTCAGGATGATCCAATAAAACTTCTTTAAAAAAAATGTACATAAGCAGCACCTAAATTACCAAACTTAAATCTCTTAACGTGTTAAGATTAACAACCAAGAATTGTTTGAATTTTAGCTATAAAACAAAGAGAGGTCTTACACTTCGACATTTTTCTGTTGGAGGCCAGATGTCTTCTTTCCTGGGGCAGCCCCTCTCATCTTCCCCTCTGCATACTGCTCCCTTCAAAAATAATTCTGATCATTATGGCACCAGCTTTTCCAAATTTTATGTTGAAACTCATACTCAAATTCAGATTATGGAGTTTATAAATTATAACATAATTCTAAACAAGTTGAGACAAAGATGATACAAAAACCAACAATCGAGAATGAAAGGAAGGCCTAAAATTTGGCTCTTAGGTATCAACCAAAACCAAAATGTAACAAAAGGTGATTATTTTCACTTAATTGAAAATTCCATTTGCTTTAGAACCTACTCTCCCAGAATTTTATTTGATCCCATTTGCTAAACAACTCAGCTTAGAAATCAAGAAAATCGTGCTATAAGCCAAGGGCCTTAAAGGATCTCTGGATGTGCCTCCAAAGAGAAAAGATTGTATCAGGAATGCCATCTTCTTGATTTTTATTCTTCCAAAACCAAGTACGTCTTCCGTGAAGCCCAAGAAATGGGATAGGGCCCAACTCCAGGAATTTCTAACATCCCACTATGATTTCTACTTCCCTCTAAGCAAGTAAATACCGACAGGTGAGACTCAACCTTTATGTAGGAAAGGCTTAACTGATGACCTAACATCAGTCAGGTCACTGCAACACACAGCTTTCAGTTCCCTTTTAGGCAGGTAGCCAACATTTCTAGCCTTCATTCCATTTCCAAACACCAACTTGCTGGCATTTCTCCTCATACTCAGACAAACTTACTGATTAGCTTTTTGAAGTTCTCGCTGTTTCTGCAGATTGGTGTCTACATATTTGAGCACTCTGCTTTCTGGAACCCATTCATCCCAACTAAAAAAGAGGAAAGTGAAAATTCATTAAAAAAAAAAAAATCTTTATTACTCTTCAGACTCTGCCCTCCAATTATTTTGTAGAGATCCAAAAGACAAGCCTTTGGATTTCTCGGAAATAATTTCTTGAACTGGCACTACAAATCCAGCCTGAACTAAAGTGAGAATCTAGACTGCAAAGGAAGAAAATTTCATGTTTACAAAAGCAGCATTCCAAATCTCAGTTGTCAAGAGTCCAAAGACAGGTTTTTCAAACTGTTCTTTAAGACGGTATTAAGGGGCTGGGAGTGTAGCTCAGTGGAAGAGTGCATGCTGCACATGAAGGCGGCCATGTTCAACCCTCGGCACCGGCACCCCACACCCACGAAAAAAGGACAAGGCCTAAGACTACAGCATGTAAGGGTCCCTAAGTAATTATCCTCACAAAATAAAGACATCTTCCAAAGAAATTATTTGAAGAAGCACAGACATCTGTAACGTTACTTATACAGTAACTGTAACTCAAAGCTAGTTTTTTATCAGTTCTTATCACCTGTAAAATGGGGCTAGGAATACTACTCGTCGATGACAAAAATACATGTAGAACGCTTCAGTGTCTGACATGACAAAATACTCAATGTCAGAAAACATTACCTCCAATACCTTCCAGATTTAGTCAGCTGACTATTAAGCATTCTAGTGCTCTATCAAACTGCACCATCCTCAAGAATCACTCACACAAAGACAAAAAATTTACCAGGCTTAAAAAAAGGCTTTCTAACCACCAAAAGGTGGAACTAACACTCTTAAAAATATCAAAAGTTGTTAGGGCATTCTGGCACTTAAAAAAGCTCCTTCAAAACAAGATTTCTGAGGCTTTTTCCAAAGGGGGAAAACTAAAACAAAGCATGTTTTAGGGATTGCTTAGCTTTTTTGTGCAAAGTGATGCTTTTCTCCTGCTGAGGGAGCTCCTTTAGTGACACATTAGCTTTATTCTCAAAGCAGTCTTTTTTTTTTTAATGATTTCCCACCTCTGACCTCATATATAAGATAGCCAAAAGGATAATAAATTAAAAAAAAAAAAAACAAAAAACAAACAAAAAAATTTTTTTAAAAAAGCAGCAATCCTCAACATGATTTCCTAGAGAAAACTTTAAAACATGCATTTACCTAGAGGTCAGGAGGGGGTGGTGTACTGAGGGAGCTCCTTCAGGAACAGGAAAAAGGGCTACAATATCCTCACGTGTCTTCAAAGTGTTTTCAGAGCGCCTGGGCCTCACAGCACTTCTGATACAGACAGCACAGTACAAAGTGATCTCAGTAACTAGGTGCAGAATTTAGCTTAAGCTTTATTAAGATTTACAAATGGAATATTTAAAAATGTCCGTGTCAACAAATTCCAGTAAGGCTTTTGGAAATTTAGATATCTGATTATCCATTGTGCGTTAAAAAAAAGTATAGTATATTTACAAAAGTTTAAGAAAATTCCAATTTGAAAACTGGGATTTTGGTTGTTTGCTTTTCTAAAAATAAGATTATCTAAACCATTTTAAAAACCAACCGTTTTCAAAATGAGCATCTATTTATGTTTAATTATGTTTCAATTTCATCTACAGGGGAGTGAGCCAGTTATTATTGTGACAAAGTTCCAATTGAGAACCCTGTCAAGTCTTTCCCCTGATATGAAATGCATCTAAATAAGCACTTGATCTGTTAGTCAAATAATACTAGAATCTCTCCTATAGGTTAGAAGTCAAAAATTCTTGGACTGAACCGAAGTAAGTTAATGTCTTCTGCTCTGAGGAACATCATGCCTAAGATAATTAGCTGACCACTAAGCATTCAAAAATTTTTATATACAGATCATAAAATTTCATAAGTTTCAAAAGCGCAGTCTGTAACTAATTCCCCAGTAACAGTGATCCCTGGCACAACTTTATATGACATTGAAAAAAACCCACAACACACTTCCCAAGCATTAAAGCATCTCCATTTTCAAACTGGGTGTTTTAAAGGCTCCTCTAAATATCAACGGTCACTTTTCAAAATTGTTTATATTTATCAACTAAAAAAACACACATCTCAATAAAATTCCTCAATAGATCTACAAAGATACTTTTCCAAAAATATAAAATTAGCTGAAAAAGCAAAATCTTCAAGTCTACTGTTTGTTATTGAATTATGACAAAGAAAAATGTAAATACATCTTTATTATAAGTGCGGGGGGGGGGGGGGGCAGAACTATTCCAAGAATTCTGCTGTTTCCTGGTTAACAACTTTCCCAAACATTAATATACACAAAATGTTGTATTTCCTGGGGCTGGAGGGATAGCACAGCGGGTAGGGTATTTGCCTTACGCACAGCCGACCCCGGTTCAATTCCCAGCATCCCATATGGTCTCCTGAGCACCACCAAGAGTAATTCTTGAGTGCATGAGCCAGAAATAGCCCCTGAGCATCTCCAGGTGTGACCCAAAATGCAAAAGCAAAAAACAAAACAAAAACCAAAAAACATTGTATTTCCTGCAGAAAATTAACATACTCATTACTTTCCACCTAACCTATTCACTGAGCATTAATTACATAAAACATAAGGCTAATAGGGGCTGGAGCGATAGTACAGCGGGTAGGACATTTGCCTTGCACGCAGCCAACATGGCCGACCCGGGTTCGATTCCCAGCATCCCATATGGTCCCCCGAGCACCGCCAGGAAAATTCCTGAGTGCATGAGCCAGGAGTAACCCCTGAGCATCGCCGGGTGTGACCCAAAAAGCAAAAAAATAAAATAAAATTAAAAAGGCTAATAAAATGACTAAACTACAGTTCTAACATAAGAAGTAAAAGCCATGCTATACACTAGGAATCACAAAATAAGCTTTCAGACTGGAAAGCTAAGTGATAAGGTCCTTGTCTTGCCTGAGTCCAACCCAGGTCTGATCCCCAGCATCCAATATGATCCTCGAGTACCACCAGGAGCAACCTGAGCGTTGCCAGGTATGATTCCAAATCCAAAGGGAAACAAAAAATATGCTTTCCTGAGCAATAAAAAAATTTAACACTAATACCCAAATCCTATCTAATATCAGTTTACTTCTCCAAACTAAAAGACAGTTTCCGCTATCATTTTCCCAATTTCTCAGTATTTTTAACCACTAACAGGGTTCAAGTTAATATTACCTAAATATTAGAAATAGGCCAGACAAGCTTAAGTGATAGTATGCATGCCCTACACGTGTGAGGTCCTGATTTTGACCCCTGGAACTACCACTAAAACCCCGTACCAAGCAAAAAAGGCACTTCTATAAAATTTGTATTTGTCTCGTCTACAATTATACAAGTTTAAGAAGAGTTAGCAGTCTGGTATTTCTTACCTAAAAGTACTGAGTAAAAATAAGTAAGCAAAATTAAGTTGGTTGGTCACTTGGATAACAGACAGCATGAAACACCAAGGTCATGGGGCAAGAAGAAGGTCCTGGTCAACCTCCTTCATGAAACAGCACATTCATCCAGATGACACAAACTATACAAACTGTTCACTGGGAGACCAGGGAGGTGGCCAGAGTTCAGCTCAGACCAGATAATGCCTTGACGTTACCAGTAACCTCCAAAAGAATTGAAGGACAAAATACCACGCATATAAATGTTTTAATTCCTTCTCGGTTAAGAACTACAAGCTACAAAGCACTACAAAACACCAAAAAAGAGTCATTACAAGTATTATTTGTGGTGCCAAGGAAAGACTTCCATCTGCATTTAATATGTAACCAGTCTCTAGCCCAAAACAGTTTAATAGATCATTCCAAAAAAATCTACTTGTCACGGAAAAAAACAGATACTGTAATTCAATTTCTCTATCTAGTCAACTGTAAGTTAGAAAGTGAACCAACCACATGAAATCACTTTCTGTCCACATTTAACTATGCTTCCAAGGTTTAGGAAATAAGTTGGTCATTATTTCCAAACCAGACAATCTTTATCCTTTTCTAGGGAGAAAAATCCAACTAGCTTTTGAGTACATCTGCTAGAAATCTCACTAAGATTGTGCTAAGGCAAAAAACACATTTCCTAAAATATACCAAAAAGTAGTTGGCTCATTAATGCCCACTAGATGTTATACTGTGACACAGATGACAGGATGTACTTCAAAGATGTGAAATAAAATGTTTTTGCACCCTAATCCATCATATTATATATTCAATAGTAGTTTCATCATATTAACAATGGTTTGTTTATCCTCGTTTCAATACTATCACAACTGTACCCATCTATTATGACATAAGCAACCTTTGTTAATTTTATTTTAGGTGTATAATTTTAAACAAAATATTGCTTGTAAAAGTCTAATACTCACTTTTTATTCCAACCACTGTAATGTATAAAGTATTTCACTTGTTTGTCCTTTATGGCAACCTTTACACACTGAAACAAAAAAGAAATTTTCACTTAGAAAAATCGTGTGTGTGGGGGAAGCAATCTTTCAAAGATATTTTCTACTATTCTGGTGGTCAAAATTAACAATAAAATATGACTAAAATACTATTAGAACTTTTTTTTTTTTGCTTCTTGGGTCACACCTGGCAATGCACAGAGGTTACTCCTGGCTCATGCACTCAGGAATTACTCCTGGCGGTGCTCAGGGGACCATATGGGATGCTGGGAATCGAACCCGGGTCAGCCGCATGCAAGGCAAACGCCCTACCCGCTGTGCTATCGCTCCAGCCCCACTATTAAACATTTCAACTAAAATAGTAAGCTGTAAACTTCTGCTTATTGGTGACAATTAGTTGGAGCCAGTCCAACAAGGTCAGCAGGTTGGAGCCTAGCTCCTTAAACTCTGGGCCTGGACCCCACATGGGGTTACATGCATTTTGGAAATATCTTTATGTTTATTATCAAAGTCTGAGTTGTAATCCTATTTTATAAACACAGAGTTGAGTAAAAGCTTCCTGAGTGAAGTTTAAAAGCCCTGGGCTAGATAAACCAGAACAGATAATGATAGCCATGTTTGTATTTTCTCAAAGTCTAGCCCAGAGCCCTGGTTTATTTCAGAAACAAAATCAGCTGAAGAAACGTTTAAACCATATTACACAAGTCTAAGCCTAAGAAAAGCAGTAACTTTATTGCAAAATATCAGCAACCAGCAGTATAAATGACTACAAAAGCATTGTTAGGTCAAATCAGAGGTTGGAGCAATAGTACAGCGGGCAGGGTGCTTGCTTTGCACCTGACTGACCCAGTTCGATTCCTGGTAGCCCATAAGGTCAATCCCAAGACTGAGCAGAGCACACAAGCCCTAAAAATAGCCAGGTGTGGCCCAAAACCAAAAAAAGAAGTCAATTTAAAATCAATTTTTTTGGGGGGTGGGCCAAACCGGGCAATGCTAGGGGTTACTCCTGGTTCTGCACTCAGGGAAGAGCACTACCTGATGTACTACTGCTCCAGCCCAGCCTCTAAAATAGTTTAATAGAAAAACATGAATAGACATATGATCAGATGACTATAAAACATACTGGCATTATGTGCTTGTGGTATCTCTATGAGTATCACTTCAGCCATCTAAAATTTCAAAAACACACCCATGTATTAAAAAAACAATGTGTATGACCGAGACTTAAACCTGAAAGCTTTGTAACTGTTCTCCCGGTGATTCAATAAAAAAAAAAAAGTAAGGCCAGTTTGAAGTACATGCTTTGCATGCAAGAGGCCTGGACTCCGCCCCCAGCACCACATGTCCCCACCTCCCAAGCATCAGTAGTTTAACCAAGAGCCAAACCAAAACAAAGAAGAAAAAAAAAAAACAGTATAAAATAATGAAAATGATTAGTCAGAGTCTGGTGCTTTACAATTATATTAAGACTATTTCCAAGCAGACTATTCACCAAGAATATATATGCAGACACTGTCTTAATAAAATATACTACTTGGAATACGTACATTTAAAAACAATACAACTGCTACCCCAAGCATGTCAGTAAACAAGATCCCCCTCAGCAAATGAAACAATAGTGACATCTTAAATATCTACACTAAAATAGTTACCAGAAACAAAATATAAAACATCTGTTTACCTTGGTAAGTGTAGAATCAGTTTTTAAAGCCTGAGCACACCATTTAGAGGAAAGGGAACCCCAACAGGGTTCACAATGTGTCAGATAAGCCAATCAAGTTAAACGCCCCACTTGTTTGCAACCTTTAACAACATAGCTTAGTGCTCACCTTTAGCACACTGCATTTGCATATAAAAATTAAGAAGTTTGAAGTGCTTTCCTGACTCCTTCACCATACACAGCAACCTATCTGAACCCACAAAAAGCTGATCTCTTATCATTCCGCTAAAATGCTCCCTCCAACTGCAGGGAGGTCAGTAAGGTAAATTACAAGGTATGCAATGCTTACTTGGCCACTAAACAAGAAATTCAGAGAGAAGAGAAACTCTACACATCTTTGGAAAAGACAACTCTTAAGATCATCCTATAACCACTGTTATGTGTTATTAGAGGTCAGATCTAACCAGCAGTTCTAACTGTTCAAAGAAAAACAAGTTTCCTGGGACTGGAGTGATAGCACGACGGGTTTGCCTTGCATGCGGCCAACCTGGGTTCGATTCCCAGTATCCCATATGGTCCCCCAAGCACCACCAGGAGTATTTCCTGAGTGCATGAGCCAGGAGTAACGCCGCCCCCCCAAAAAAAACAGAAAAACAAGTTTCCTACCTTTGCTTCATAAAGAAGAGGCCCATGAAAACACAGCACTCGCTCACCTGTAAAAATTAAAAAAAAAAATCACTGTATTAGTAATAACGTACCTCCATATAGAAGACTTTCATCTGAATGCCACCACACTCATACTGTGGCATTTCTCACAAAATCAGGTTGGCAAGTATGTATGAACCAACACTTCAGGTAAATCTCAATAGTACTCACAAACACTTGCATACAGATGACCCAGGTGGATCCCTGGCACAGGACTCCCCACCCTGGAGTGGGGGCATAGAGATAGTACAATGGGTAGGGTGCTTGTCTTGCATGCAGACAACCTGGGTTTAACCCCTGAAACACCATCCCCATACAGTCCCCTGAGCACCACCAGGAATGATCTGTGAGCACAGAGCCAGGAGTAACCCCTGAGCATCCCTGGATGTGGCCAAACCCCCATCCCCACCCCAATCCTCAAAAAGCAAAGTTGTGCATGGAGGATTCTTGTGGTGTGGTCTACTCCAAAGAATCAGTGCCAAAGGGCCTAGGCAGAGCAGGAAGTGGAGCCTGGAAACAAAACCATTCAGAAGCAAGAATTCTAAAAAGGCTGAATCAAAAGCAGTGAGAAAGAACTGACTGACTTCCGACTGCTCTAAGAACCACCCAGAACAGGAATGGAAAACGTCTCATTATCAATTTGGTTCCAGCGGCACACAACAGGCTGCAAAGCATGCTCTGCTAAGACGCAGCTCAGGCAGGAGGCCTGAGCCTGGCTGCTAGCTGGCTAAAAAGTTTTGCCCGGGGAGCCTCAGGACTAAACAACAATTACGACTGAATTTTACTCCGAAGCCATTTTTAAACTATAGAGACCATCTCCTCCAACGACTGGCTTAGCGGGTGCTGACAAAGTTCAGCATGCGGCTTCAACGCCAACGGCTCTAGGGGGCTTCCAGTGCTACCCCCAGGTGTGTGGAGGGGAGGGGGGAATGCTGTGCCTGGGCGCAAACTTAGCTCTACCACCGGCACTACTCGAAATCTACTCCAGGTTCTCCATGGCACGGAGAACGCGAACCCACACTGGCTGCCACCGACAAGCACAACTGCAACGAGGCCCTTTATATAACCACAGGGTAACGGGGGCACCCCCCAGTCGAGTTCACGAACCGCCTTCACGTGTTGATATTACAAAAACCGGGCGTGCAAGAGAAAGCTGATCCAACAATCACCATAACGTTAACGGGCGTTGGCTGCAAATCTATCTTCTGAGAAGCAAATGAGATCCGAATGCATCTTTGCAGCGCGGCCCCAATGCCAGAATATGAGAATCCACTAACCCTAGCGCGGGGGAACCTACATTCGCATCTGAGACCAATCCCGCAAAATACTTTCCCATCCAGGTCCACGAATCTTTCCCATTTTACCCATTGTAGCAATTCCCGCTCCGAAAGACCTAGTGAAGAAACAGGAAGCCCGCCGGGCAACCTCAGCCTGCGCCTTCAGCGGGCGGCCAGTGGCCACTTGCGCAACGGCTCTGGTCTCCTCTATCCACCTGACGGGCCACCCGCGCCCCGGCTCTGGCGAGGCCCGTTCGCGCAGAGCGGAGCTCCGCACGGGGGCCGGCGGGGCCAGCGGCGGCCGGGAGGGGGAAGCAGCAGACGGGGGCCCGGAAGGCGGGCGGAGCCGGCCGGGCCGAGCGCGCGCGACGGTTCAGCGGGATCCGGCACGCCGACACGGGCCGCGAGCGACGCCCGGCGGGACCGAGCGGCGGCCTAACGGTCCGGGGCGGCGGGCTGGCGCTCCGGGTCCTCCGCCCGCGGGGGTCTCACCCGACGCCTCCCGCCCGCTCCGGCCCGGTCGCGCAAGCGTCCGCACGGCACGGCACGCCGCCGCCGCCCCCCGGGGCCCGCGCAGAGGCGGGGGCGCGCAGAGGCGGGCGCGCGCGGGGGGCCCCGAGGGCGGCTCGGGGGCGCCGCTCGGCCGTCACGTGAGGGGCTGCGGCCCGACGCGCTCGCAGGGCCGCGGCGCCATCTTGCGGCGCCATCTTGCTGCGCGGCCGGGGTCCGGCGGGCGCGGCCGGGCCGCTGAGGGGCTGAGGGGCCCCGCGAGCTGCGGCGCCGCCCCGGAGCTGCCCTGCGGCCCGGCCTCGCGCGCTCGGCGCCCGACGGCAGCGAGAGGCCGCGGGCTCGCGGCGCCGCCTCCCCCTCAGCGCGGCCCGCCGAGGGCGCCGCCGCCCGGTAGCACAAAGCCGCCCGCTCGCCGCCTCCGCGCCCGGCCGACTCACCCTCCTGGAATTTAGGCTTCGGGTCCTGCTTGGGCGCCATTTATAAGTGATTCGCCGCCGCCTCCTTCTCCCGCCGCCCGACTACCGCCCCCTGCTCGCCACCCCACCCAGAGCTGCGTCAGCCGCGCCGTCAGCTCCGCCGGCTCTACATCCCCGGCGCGATTCGCCAGCGCCGCCGACCTCACCGCCCGCGACTGCGCCTGCGCGCCCGCCAACGGCCGCCCGCCGCCCCCGCGCACGCGCACTCGGCCCCCGCCGCGCCCGCCGCCCCCACCGCGCACGCGCGCTCCGGCCCGCGGCCGCCCGCCGCCACCGCGCACGCGCTCCTGCGCCAAACGCGGGGGCGCCGCGCCTGGAGGGGGGCGAGCACTCCCCCGCCGCGCGCCCCCTCCCCCCCAGTCTACCCGGCCCCCTCTGGGTGTAGGGAGCAGGCCGGTGTGGCTCGCGTTGAGACCGAGGGTGCTGGCGCCCACCGCGCTTTAGGCTACAGCGTGGCGGGTCCGGGGCGCAGGCCAGGCTCCAGGCCGGGCCTCGCGCTTCCTCCTGGCACCCGAGTTAGGTTGCTCCGAGGGTGTCAGGCGTACAGTGCTCCCACCCCACAACCCCAGCCAGGGTGCCCCAGTCCCTCCAACGCTGGCCCTCAGACGCTGCTTCAGAAGGAGTCTGGAGCCAGGCAGTCATTGCTCTTCCCCGGGCTTCGGAAAGGGGAGGAAGTGAAGGCGAGGACAGCTGAACGTGCAATGTAGTGAGGTCGCTTTGATTGTTTTTAAAGCAGGGCGTTTGTCTCCCACGTGGCTCCTTGCGACGGATCCAAGGGTCCCATCTGCGTCCCCACTGCCCCCAGGGTTGCGCCAACCCAACCAGGTTTATCCCTGAGGCCGCTGGGTGTGGCCCAAAAACAAAACCTTGAGGAGTGTAATCCTTTTCTGTCTGGTAGGTTTTTTTTTTTAAGTCCTTCCTGGAGCTATAGCACAGTGGGTAGGGCGTTTGCCTTGCACGCAGCCAACATGGTCTACCCGAGTTCAATTTCTCTGCCCCTCTAGGGAGAGCCCAGCAAGCTACCGAGAGTATTTTGCCCGCGGCAAAGCCTGGCAAGCTACCCATGACATATTAGATATGCAAACACAGTAACAAATCTCACAATGTTACTGGGCCCGATGAGCAAATCGATGAACAACTGGACAACGGAAGGACAGTGACAGTCCTTTCTGGACTGAAACTGCCACGACTCCAGCAGTAGGAACACATTGGCCATGATTTCTGAGGACTGCTTCCCTCCAAGGTGGGCAGAGGGGCTTCCCCTGCCTTAGTCCACCTCTTCCAGAGCTGTACATTCGGTACACCTGAATTCTGAACGTAGCTCTTGACTCTGACCCGTATTCACGGAGCAATTATCCCCTAAGATCAAAGTGGGCTTTTCAAAGGTGCCTTCCCACAGAGGGGCTCTTCCCAGCCTGACCTCCCAATAGTTGGTCCCCTCTTACACCCTGATTCTAATCGCTTAATCACTTAACTTCCCCTTAGTCGTCGATTTGCTCGAGCGGGCACCAGTAATGTCTCCATTTGCCCCTGTCGCGTGCTAGTGTAGCCCAGTGGCATCTGTTTCGCTCTGGGAACATGAAGAGCCTCAAACCGATCGTTCATGATCTTGATGAAGAAGTCTGACCATCTGGTAGGTGGGCGGCCACGCGGTCTTTTGACATCCCGTGGGATACAGTCAGTAACAGCTCTAGTACAGCGGTCGTCTTTAAATCTCATTACGTGACCAGCCCATCTGATTTTTGACACCTTGGCAAATGAGACAGCGTCCCTGATTCTTGATTGTCGACGGATGTCGGAACTCCGGATTCTTTCTCTCATTTGAGTGAAACGTGATATTCCAAGCATAGCTCTTTCAATTCCTCTTTGGGAGACCCGAATAGCATTCTCATCCTGTTTATGTAGGGCCCAGGTCTCTGAGGCATATGTTAATGCAGGAAGAACAGTGGAATCAAAGAGATGTGCCCGGAGCCGGAGGTTCTTCGTCCTCTTAGCTATTTCTTCGACGTTCTTGAAGGCATTCCATGCTGCTCTCTTCCTCCTGGGCAGCTCAGGTGCCAGGTCATTCATCATGTTGACCTCTCGACCTAGGTACACATAGCTGTTGCATTCGGAGATGGTCGTTCCATTGAGAGCGAATGGGGCATCAGGAACGAGGCTGTTTCTCATAAACATTGTCTTCGTAAGATTCAGCTGTAGTCCTACCTTTCCACACTCACGGTCAAAGTCGGCCAGCATTTGTGCCGCTTGGCTGATGTTTGGTGTTATTAAAACAATGTCATCAGCAAAGCGGAGGTGGTGTAGTTGCCGACCATCTATCTTCACTCCCATTTCTTCCCATTCCAGTTGTCGCATGATGTTCTCGAGGGTGGCACTGAAGAGTTTTGGTGAAATGGTATCACCCTGCCGAACCCCTCTCGACATCAATGATTACTTCTTTGTAGAATGGTGAGATCCTGGTAGTGAATCCGCAATACAGCTCACGGAGGATCTTGATGTATTGGGCTTGAATGCCCTGATTGGCTAGGGCTTCAATGACCGCTTCCGTCTCAACAGAATCAAAGGCCTTCTTTAAATCAATGAACATTAAACAGAGCGGCATCTTGAACTCCCGAGAAACCTCAATGAGCTCCCAATAGTCGGTCCCCTCTTACACCCTGATTCTAAACAGCTGGTTAAACTTTAGGGAGACACAATTCAACCCACTGATATGTTGATCTTACATCTAGAACAAGGCTTATCTTCGGTTTTTGGAGTTTGTTTTGTTGTGTTTTTTTGGTTTTTGTTTTGGTTTTTGGAGTCACCTGGTGGTACTTAGGGCTTACTCCTGACTGTGTGCTCAGGGATCACTCCTAGCAGGGCTCATGGGATCCTATGGGGTGCTTAGGATCAAACTTGTGTCTTGTCGGGTACAAGACAAGCACCCTGCCGGCTGTACTATTGTTCTCCGTTCAAATTTGCTTTTTCTGAAACGAGTCTATCTTATCCCAACTAGGAATCAGGTACATCTCTGTAATAAAGGGATTCAGGAGGCGTCATATTTTTTGTGAGAATTTTTCCTTTGTGTTTCGTGTTTGAAATCACACTTTGATTATCATGTACCGAGTGTTTGAGAATTGCTGGCAATGATTCAAATATCTACGATAAAGAATATGCTGCTTTCAACATAAAAGGTTTGTTGAGTTCTTTTAGAAAATTACATGAAGGAAAACAGGATTGTGTGCTTTGAGATATATTGTGAGACTCCAAAATGGCTGAAAGAAAAATGTTCACTTTGATAGTTTTTGATTTTTAAAGGGAAGGGGCATGGGGGAATAGCTCAGTGGTTTCGAATGCCAGCTTTTCAGGCACCTGGACATGAGTCTGACCCCCCTGAAGCTGCTCATCAACCCTGGGGGTTGTGATTCCCAGTGTCGGGTGTATACAAACAGTGTTGTGAACCTATGTGAGCCCCCCTGAACCACAGCCAGGAAGCATATTTGCAAACATCGCAATAGAAGGTGCACAGGCCTTGGTGAGCACTGGACTCAGGCCCCCAAAGCAGGCCAGTGTATGCCCTAGACAAAGTGCTGCCCCACCCCCAGTCTTCTTGAGCAATGCAGGGAGTTTCTCCCCAGACACGCACATTTTTCTCCATGAAGAATTAGGTTGGGGACATCCTGGGGTAGATGCGAGAGGTACAGAAGAGATGGCACAGGCTGGTTATTCCCCTGAGGCCCTCGGCCCAGCTGGCTCTGTCTGCTCCCTCGCTTTCTGCATCTGTGTGCTGTGGAGAAAGGAGCACATAAAGCCAGGTCTAGGCCAGCCTGAGACACAAAGACACTTGAAACCTTCCTGAAGACAATTTTTTGTAAAGGAAAAGTACCAGCCTGGCTGTCACCATGGAGACAGCCAGGACAAGGACAGTGGCAACTCTGGTCCTCTCTTTCCTCCCTGTTCTCATGCTACATTCCTCATTGGTCTGTGGCGGGGAGGGAAGAGGGCTGGGTGTGGGGCTGCGGGGGGGGGGGGGGCCTGCGGGGGGGAGGTGGGGGAGGGGATCTGCAGCGTCAAATCTTCCGCTCTTCACTAGGCCTATCTGGTCCTGCATGGCCTGACTTCCCTGACCTCTGACCACCTGGAGTGGGTGCGTGCTTGTCACACTGAGTCACAAAGGAAGCACTTCTCCCAGTCTGTAGGACTCAAAGCCCCTCCCACACCCCCACCCTTGCCACAACATACATGTCAGTTTGGGCCCTGTCCCCTGCTCCTGGCTTCTTTCTACCCTGAAGACCCCTCCAGGGCAGCTTCTTCATAAAGACCAGGGTTGTCAGATACAAGGGTGCTGCCTTTGTATGCCATGCAATGCCCACCCTGTGCTCAGATTGTGCAGTCAGCTCCTAATGCCAGCTGCCTGCCACAAAATTGTGAGGTGCCAGCCCAAGAGAAGTGGCAAGGAGTGCATGCTAAACACGCATGGACCCTGACAACCCCAGTCTCTGCTCATGGCAGGATGGGCCCCTACCTCCCATCTGGTGGGGGCTCACACCTGTGAACCCACACCCTTTGCTGCAAGGGATCCTCACACCAGATACCTGACTGAGCCACAGTGCTCTTAAGGAGTCTTGAAAATGTTTCTCGTACTGTTTTCTAGTATTGTTTCTGAGTATACCCAGTGGTATTCAGGGGCTACTCCTGGCTTAGGGCTTGGGGAACCATTCGGTGCTGCAGATGGAAGCATGTACTAGTTACCACTCCTTTTTTTCCGTTTGTTTTTATTTTGGGGCCACATCCGGCAAAGCTCAGGGGTTACTCCTGTCTCTGCACTCAGGAATCACTCCTGGTGGGCTCAGGGGACTATATGGGATGCCGGCGATGGAACCCAGATCAGCGACTTGCATGGCAAGCTCTCTCCCTGCTGTACTATCACCTCAACTTTGTATTTTAAATTTCTGCCATTATCGGTCTGTGAAATACTTCTTTATTTTCACTTGTCTGAAGACATTAAAAAGTTGAAGAGGTGCTGGAGAGATAGCACAGCGGGTAGGGCGTTTGCCTTGCACGCGGCCGACCTGGGTTCAATTCCCAGCATCCCATATGGTCCCCTGAGCACCGCCAGGAGTAACTCCTGAGTGCAGAGCCAGGAGTAACCCCTGTGCATTGCTGGGTGTGACCCAAAAAGCAAAAAAAAAAAAAAGTTGAAGAATAGGACTGGAGCAATAGTACAGCGGGTAGGGCATTTGCCTTGCATGCAGTCAACCTAGTTTCAATTCCCGGCATCCCATATGGTCCCCCAAGCACCGCCAGGCGTAATTTCTGAGTGCAGAGCCAGGAGTAACCCCTGAGCATCACTGGGTGTGACCCAAAAAGCAAAAAATAAGAATAAATAAAAATTTGAAGACTGGGACCGAAGAGAAAGTACAAGAGATAAGTTGCTTGCTTTTCATGCTGCTAACCCCAGTTTGTGTCTCTGGCACCCTCATGTTCCAGGTACATCAAGGCGTCACTTCTCAGTACTGCTGGATGTGACCCAGAGCAAAACCATTGTCCAGTAATCTCCTTCCCATAAAGCAAAAGAATCATAGGTGACATAAGCTTGTCGACTGGTAAGCTGGGCAGCCAGCTGGGATCATTATGCGTCATGGGCATAGGGACAAGTGACACTCTTGGTGGCAGCCAGCTGTGGCCCAGCGAGCTGAGGCAACTGAAGTAGAAATGGGAAGGGAAAAAAGCAATGGTCTGTGGGGCCTAAGTGTGAAGAACCCGAGAAGCAGGGCTGAGGAGGTCAAGATCAGAGAGGAATTTCCACAAAGGACTTGCAAGATGCACAGAAGGATTACGGTGGGTCCCTGGGAACCAGAGGAACAATGAGAAAAATACTTTGAAATTACAAAATGGTCCCAGTCCTATCTGGATATTCACTCTGAAAGCCACTGAACGGTAGTCTGCAAGGATGCAAGCAATCTCAATAGTGTGTTTTATGACAAAGAAGAGAAATGCCAAAACAGGATTATACCAAAACAGGATTAGGAGGTCAGATCTATTCCAAACTTTAAGTTAGCATGGAGCGATAGCACAGCGGGTAGGGCATTTGTCTTGCACACAGCCAACATGGCCAACCCGAGTTCGATCCCTCCGCCCCTCTCGGAGAGCCTGGCAAGCTACCGAGAGTATCTTGCCCGCACGGCAGAGCCTGGCAAGCTACCCGTGACGTATTCAATATGCCAGACACAGTAACAACAAAGTCTCCAATGGAGACGTTACTGGGCCTGCTTGAGCAAATCGATGAAATATTTAACTAGTTAAGATAAATGTGGACTCTGTATCCTGTCAGGGTGCAATGAAAACCTCGTTTCACTGGGGTGTTGGGTGCAGTGGAAACCCCACCTCACTTGGAGTGTTGCAGTGTAGTAGGGACCCGACCAAAGTGCGGAAGCTGTGCCATCTGGGGCACCAAGTCTGGCAGGACCTCTCTCTGCCTCCTGACTATGGGCTCCCTGCAGTCCATTGCTTTGTAATTTTAACCAGACAGCTTCAGGACAGCAGGACAGTGGGTAGATATCTAGCAGGCACAGGGTGGCACACGGGAGCCCACAGTCAGCCCTGCAGAGAGAGGAAGCTGGGTACTCATCACAACAGGAGGGACCTGAAAGCCTGCTGCACATGTCTGCAGGGACCTGACTGGCCCCCCTGCCCCTTGGTCTTTTGGCAGCAAATGGGCAGCCCCAGCGAAAGGAACTTTGACTCCGACTTCTGAGGTCCTGCTGTTGCATGGTTCCAGCCCCAGAGGACCCTCCCAACATTCGTGGTTCCTGCATGAGAATCACCATCCTTCACTCTCAGAACTTCAGCCAGTTCCCAAATACAGAACCTCGACCCCATCCACATCCCTAAATTTCCTTGCTGCTATCAGTAACTACTACCGTGGAGTAGTTACTAGGGTGAGGACTTGTTACCAGAACGAGGACTGATTACTAGGATGAGGAGTGTTTACTAGGATGAGAGCTGGTTGCTAGGATGAGGACTGGTTACCAGAGTGGAGGGCTGGCTACTAGGAGGAGGACTGGTTATCAGAGAGAGTATTGGTCACAAGGAAGAGGAATCATTAGCAGGATTAGGACTGGTTATCAGAGAGAATACTGGTCACAAGAAAGAGGTCTATTTACTAGACTGAGAACTGGTTACCAGATTGGTCACAGAGCCCTGAGAGCAAAGTCTTGTGTGACACATCAGAAGGATTCTGAGAAGACTTAGGGCAGGGTCCAGGTCTTATAATGTTCATCCACTGCCCTTCCTCCCGGCCCTCAGATGTCCCACAAGCTCATCTCCTCCTGTGGTCCCAGGGTCCTCCCTGTCTGATAGTTTCTAGCATCCTCCCTATAGACAATGTGCTCCTGCATGGAAGGCATAGCCTTCACAATGCCTGCCCAGCCAAGAGTTTAAGAAAGAAGGCGCATCCGCACAGAAACAAGGAATAGAGGGTTGAATTGGCCAAGAGAGACACCAGACATTCCTCCCACAGAGATCCGCACACCCTCGCTGGTCCCTGGGCTCACCTTCCCAAACACTGCAGGAGTCCCACCAACTTTCCTTTTTTTTTTTTTTTAAATTTTATTGAATCACCGTGAGATAGTTAACAAGCTTTCATGTTTGGGTTACAATCACACAATGATCAAACACCCATCACCACCACTTTCCAAGCCCACCACACGGTGGCAGTATGGAGGGTGCTCTTGCAGAGCAGTGCATGCCTTTCCCACCCCCTGCAGAAATCCACAACTCAGCGGGGAGAGGGAACACACAGGAGGAGCAGTGACAGCTGGCCCCTAGTCCAGGTGCCCTGCGTCTGGCACTTATCAGAAGACACATGAGAGAGCCTGAGAGTGGAGGGATGTCTCTGCAGACAGAGTGCAGTGTGGGCAAGGGTGACAGCAGGAGTTCACACGGCACCTATCTAAACTAAGCCAAGCTCTTAGCCAGGTTTTCTGGATTTTGACTGGGAGACTTGGGAAAACGGAGGGCGAGGAACCAGGGTCGCGGGTGGGGCAGCAGCAAGCAAGTCTACCCCCTCAATTTGGTGGCACACAGCCTTCAATGACATTCTGGGAAGGTTGACAGGAGGTGAGAAATGACTGTTCTCAGTTATCCAGAGGCCATGAATCAAATACCAGACTGGAAACTACTTTCCTCTGAATTTCTGGTGTCATCTGATTCCAGTCTATGTGCTGTTTCTGCCCTCTTTGTGGGAGCTGGAGCTCGCTCGTGTCTGTACAGAGGCTGTATTTGGTTTGGGGTCTTATCCACTGTCCCACAGGCTTTAAGCTCTTTCTCACCCCCTCTTCTCTGCTTGCTGTTGTACTGGCCTGGGATTTGCACACTTCCTAGGTGGTGTTGGCAGGTGCTGGCACACTTTCCCATGGAGTTCTGGAGCTACTCACTTTTCAGTCTTGGCTCGAATACACAGGGCTTTGGCAGGTCAGAGATCACAAATTCCAAGTGGCAGAACTGCTGGGACAAGCAGCAGCCAGGGCTCAAGCTCGTGACCTCACACTTGCAAGCAGGAGCTTTACGCCCTGCACCGACCCCTGGCCTGGCCTTGCACCCTTTAAATCTAGAAGTTCAGGTGCTGCAGTTCTGGGGAGACTCATGTCACTTTTCTGATCATCTTCTCTGAGCGCTGTGTCTCCTACTCTTTCTGGTGTGGGCATTTTCTAATAGGAGACATTTTTGTTTTTCGTATAGGCAGATCTATTAACTTTTGTTTGTTTGGGGGCCACATCTGGCAGTGTTCAGGGGTTACTCCTAGCTTTGCACTCAGGGATTAATCCTGGTGGTGCTCGGGGAACCATTTGGGGTGCTGGGTATCAAACCCAGTGAGCCGCATGCAAGTCTAATGCCCTGCCCACTGTACTATCTCTCCGGTTCCGAGAGATTTTTTTCCTACACATTTTGTTTTTGGTTCATCCTTAACATTCCTTCTTAAGACCCAAATTATATAATTAGCTCCATTTCTTAATGTTGGTAACACTCACTTCATAAGGCTCAGGCTGTCTTTGTTCAGCCAAGCTCCACACCGGGTAGCATGAAGCATGACTATTTGTTGTATAAATAAAGGAGTAAAATTATTTCATTTAAAAAAGAGGACGAGGGACTGGAGAGATAGCACAGCGGGTAGGGCGTTTGCCTTGCACGCGGCCGACCCGGGTTAGAGTTCCAGCATCCCATATGGTCCCCTGAGCACCGCCGGGAGTAACTCCTGAGTGCAGAGCCAGGAGTAACCCCTGTGCATCGCCAGGTGTGACCCAAAAAGCAAAAAAAAAAGAGGACGAGGGGCCAGAGACATAGGCCAGTTGACAGAGTGCTTGCCTGGGGCATAGGAGAGTTCTTGGGGGGCCTGGGATACAGAGATCCTGGGAGGACCTAGAGCATGGAAGGAGTTTCAAAGGGTTGAGGTACTTGAAGCACCTGGGAGAGAGTTGGGGGGACCCTGGGGGCTCTGGGAGGTGGGGGAGGGTTCTGGCGGGCTCTGGAGCACAGGGGAGAGTTCTTGGGGCCCCTGAGATACAGGCGAGTTCTGGGAGGGTCGTGAGGCACAGGGAGAGAGTTCTAGGCGGTGTGTGTGTGGGGGGGACTGGGTCAAAGGGGTGGACGCAGGAAGCCAGGCAGGACCTGGTGAGTAGACTGAAGGCGGTGGTTCAGGACACAGAAGGGCTGAGGCTGGCCGGCCTCCAAACTCCCGGGCCCCCGCCCCAAACTTGGCCAAGGGCTTGGAAAGAGGCCCAAGGCGTGGAATGCGGCCCCGCGCGAGGGCGCCCCTGCCTAGCCAGGCAGGCTCGAGAGGGCTTGGGCAGTGTCTACCCTGAGCCCCCACGTCTGCCTCCCGGCTGGATCCACGGGCCATCAGCGGTCTCAACGTCCCGCAGGGATCCCGGCCGTCGCAGTCGGAGATCCCGAGAGCCCCAGCGTCCCGGGGCAAGAGGGGCCACCCACCGCCCGGCGCGTCCCGAGTGGGCAGAGGCGGCGGGCGCGGGCGGGCGGGGCGGGGCGCGGCTGGGGCGTGGCCAGGGGCCGGGCGGCGGCGGGGCGGGCTCCGTCCTCCCGTTCTCCGCGCTCGGGGCGCCCGGAGTCGCCCGTGCCCCGCCGCCGGCCCAGGGGGCGGGCCCTGCCGTCTTTGTTGCCCGCGGAGCCGGGTGCGCCCGCTGCAGCCATGCCCAGCGCCGCGCCGCTGCTCCTGCTGCTCTGCGCGCCGGGCGCCCTCGGATCCGCTCCAGGTGCGTGGCCACCGGCGCACGCTCCCCTGCAGCGGGCTCGCGGGGGCGCCGGCCGGGGTCTCCCGGCCCCGCCGGCCCCGCGCCCACTTCCTGCCTCCCCTGAGCGTCTCCACCCGGCCGGCCTCGGCCTCGGACGAGCCGCTGGCCAGCGTCCAGGCGCTCGGCGGCGCTCCGGGCGCATCCGGAGCCGCGGCGGGAATCCGGGCCTAGGGTGTGGGCGCCCCGTCCTGTCCGGCGGGCTGGACCGAGCGGGGACGCAGCGGGTGCGGAGTTGGGCGGCGAGGCTGGCGTGCCGAGGTGTCCAGGCGTCCTCTCGGGCAGCGGAGCAGAGTAGGGTGTACCCCTGCGGCGCCCCCGAGTGGACTCGCGGCCGGGCTACAGGGAGCGCACCTAGGTCGACCCGTGCCCCCTGCCCGCAGCCGGAGGGGAGCCCCCCAGGGAACTTCTGGGGGACGACGGAGGCCCGTGCGTCTCTGAGCTGCCCTGGTTGGATGCAGGTACTGGGGTTCGGCTGCCAGGTTTCCCACAGGGTGAACGAATGAGGGACTGAAGGTCTGTCTCAGCACAGGGAATGGCTCCCCAGGGTGTTATTGTTGGTCTGCCAGGTGGCCCTGGGAATGTCAGGGAGTCCGGGAGCCAATCTGGGCCCCTTCAGGGTCGCTGATGCTCGGTGCAGGGATGGAACCTGGGTTCCTGCAGTTGCAGCCCTTGCCCCATGGAGCCACTGCCTGGCCCCACAACAGGGCTAGCCCAATGGAATGTGGTGTAGATCTTCAGCCTGGCCACGCGCTGTGTCAGGTGGTCAGCACTCCTGGGTTCCCTGAGAGCAGAAGACACTGAGCCTGGCTGCTCGCCTGTTCCCCAGCCGAGGGATGGGTCCCTGCTCTGCAGTTCCCTCTGTGCAGCCTGCCTCCGTGGGGCCCACCCAGCGGGCTGTGATTAGACGGACTCCTGCTTTGTGATACACCATGAATGTCTTCACTACCATGGTCCCCAAAGTGGGCCATGAGAACTCGGGGTTGGATACGGAGCCATCCAAACTGGGTGGTAGGAGCCTTGGGTGCAATTTCTGTTTGCTTCAAGAAAGTAGATTTCCAGGGGTGCGCTGAGAGGTGTTTTATCTGAAAAGGGGACTGGAGGCTTTGTTCCCAGGTACACTTGGGAATGAAAAGGTCCCTCTGTCCCCAGCGCTCGTGCTGCAAGAGCTGTTCCCCCACTCCTGGGGTCCTGCTGTGTGAATGTATCTGATGCTGTCCAGTGGTCACGCTTAATGATGTAGCCCTCTTGGCGTGATTCTCCTTTTCGAGAGCGTTTCGGTTGTTGGCTGAGTGAGGCAGCAGCCGCGTGGTCCAGGAGGGCGGCTCCCTGGATGCTTCCTACTGTGAGCCTGGGCCTGGCAGGGATTGATGCCTTGGCTTCAGGCGAAGATGAGCATGGAGACTTGTGCAAAATCATGGACTTTAAATATTTGCTGACGTCCGGTTAGCTTCTGATATTTGTGAGTCACCTAGTAGGGGTCTTGAGTGTCCCCCAAATGGCCCGGGGTCTCAGGCTGCTTGGGAAGGTGGAGGTTCAGTGGGGACCTCAGTGGATTGGGAAGGGAGTGAGCACTGCTAAGACGGCACTGAAGACACGAGTGGGGAAACCGAGACTGGAGAGAAGGAGAGGCGTGGGGCCCCAGACTGATGCACTGCCTGCTGTCCCTGCAGGGCACCTGGAGACCTGGAAGCCTCTGGACATCGTGCACCCGGTCCGTGTGGACGCGAGAGGCTCGTTCCTGTCCTTTGAGCTGTGGCCACGTGCACTAAATAGGCGGGAGGAGTCAGCGAGGCCCCGCGCCTCGCCCACCTTCTACAAGTTGCAGTTCCAAGGGCGTGCTCTTCGCTTCAACCTCTCCGCCAACACGCGGCTGCTGGCACCCGGCTTCCTGGTGGAGACACGTAGGCATGGAGGCCTGAGCCAGGTGGTCCTGCACCCAGGTGCATACCCGCCTGCCTGCCACCTGCTGGGTCAAGTGCAGAGTCACGTGCAGGATCACGAGCAGGGCCCAGCATCCCAGCCCGGCAGCGCCGCCATCAGTGCCTGTGATGGGCTGGTGAGTGGTGGTGGGGGGTGCCTGGGTGTGTGTGTGTGGGTACCTGGGGCTGTGTATGGGTATGCCTTGGGGGTGTGAGTATGGGTGTGTGTGGAGGTGCCTGGGGGTATGTGTGTATGCGTGCATGGGTGGGCACATCTGGAAGTGCTAATTGCTAAGGGGTGCTGGATCACACCAGGGCCTCGCAAGCTAGGTGCGTCTGCACCCTTTCCCCTGCTCTACACACTGCCAGTTTGTCCTCCTTCAGTCTCTGCTCAAATCGGGCCTGTCCAACTGTCAGGTCTTTTGACACCCCAGGCCTCATAGTCTTCTATTGTGTGCCCCGTGAGGGGCCTAGAATCTTCCTACTGGATCCTGAGGCACCCTCAGAGGGGTGCTTCCAGCCCTGGCCCCTGAAGGTGACAGAGGCCCTTGCCAGGTTTCACGTCTGGGACTGTGGGGCCAGGGGCCAGTGCCTCTTGGCGGCTGTGTCATCTCTGTGCTTTGGACATGGACTAAGCTGCTTTTGGAGTGACTCATACCCTCTGCAGGATGAGGGCAGGCAGCACTGGTGACAGCTGGGAGGGGCCGCAGTGGCCAGAGGTGGTGTGGGAAGCCTGGCCCATGTGGGAGATGCCCTCCTGTTGGGTTTGGTGGGGGGTGTCAGGGGCCCTTGGGAGGAGAGCCCCATGCACTGGAGTCTGTCGGCTCAGCCTCTGTGACCCTGCTGCCACCTCTGTAGAAAGGCGTGTTCCAGCTGTTCAACGAGGACTACTTCATCGAGCCCCTGCGCGGGGTCCCCGCCCAACCTGGCCAAGCCCAGCCCCACATACTATACCAGCATGAAGCCCCAGATGGACACGGGAACTCCAGCTCCTCAACCACCTGTTGGGTGCAAGGTACTTCCGGCATCCGGGCTCTCTTCCAGGTGTTCAGCATCTACCTGATGAACTGCTTGGACCAAGGGTGCAGGGCAGTAGCAGAGCATCCCGGGCCTGAGAGTCGGGGGCTCAGACCCACAGCCCTGCACTCACTTCCCACCTCTCCCCATGCCCTCACTACCAGCTGTCCTCCAGGGCCAGCACGGCGACAGCCCCTCAGGCAGCCCCTGCCCACTAGCTGGCCCAGCTTCAGCGGAAGCAGTGTCTGTGGTTGGGGTGCACATGCCCCACGCCTCTGCCGAATGGGCATAGTATCACCAGCCGAGGGCCGAGCTGTGGGGCGCATAGCTCTACCCTGCAAGGCTCCGCTCACATCTGCTGATTTGGGCTTGGGGCCATGGCCAGCAGCAGCTCTCAGGGCTTACTCCTGGCCCTCGGCTCAGCTCCTCCAGCAGTGCTCAGGGGACCGTGTATGATGTTGGGAATTCAAGCAGGGCTGTGGCAGCTGCATGAGAGACCCAGTGCCCTCCTTCCCGTGCTGTCTCCTCAGCTCAGCTCTGTATTCCTGGGCAGCTGAGCACAGGAATAAGCATCTGGGCCTGGCTCTCCCCAGCTTCCCAGATTTGTTGTCTTTTCTAGGATGGCCAGCCGGGTTCCCAGCTTATGTGTCTGTCCTACGAGAGCTGACACCCCACCTGGGAGCCCAGGGCCTCCTCCCAACTGGTGCTCTGCTGTGCACACATGTCCCTGGCTTCCTTTGGGCACATCCGCTCCTCCCTGTCCATGTCGGAGACCTCAGGAGAGGGGCGACAGGTGGCCTGTACTTTTGAGCTGAGCCCAGCTGAGAGGCCAGCCCACTGTCTGCTTACCCCCAAGCACCTCCGTGGCCTAAGTGCAGACTCACTGTGTTCTGAGCTAGCTCCGCTGGCAGCTGACCCTCCCGCTCTGGCTACAGAGTCCCCAGATGCAGAGCCTCAGCGAGAGCGTTGGCAACAGCGGCACCGGCGGCACCAGCAGCAGCGGCCGAGGCGCCGACACCTTCGCTCAGTCAGCAAAGAGAAGTGGGTGGAGACGCTGGTGGTCGCTGACACCAAAATGGTGGAGTTCCATGGGCAGCCCGACGTGGAGAGCTATGTGCTGACAGTCATGAACATGGTGAGCAGCTTCGGGGCCGCATGCAGGATGGTGAGGCACACACTGCAGGAGGCATGTGTGTTCCACAGAACGCCCAAGGGCTATGGTGCCCTCCACGCGGTGTGTTTTGTCATTCTCAGGGAGGTCCCCAGGAGGTCTGCGCATCACTCCCGCTATCTGTGGGCTCTAGACCATGCTTGAGGCCTCGGTGGGCCAGGCTTGTGGCTGAGCCCTTTCCTGGGCCGTGTGCTCCAGCAGGGCCACACTGGGGCTGCTGGGGTGAAGGGACTCAGCTCTGAGCACATTCTAATTCCTGCAGTGCTTTGACTTCACACTATTTAAACCTTTTCTCAGATTGTCAGGAGGCAGCTCAGCCTGACCTGCACTTCTCTTGTACCTGTGGGGACAGTGAATGGCCTAGAGGGAGCTGCCCTGTATAGGGGGATAGTGAATAGCCCCGAGGAGCTGCCTTTGCTGGGCGGGGGGACAGTGACGTGGCCCTGAGCTGCTGCCCAGTGCAGGTGGACAGTGAATGGCCTAGAGGGAGCTGCCCTATGCGGGGGGACAGTGACTAGCCCCGAGGAGCTTCCCTGTGCTGGCGGGACAGTGATGTGGCCCCGAGGGAGCTGCCCTGTTCCTGTGTGGACAGTGACATTGCCCCAAGGGAGCTGTCCTGTGTTCTGTGGGATAGTAAATGGCCCCAAGGAGATGCCCTGTGCCAGGGGATGCTGAAGCGGTCTGGTCCAGAATGTCCTTTTGCCTTTTTTTTTTTACTTTTTGGGTCACACCCAGTGATGCTCAGGGGTTATTCCTGGCTCTGCACTCAGGAATTACTCCTGGTGGTGCTTGGGGGACCATGTGGGATGCCAGGGATCGAACCCAGGTCAGCCGCGTGCAAGGCAAACGCCCTACCTGCTGTGCTATCACTCCGGCCCCAAGAATGTCCCTTTGTCTTAAGGGTGCCCCAGAGGCACACGTCCCAGTCTTTGGACATTGGGCCTCCTGAGGGTAGGTGCTTCTCCTGGAGCTGAGTGGGGCACCTGTAGTTGCACGGGGGCCTCTGCCCATGACCCTAAGGCCTTGGCCCCACAACTCTTGGCTGGACATGTAGGTGAGTACCTCTAAGGGACATGCATGGCCCTGCTCCTGCCCCTCCCCGCTGGCCTCCTGGCTCTATGATGCTCGTCCAGGTGGAGCTACACCAGCTCAGGGCAGAATGGGCCCCATTTGGAGGTGTGAGGGGGGTGGTCCTGCTGCTGTGTCCTGTGGGGTGTGTGCAACTGTGCACTCAGGCACACATGGCCATGTGTGACGCCATGAGAGCCCAGGAAGTGTCCTTTATGTCCCTGTGGGTCTGTATCACAGGGATCGGGGTGACAGGGGACATCAGTATTCTGTGTCTGGGTTGTGACCGCCTGGGTTCTACCTCTTGGGCAGGTGGCCGGCCTGTACCATGACCCCAGCATTGGGAACCCCATTCACATCACCATCGTGCGCCTGATCCTGCTGGAAGAGGAGGAGGTGAGAGGCGCCTGCCCCCGTGCTCCAGGAGGGTCCTCATGAACACTATCCGGAGGCTGGCACCCTGCCTCTGTGAGGGTTAGCCCTGAGTGCTAAATCCCACCCCCAGGAGGACCTGAAGATCACACACCACGCGGACAACACCCTGTGGAGCTTCTGCAAGTGGCAGAAGATGATTAACCCGAAGGGGGACTCGCACCCGCTGCACCACGACATGGCCATCCTGCTCACCAGGTGCTCCTGGGCCCCCAAGGCCCACATCCATCTGTCCATCCATCTGACCTCCCCAAGGAACCATGGGGACAGTTTCACACTGGCACAGGCAGCACCCACAGCTCAAGCCCCCATGGCAGCTATGCCAGGTGGGCCAGGTAGCAAGACAAGGGGTCGAGCGCAGTCTGGCCTTGACTGCTGCTGTTCTGTGTGGCAGGAAGGACCTGTGTGCGGCCAGGAACCAGCCCTGTGAGACGCTGGGCATGTCGCATGTGGCAGGCATGTGCCAGCCCCACCGCAGCTGCAGCATCTGCGAAGACACAGGTCTTCCCCTGGCCTTCACCGTGGCCCACGAGCTTGGACACAGGTACTCTCCCCTCATCTCCCAGCCACTCCTGACATCATCCCCCGCCCAACCAGGCTGATGATTTGTTTGAAGGAGGGAACCTTGTGCCACTGTGAAGTTGCCCAGAATGAGGCTCTGGGATCCGGGCTGGGCCGGGAAGCCCCTGGCTTTCAGCTGTCTCTGGATGCATATTTCTGATGTGAACCCCACCAGAAGCTGACCCCGGATCAGTGCCCTCCCCTCTGGGCCCTTGTGTCTAGTGGTGGGCGTGAACCACCCGGGTCTAGGGCAGGCACTGGGAAGCGCCAGGCTAGAGGCCTCTGGCTCTTCTTGGAGCTCCTGAAGGTGCTCCCCTTGCCCCTTGCTATGGTCACCAGGTGGAGCCATAGGCAGCACCAGTTAGGTGCTGGTCCCACTGTGGCAGACCCATGGCAAGTGGCCACTGAACCTACACTTTAGATGGGAAAGCAAGATCAGTGGGGGGCTTGGAGAGGGGGAGACTGGCAGGTGGGCTCTTATCACCTCTGGGGTCTCCGCTCACTGCCCCATCTGTGCTTTCCACAGCTTTGGTGTCCAGCACGATGGCCTTGGCAACCCGTGTGTGTCCCAGGGGAAGAGTCCTTTCATCATGTCTCCGCAGCTCCTGTACAGCACGACGCCCCTCACCTGGTCCCCCTGCAGCCGCCAGTATATCACCAGGTTCCTCGAGTAAGGCCCAGTATGGTGGGGAGGGCTGGTGTCCAGGGCCGGCTGTCCCCCAGGGCCTTAGCTGGGAGAAGGAACACAGGCTGGGTGCGTGGGCCCCCGTGGCAGCTGCAGCCACAGGCTTGTGGCAGTCTCTGATCTCTGGGCTGTTCTTGCAGTCCATACTCAGCATCACTGTGTACATGGGAATGCACAGAACCTGATGAAATTGTCTTTACTTTCATAAAAATTAGGGCTTCCCCGGTGATGCTTGGGGGGACCTGGAGGCCACCAGACCTACACCCTGTGGTACACCATGGACCATGCGGGGGAGTCAACTCATGGCCTCACATAAGGAAGGCATGCCCCAGCCTTGGAACCATCTCCTTGACTCGGCATTTTCTTATTAAGGGGGCAGAAGGGTTCAGTCATACCCAGTGGTCACTCCTAGGGAAGTGACCTTTTCAGGTCCTAGGGATTTGGCCACATCCCACTGGGCCTGAGGCCCGGCCTGTCTGGTGTTGCAGAAGGCAGGATTTTACCTCTTCCTGAGAGCTGTACCATTGTGTCTGAGCAGCATCTCATTTGTCATCTGTGATGGGCACTTGGGCACGTTCCAGCTTCAGGCCATTGTGAACGACACTGCCGGCAATGTGGGGAGGGTGCGCAGCTCCCTGTAAATTCTGTGTTTTCCCATTCTCTGGGTAAATTCCCGGAAGTGGGATAAGTGGGTTATATGGAATTTCTATTTTTAACTTTTCGGGCCTCTCTGAATGGCCTTCCCCAGTGGCTGCCCTGGGTCCTCCCGCCTCTTCATCGTCCCGTCTCAGCACGTGCGGCTTTGTCTCTCCCACCAGGTGTGAGTTGGGTCTCATTGTGTTTTTGATCTGCATTTCCCCAGCCGTAAGTGATAAACATCCTTCTGGGGCCTGTGGCCATCTGTCTGCCTGCTTTGGAGACATGGCGCTCGTGGCCTCACCCGGTGTGGGCCTGGCTGCTGGTTAGTTGTGCAGGTGCTTTGTGGCGGCTGCTTTGAGGCTGTTCTATGGCTGATTCTTTCCAGAACTTTCCCTGTGATGCCAACCCCATTGCTTGCTTCTTGGGATTTGCTTGTGGTTGAAATCACAGCTAGAACCGTCGGTCTGACTTTGGATGTCACGGTGGTCCTCATTCACTGAACACTCCCTTACTCGCCTCGCCGTTTCCAGAGACAGGGTCTCCTTTTCCCACGGTTGTGGCCCCTTAAGTGCTACTCATCTGTGAGTCCCTCTGAAACTTCCCTCCTGGGATGCGGTTCTCAAGCAGATCGAAAGGAGGCACAAAGATGCCTGCAGAGGGGTCTGGGGCGGGACAGGCTGGGGCAGGGCCTGGCTCTGCCCATTGCTTCTGAGTGCCTCCTTATGACTGATGTCCCTGGCGTGCTCAGTTTGGGCTCCTTTGGCTGTGGTGCTGGCACCATGCTCCCCGGGGAGCACTCGGCCATGGGGTTTGTGCCCTTTTCTGTGGTGCTCTCCCATGCCTGGCTGTGGAAGAGCCAGAAATTACTCTCAGTGCTGGTGGCAGGCAGCAGAGCTGCTGGGACTGTGCTTGGTGCATGCGGTGACCTCCTGGTGCACGGCAGTCACACTGAGGCACGAGGCTTCTCACGAGCCAGTGTTCTCACCCCCAGCTGCCTCAAACTGTCCTCCTTTGCTCTGGACCTCGCTCACCCCACAGAGAGGCTCCAGACTGGGGGCAGGGCACTCAGAGTGCTCCTTGTCCAGGCTGTCGCCCTCTGTTGTGCCATGCCGGGGCCCCTGGGCCCTCACTGCCGTGCTGTCTCAGGTTCTGCTGTGCGGCTTCTCCCGCAGGACTTGCCTTCTGCAGCCCCTTCCAGGATACGACTTACCCCCACCATGTCTGCCTTCCCGGCCCCTCCACCCCACAGCCTTCTGCCTGAGTGGGCTGGGAGGAGGGAGCAGACGGAGTCTGTCTCTGCTCAGTGTGGCTCTGTTTCCTAGAAGTTCCTTGTGGAGGGGTGTAAGTGGGGCAGGTCCTTGTCTGGCTGGTTGCAAGAAATTGTAGGGTTGCTGGGCTGGGCTGTGGGAGGAGAGAGAGCTTTGAGTAGCCGGTGTTAACTGTGCAGCTGGGCGGGCTGTGGAGCCTCAGAGCTGCAGGCCTGCAGCTGTGGAGCCCCTTAGCATTGGCCTGCTGTGACCCCAGCTTCACAGAGCCCCTCCTACCCCACAAAGGGTGGTATCTATGCTGGCCCTGTCTGCAGCTGGGCCAGCAGTGGTGGGCAGTGAGGCCAGAGGCGGTCCCTGGGCTGGTGGTGGGTGGGACATTTGCAGGCCTTGTCCTGGCACTGTGACCTGACCTCAGCCTTCAGTCCACAGCGCTTGTGGCTGTGGTGGCCTCCTTGTCTCTGATCCACATCCTGGTTCCACAGTGCTTTGGGGGCTGGGGCCCACACAGTGGATGGCAAGGAATGTGGTGGGACGGGCCAGGGAGCCAGCTGGGGACCAGAGGTGAGAAGGGCGACGCAGGCTGCCTGCCAGGACCCACTTCCTGTTGTTCCTCCACTGGCCTTCAAGGCCTCTCTCAGGCAGCCTTCTCCTCCTGTCCCGTCCCCTGTCCTTGCTCTGCAGCCGGGGCTGGGGCATGTGCCTGGACGACCCGCCATCCAAGGACGCCATCGACTTCCCTTCTGTACCTCCTGGCATTCTCTATGACGTAGGCCACCAGTGCCGCCTGCAGTATGGGGGCAACTCTGTCTTCTGCCAGGACATGGATGTGAGTGTGGAAACTGGTCTAATGAGGGGACATGGGCCTGGTGTGGGGCACAGGTTGAGTGGGGGCTATGTAACAGGCCTAAGTGGGGCACTGTGGATGTGAGTGCATAGGTGCAGGACTGAGCGTGGGTTCAGAGGGAGGTTTCCCTCAGCAACCTGCTGAGTGGAGGGCTGTAGTAGAGGCCTTGGGCACCACCAAGGTTTAAACCTGGGTCAGATGTTCCCTCTAGCCCCTCCCTGCCGAGCGGGTCAGTGGAGGAGAGACCCCGGGAAGTGACGCAAAGTGATGGTTCTAGGAGTGTTACAGAGATCTCACAACTATTTTTGTTTTGGGGCCATACCTGACAGTGCTCAGGGTTAAGTCCTGGCTCTGTTCTCAGGGATCACTCCTGGCAGGTTTGGGGTCCACATGGGTTTGCTGGGCATGGAACCCAGATCGGTTGATTGCAAAGTAAACACCCTACCTGCCATACGATTGTGCTGGCCCATACCTCAAGACTTCTGAGGGTTCTCTCCAGTGAGGGGGGATGGCGTGGGTGGCAGGAGAGTAGCGAGCACACATGGAGTCCGGGATCCAGTGCAAGATCCCAGCAGCGCCCCCAGATCTGAGATGACAGGGCTTCCTCTGGGGTCCCACACACCCACCTTGAGGAGGGGCCCTTAGGCTTGCGGCTGGGAGAAGCCTGAGAGGTGGGTGATCTGGCCTGGTCCCTCTCTGCAGAATGTCTGCCACACGCTCTGGTGCTCAGTGGGGACTACCTGCCACTCCAAACTGGACGCCGCAGTGGACGGCACCCGCTGTGGGGATAACAAGGTGGGCTCACAAGGACCTTCCCCAGGCAGGAGCAGGGGGTTGGGCCTGGCTCTGGGCCCTCTGGTCCAGAGTCACTGGCTCACTCTGGAATGCCCTCTGCTCTGGCAGTGGTGTCTGAACGGGGAGTGCGTGCCTGTGGGCTTCCGACCCAAGGCCGTGGACGGGCATTGGTCAGCGTGGACCTCCTGGTCTGAGTGCACACGGAGTTGCGGTGTGGGTGTGCAGAGCATGGAGAGGCAGTGCACGCAGCCCATGTGAGTACTGTGGCATGGGGGGCCATGCAACTCTCAGTGCCGGGTGTAGGGCTCAGAGCCTCATTTGCCTCTCACCCAGGCCCAGATACAAAGGCAAGTACTGCGTGGGTGAGAGGAAGCGCTTCCGGCTCTGCAACCTTCAGGGTTGCCCCCCTGGCCACCCCTCCTTCCGTCAGCTGCAGTGCAGCAAATTTGACACAGAGTGGATGGAGAACAGGCAGCACACGTGGGTGCCCGTGGTCAATGATGGTGAGCGCCTGCACCCTGGCCTGGCTCCCCTCCCAGCCCGCTGACCCCTCCTCATGGCTCCCCCACTTGGGCCCCCAGTGAACCCCTGTGAGCTGTACTGCCAGTCCACCAACGAGCACTTTGTGGAGAAGCTGCTGGACGCCGTGGTCGATGGCACCCCCTGCTATCAGAACCGGCCCAGCCGTGATGTGTGCATCAACGGGATCTGCAAGGTAACTGGGAGGAAGGGGTCCTCTGCTGTCGGCCTCTTCCCTTCCGCTACCTAGTCTTGCCCCAATGCCTTCCTGGTGCCTATACTGACACCCCCTCCCCTTCTGACTTCCTGCTGGCCAAGTGAGCCCAGGCGGCCACTATCTGGTCAGGACAGGTCCCTGCAGAGTGGGGCTATGCCCTCCCTGCTCTGTCCCTGTCCCTGCAGGGAACTCTCCTTGGACCTTGAGTCCATTTTCAGGAGCATCTGTCCACACTGGCCAGGGGCTGTGGAGTTTGCTGTTGTCCTCCTGTGTAGACTGAAGCCCCCTATCTGGCCAGGGGCCATGGTAACAGCCGCTGCCCCTTTGAACACGCTCAAGCCTCATATCTGGAGGTGGAGGCTCTAAGAGGCAGAGGGGATCCCTGGGGCGGGTTACTTGGTAGTGGACAGGCCTGAGCACCCGGTCCCTGTGGTCCTTGTGTGCAGAATGTGGGCTGTGACTTTATCATCGACTCGGGGGCCGTGGAGGATCGCTGCGGTGTGTGTAAAGGCGATGGCTCCACCTGCCTCACCGTGAGCACAACCTTTGAAGAGGCCGAGGGCTCAGGTAGGGGGCACTGCCAGGGAGGGACTTCTCTGCTCAGGGCCACGGCCCAGGTGCTTCCTGCCTAGGACCCTGGCCGGGCCCCACAGGCTCTGAAGCTCGAACTCCCCAAGTGGGTGAGTGGCGGGAACAGCTCCAGTCTTTACAGGTAACAGTCATGCAGGGAGTCCAGGGGATACCAGTACTGGGAGCAGGATCTCCCCCAGGGTCCACTGGAGGGCAGGAGGGCCTGGTTACTGCGAGAGGTCACTGCAGGAGGGTGTGATCACTGCGGAGGCCAGAGCTCTGAGGCAGGTGCAGTCCAGGAGGTGGGAAGCATCAGCCCTGAGCCCAGTTCCAGTCCTTAGGGAACCTGGCAGTGTCCAGCTTCCCATGCCTGTTTCTCCTCTGGGGCAGGGACGGAGTGTCTGGGTGGGGATGGTGCACTGGGAGTGAAGGTGACCGACAGGTGGGAGAGGGTGCACCCTGGAGGCCTGCCTGGGCACAGCGGTCCGCAGAGATGGGGCTGGGCCAGGTGGGTGGCTGCCAGGTCAGTGGGTGTCGACTGGAAGGGAAGGCTGAGGCAGGGCCACTCACCTCCAGGCTATGTGGACATGGAACTGATCCCAGTTGGTGCCCGTGACATCCACATTGTGGAGGTGACCTCATCGAAGAACTTCCTGGCCCTGAGGGGCGAAGACCCGGACAAGTACTTCCTCAACGGGAACTGGACCATTCAGTGGGATGGGGACTACGAGGTGGCCGGCACCATCTTTACCTACTCGCGCTACGGCGATCTGGAGAACCTCACGTCCCCAGGCCCCACCCGGGAGCCCTTGTGGATCCAGGTGCCTTTCCCAGTTCAGAAGGCCAGGAAGCAAGGGGCACAGCTGAGGCACTACTCTGGGGCTGCGGAGAAAAGGGGGGTCTTGGGTGGCAGGTCCTAGACAGATGCCAAGGCCCTCTGTGCTCCCTGCAGCTCCTGTTCCAGACGAGCAACCCAGGGGTACACATCCAGTACATCGCCCCACTGGGCATGGTGACCCGTGGCCAGGGGCATTTGCCCAAGTTCTCCTGGAGCTTTGGGCCCTGGACCCAGTGCTCGGTGACCTGTGGCTCAGGTGAGGAGACAGCCGCCAGCGGTTGCTTCCATGCTGGACCCTGTGAGCTGGCTTGGGGCTGACTCACCCTCCCAGCACCCTAGCCTGATATTGGGCTGGGAGGCATGTCTTGTGTGCTTAGGGGTCCTGCTACTTTTGCCAAATGTTTCTCCTTCTTACCACCCCCACCTTGCTCTCCCTGTGGCCCTAGGGTCTGGGCAAACACAGAGCACTCCCCCCAAATGCCCTCTGAGCACCAGATGGGGACATGCGCACAGGCTGTGTGCGGGTGCCCTTCCCAGGCCCAGGCTAAACCCCAGCACCCCCAGGCATGCAGAGGCAGAATGTGCATTGCATGGAGCAGCACACGGGGCTGGTGGATGAGCGGCACTGTGACCCCCTGGAGCGACCTGAAGACCAGCAGAGGCCCTGCAATGAGGATCCCTGCCCGGCCAGGTGAGACACCCACGACCTCGCCCCTCTCCCACCTCCACGGACCCCCACCAGATTTCAGAGACCCGCTCCCTGGGGCTCTTGGACCCAAGGCTGGGCTCAGACCCCCATGGACATGCGTTGTCTTCCGCAGGTGGTGGACTGGCGAGTGGCGTCCTTGCACGCACTCCTGCGGGCCAAATGGCCTGGCGGTGCGCTCCGTGCTCTGCATCCGCAGTGTGAGCCTGGACGAACAGAGCGCCCTGAAGCCAGCTGACTGTGGGCACCTGCTCCCACCGGCCTCTGAGATCCCCTGCAACCGCCACGTGCCCTGCCCACATACCTGGGCAGTGGGGGACTGGTCCCAGGTGTGTCCACCAGGCGAAGCCCCTCGGTCGGGGGTGCAGGGAAGCCAGAGCAGCTTTGCACGGCCCTGCCGGCCTGGGGCACATGCTCTGGCCTGTTTTGGCTGCTGCGGGGGTGGGGGGTGGGTGCTGCATACACATGCCCCCCGCTGAGGCTCTGTTCTTCCCTCAGTGCTCTGTGACGTGTGGGGTGGGCATCCAGCGCCGGATGGTCGAGTGCAGCCATGGCGATTCCTGTGACGAGGCCCAGCGGCCAGCCAGTGAAGGTCCTTGCTCCCAGCGACCCTGTGAGGGCTCAGATGGCTCGGGCAGTGGCTTCTCCAACAATGAGAACTTAAATGAGGTGGACATAGTCCCCGGCCGCCGGGCCCCCAGCCCTCCAACCCCCATGCCTGCCAGCGTGAGCAATGCCATCGAGGACCCCTTTCTGGAGCCAGTGGTCGTGGATGACTTCTACTATGACTACAATTTCATCACCTTCCACGAGAATCTGGAAGCTGGGCCCTACTCACAGCAGGGCTCTGACCAGGACATCTGGGGATGGACTTCACCAACAGACACCCCCACACCGGCTGCAGAGTCTACCCCTCCCCCCAGCCAGGATGACCACAGCTTCTCACTTCCCTTTGAGCAGACCCCGGGGGACCCCTGGGACAAGCTCTCATCTGAGGCTCCAGACCCCAGGGTTCCCCAGTGGGTCTGGCCATTGGCTCCCGGGGGCAACACGGAGTCACCTGCTGTCCCTGGGAGTGAGGACAGGTCACACTGGCTGAGTCCCCCGGGGTGGGAAAGCAGCGAGGAGTCCACAGGTCGCGGAGTGCAGCCCGATCCCAGCGGGCTGCAGCTGTGGACGAACCAGCCTGGGGACCCTGAGCTGTGGCCTGTCCCCACAGAGTCCCGGGGCTGGGAGGTGCCCGCCATCTCCCCTACCGGACCCTCCCTGGTGGGGGCCAGGACCTTCCTCCTGACAGCCCCCACAGACCCGGGGCACGCCCTCCCCAGCACCCAGCCTCCCCCAAGTGCCCCCCAGCACAGACCTGCCAACAGTAGCCGAGCCCCTGAGACTCACATGGATGTCAGTCTGAATGGGGAGGGGCCCCCCAGCCTCGTGCCACCTGCCAGGAATGCCAGCTGGGAAGTCGGGGACTGGAGTGAGGCAAGTATGGGTTAGGGGGCTGCTTGCATGGCCCCGCCTCTTCCTGTGTGGAATTTTAGGAGTCCATCTCCAAGCAGACCAGCAGAGGCAGCCTGGAGATGGGGCTCATGCTACAGCATGGCCCTGTGGCTGCCCACTGGGCGGGCCACAGGGGGAAGGGCCTGCACTTCCATGCTCTGGGCTCAGAGAGCTGCATCCTCCTGGGACCCTGGGCAAGCAGGCCCTAGGGGAACAGGCCCTGGGTTCACCCTGCTGGCCGGGGCTCTGGGGTGTGGCTCTATGCCCAGCTCTCACATCTGTGTCTCCACAGTGCTCCACCACCTGTGGCCTGGGTGCAGTCTGGAGGCCCGTGTACTGCAGCTCAGGCCGGGATGAGGACTGTGCCCCCGATGGCCGGCCCCAGCCAGCCCGTCGCTGCCACCTCCGCCCCTGTGCCACGTGGCGTACAGGCAACTGGAGCAAGGTGTGTAGGTGCCCGGGGAGAGACTGTCCAGCCCCTCCCGGCTGCTCCCGGCGTGCACCCACACTATGTCCCCGGGGCCCCAGTGCTCCCGCAGCTGTGGTGGCGGAGTCTCCGTGCGGGATGTGCAGTGTGTGGACGCCTGGGACCTCCGGCCCCTGCGGCCTTTCCACTGCCAGCTGGGGCCTGTGCAGCCACCCACCCGGCAGCTCTGTGGGGCCCGGCCCTGTCTCAGCTGGTCCACCTCGTCCTGGAGGGAGGTGAGACCTGGGCTTTGCGGGGACGGGGGTGGGGCTGTGGGGCCTGGCCTGAGTCTGCCCCCCCTGCAGTGTTCCGAGGCCTGTGGTGGGGGCCAGCAGCAGCGCCTGGTGACCTGCCCAGAGCCCGGCCTTTGTGATAACGAGACGAGACCCAACAGCTCACAGCCCTGCAACACACAGCCCTGCACCCAGTGGGCGGTGGGGCCCTGGGGCCAGGTGAGGGGCATGCACCCAAGGATGGGGGCTGGGACAGGCCCTACAGTTTGGGGAGATGGAGGCAGCGGCTTGGCACTGGGGAAGCAGGTGCAGGGTGAGGGGCTGGATGAAGGACCCCAGCTCCGCACGGGGGCTCAGGGGATGCTCCCTCCCCCAGTGCTCAGCCCTCTGCGGTGGCGGTGTCCAGCGGCGCCTGGTGAGCTGTGTCAACATGCAGACGGGGCTGCCCGAGGAGGACAGTGACCAGTGCAGCCATGAGGCCTGGCCTGAGAGCTCGCGGCCGTGCGGCACCCAGGACTGCATACCCTTTGTGCCGCTCAGTGAGTGCCTGACCATGCTGGGGCGGAGGGGTTCATTGCCCTGTTGTCCCTGGCCCCTCTCAAGACGCTGCCCCTGGGCCTCAGGTGGCAGCTTCCTCCTGGCCAGTCCTGGTCCTACCCTGTTCTGCCCACCTCAAGGCAGAGGTGTGCCAGGGTCAGACTCAGCCCTGGGCTCTCCCGGCAAAGAGCGGCTGGAGGCGCTTGGCGGCTTCGCTTCTGCCCACCTTTCCATCCTCCCCTCCCACAACTGTGAGGTTTGGGGTCTTCTGGGAAGAGCTGCCCTGGCTGATTGGGGCTTTAGGTGGTCACTGGTCCCAGAGTGGCCACAGCCCAGCCACACTCCCGCTCACCAGGCTCTGACCTAGAACCAGGAGGTGTTGGGCCCCAGGGTTCCAGGAGTCTGCATGGAGACAGGCTGGGGCTGACACTAGCTGTGGGGATGGGAGGCCGGGAGGCAGCTGGGCGGCCTTGGGCCTTGAAAACTCCGGATGTTTGCACAGTTTGTGGCAGGACATCTGGAAACTCCAGGGCGTGAGGTCACACGGAGGTGGTGACACAGCAGGGTCACGACCCTGTGCCCTGGGTGTTGGCATGGAAGAGGAGCCACTGGCTGTGGGGGCCTCAGGGTGTTCAAAGCTACCGGGGAGGGGCGGGGTGAGCAGTGAGCGAGGCGTGGACGGCAGCCAGCCAAGCCACTTCCCAAAGCAGCCCAGAGCAGGGCAGGCTTGACCTGGCCAGCACAGCCCGTGGCTGGCGCCCCAGGGGCTTGCAGGACTCCCAGTGCTGGGTTTTCAGGGCCAGGGATGACAAGGGTAGTTGATCCCCTCCAGAAATGGGAACCCCCTTGGACGGCTCTTGAGGGCCCTGACCTGTCCCCACACAGACTGCGAGCGGGACCGCTTGGTCTTCAGCGCCTGTGAGATGCTGCGGCTGCTTGGCCGCTGCCAGCTGCCCACCGTGCGCACCCAGTGCTGCCGCACCTGCCGCCTGGATGACTTTAGCGACCTGGCCCGCGGCCACCAGCGGGCTGCCCGCCGCTGACTGCCACTTGACTCCAGACCAGCCAGACCTCAGCCCCCGCCCCGGCCACGGGGGCCCTCACCTGATGGTGCTGACCCGGGCCCCTCCCCCAGAAAAGGTATTTTTTTTTCTATTTTCATGTTCTCATCCATAAAGGCCTGTGTCTCCACGAAACTCCACTTCCTGGGTGGGAGACTCCGCTTAGAGGGGCTGGCCAGAACCCTGCACCCAAGGACATGCCATACCCAGCCCGGCCCTGCCCACCTCTAGGGTCCGGGAAGCCAGGGAGACACTTGGTTTTAGCCTCTGTGCTATTCCGATGGGGACAGTCTGAGCTGCCAGTCGTGACTCAGGCGGGCGGGGCTGCTCCAGACAAATATGGGCTCCCAGGGGCCCCCACCCCAGACGTACTCCTGGGGCCCCTCCTGGTGGTAACTGCATCTCCAGCCAGAACGTTACACAAATTAGTTTATTTGTCTTTTACTATGACAACTCAGACTTTAGCTTGCAGGGCAGCACAGAGGCTGCAGTGACATGGATATGGCCCTGACCACCCGTGGTCAAGTCGGGGAGTGTCCCTTTGGGCACTGGGCCAGCACCAGGCACAGCACCCAAGGCCCCCAGGACAAGAGCTGCCACCCTGCACTGTGGCATGGCAGGGAAGGAGCAGCGGGCAGCATCCCGGGGCACTGGCCACTGCAGGCACATGCAGTCTAGAAAAACCTTGGTATAAAAGCCTATAAAAATAGAAACTGTAATGAAAATGTACAAAAGTATGAACACATCAGGCCCTTGCCTGCCCCAGGGCCTTGGGGAATGACCTTTGATGGGTTGCTGGAGTAGCTGGCTCTGTCCCGTCTCTGCTGCCCGTGCCTTCCAGAGGGGAGCCCCCCGCCCCAGAAGTGCTTCTGCCTTCTCATGGACATGGCTGACGCTCAGACACCCAGAGCCCCGGACCCTCTCAGCCAGCCACTCTGTCTCTGCCAAGGCAGTGTTCCAGCCCCCTGGGGGGCCTCCTGAGCCCCTCAGGATGTCTGCATCACCTGGCAGAGGCTCTGGCCAAAGATAGGCCACTGCCTCCCCATGGGAAATTCCACTGATACACTGACTGGGACCCAGGAGCTCGGTCCACCGGTGCCTCGGACTGTCCAGAAGCCAACAAGTTACTGACGCCCCTAGAGGGGCCTGCATGCCATCGGTCCTTCTCTTTGGCTGAGGCCACACGGCCCATGCTGATCTTTTCACAGTCAGAGAAGCCCTCAACAGAGAGGAGAGCCAGAGCCAGGGTACAAGGACCTGGCCGTGCTCAGTGCCTCTGGAGACTAGAGGGCCGGGTGCCACAATGGCGAGGGCTGCCTCTGCAGGAGCCATAGGAAGCACTGTGCCCAGCCCTCGCCAGAGCCAGCTGGGGGGCTACTGCTGGGAGTCCCACAGCCTGCATGCCCCTTAGGGACACACCATTCTGGATCTAGAAGCTGTTTTGAAGTGGACAGGTTGACCTTTCTGAGGAGGCCTGCCTCTGCCCTGGAATCCTCGTGCTAAGCAGTGTTGGGGTACATGGACCCCACCACCATCCAGCCTTATAGTTCGCAGCCTGGAAGACGTGTGCACAGGTCACAGAAACGGCTAGCTGGTCACTCACCAGCTGGTTGGAAATGGCTTGAGCAGAGCAGAGCCCCTGCAGGATGGGCAGCGCCTCTGGGCCCCTGCGGTGAGGTGGGGGCTCAGGTATCCTCCTCATCACTGACCAGCTCCCCCTTGTTGGGGCTGGCGTCCCGCTCCCTCACAAAGTCTTCCCGGATGGCTTCCAGCTCTGTAAGCTCCAGCCGCACCTTCTCCAGGTGGTAGGCGCGCCGGTTCCGGATCTGCCGCAGTGGGAAGGGGTTCAGATCCCCGAATGAGATGCTGATCAGCTTCCTGTAGTGAGAAACAGCATCAGCACGGCCACCGCACGCGGCACAGCTGTCCCCCCTCTCCGCTACCCTCAGGCCTGTGCCCATGCTCATGCCCACGGAAGGTGCCTGACCACATCTGCACTGGAACTGCTGCCTGGCTTTCTGGCTGGCACCGGAGTCCGGTGGCTGACCACCAGCTGATGATGTGCATGGCATTAAAGGGGCCCCAGGCCATGCCACCACCAGGCTCCTGGGACAGAGCTGGGCAATGTCCTGTTTCTTGGAGTTGCCCTGAAGAACTCCTTTCTCTGGACCCAAGAAGATGTGGGGGGGCGGAGGCGGCTCCCACAGACTCACCCACCACATTGACACAGGTCGACCCTGAAGCAGTGACCAGAGCTGCCCGCCAGGTGGCAGTGCAGGGCACACGGGGTGGTGGGTCTGTGTCCTGCTATCTGCAGAGCTCAGGCATGCGTGGCTAGGTGTGCCCCAAACACTACAGGGGTGACTCCCAAACAGGGAACAGCCCCCAAACCAAAATAAAAAGTGCACTTTCCTTAAAAGGACTAAGTATGGCCCGCCTTTCAACGGATGGCCCAACCAAGGCCTACCGCAGAGCATACTGTTCTGGTCCAGAGTGCTCTGGCTCTGGGGTGGGGCGACCCCTCGCCTCTCCTGCTTCTCACCTGGTGCTCTGCTCCAAGAGGAACACAGTGCCCCACACTGCCCAAACCAGGCCCCCACCTGCTGCCCCACAGGTGACAACATTGGCCCTACTGGCTTCTCCCATCCCCTAGGTTCTGACCATTGACCCTGGCAGCTGGCTCATCTCCAGGCACCAGACAGAAAGTCTCTGGGCCATGAGCCTCTCTGGGACTTACGTGTCCTCAGTATCACTTCATGCCTCTCACACAGCTGAGGTGCTGGCTTGAGGGCAGCTATAGACTGCAGTGTCCCTTGCTTGAGTCGGGCACCCCGGCCTGCTCCCCCCATTGCTAGAAACTCCAAGGAGGCCCTGAAAGGCCAGAGACCCCCTGTCCACCTCTGCCCAGACTCACCGGGCATCCAAGACAGTACGGGTGAAGGAGCGGAGATACTTGAAGATGGCCATGGGCTCCTGCAGCCTCAGCACCTCCTCTTCCTTGTACTTGAAGAGCGCCAGGGCAAATCGGAATATCACCTGGGGGGTCGGGGGGGCACCACCCGTGTGAGCAGACAAGGTGGGGGCGGATTCCAGGCCATGAGACCCTTTCTTAAAGCAATTGCCTGCAGGAAACTGCAGCTAGCTCGTGGGGCCCTCCTTGCCCTGCCGGCTGTGTTAGTCAAGGGTGAGGAGAAATCAGTCTTTGCTCAAACCAGGTCTTTGCTCAGACACTCTCAGCCGAGCCCCCCAGACCCCAGGCAGCTTCTGCAACAAAGCCCTGGGCCTGGGGGGCTATAGCTGAGACAGATTCTGGGGCTTCAGCAGACCATGGCAGACAGACACTGGCACAGGAGGAAGCACTGGGGGCTGGAGAGAATCCCTAATGGTCATCAAACATCAGAGCAGTGTGTGCCGGGCCATGGAGGGCACAGACCTGCCCGGATACACAGGGTGCCTGGGCCGGCGGCGGGGCAGAGCAGCCCCAACCACAAAACCCAGCACCCCCTGGTCTGCCCCACGGGTGCAGCACCTAGAGGAAGGCCACTCCCTAGGTTAGGGAGGAGCCAGACAGCCCTCCTCCAGCCCAGGAGAGGTCACAGTGCACTGGGGACGTTTGGGTGCCCTCTGGAGGGCTGGACACCTGCATGCGCTCCCACCCGAAGCAGACTTGCATGCAGATGCCTCCAGGAGCTCAGAGGGCTGAGCCATGTTTTACACGTGGGATACTCAGGTTCGAGCCCCCAAACTGCCAGTCTGTCGAGCACTACCTGGTGGCTGTGTGGAAGCCCTGTTGACCAGACCTTTATATCCTCTCAACAAATGTGGGAGGTGGGGGTATCCTGCTGTTTGTGTGACAGGATGAGTGTAAGTCTGGAAAGGCCACACAAGGTCTTGCGTGGTCTCCTAGGCAGTGTTCAGGAGGCCTGGAGCTATTTCCCAGAGATTCTGGGCCAAGTAGCATCTGTTGGTGTGAGGGCGCAAGGATGCAGTGACGCTTTCCCCAGCAGTCTCAGGGGTCACAAGGCCACAGCCTAGTGCTGGGGCTGCACATGGTCCAAGGGGAAGCTTGGGGACTGGCATGTGGGGATGAGCTATGTCCCAACCAGAGGTGCCGGGCTGGCCTGCAAATGCTCAGGAGAGAGGAGCCCGAGTGCCCCACTCACCCAGGCACCCACCTTGGGCCCCTCGTAGAGGAATGAGTCCCAAATCTTGAAGAGCACATCACTGACGACACTGTCCACGAACACCACCAGGAACCAGTTGAAGGTGATGAGTGTGTAGTCGACCTGGTGTTGCTCCAGGTGTGCGTGCACACGGGGCAACTTCTCACTCATGAGGTCCCTGAACACCCGCTGGTCCACCTGCATGGCAGGAAGGAGTGGGTCAGTACCGGCTCAGGGTGGACCAGCCATGGGTGGGCATGTACTCACAAGACACGCAACAAGGCACGTGCCCAGCACATGCAAACTACTTGGGCTTAGGAACCCCCGCAGGCCTGGCCTGCTCTGACACGTCCGGGTTTCCCAGGCGCCTCTGTGCACTCCCACCACTCCTGGAACCCACACACCACACACACCCGATCCTGGCTGGTCTCCAGGAGGGCGATGGACCACTGGCATCTGTATGGGGCAGCACAGCCTGCGGCCAGGCCACTCTCAGGCTCTGCCTCATTCGCTGAGTCCTCTCATACCTGTGACCCTAAGAGAGTCTTCGTGTAGTAGTCCCGGGGCATGAACACCTCCACGATGGTGACCAGGCACCAGAAAGCATCTTCCTGGTCCAGGTAAAGGAGAGCCACTGCTGCCAACCTGCAGGTAGAACACGTGGGTGGGGAGGGATGAGCACGGGGGAGGGGCAGGAGAGCGACACAACAGAAGCAGCAGAGGATGGGAGGAAGTGGCAGGAAGTGGCTGTCCGGCCCGCCACCAGGGCCCTGCAGGTCACTGCGCTCAGCCCTTGTCAAAACGTGATTTTTTTCTCTTTTTTGGGGTCATACCTGGCAGTGCTCAGGGGTTACTCCTGGCTCTGCACTCAGGGATTACTCCTGGCGGAGCTTGGGGAACAATATGGGGTGCTGGGGATTAAACCCAGATTGGCTGCATGCAAGGCAAATGCCCTCCGCTCTGTCCTATCACTCCCGCCCATATGATTTTCCCCCTTCAAGAAATCCCATGAGCTTCTCTGAAAAAAAAAAAAAAGAAAAGAAAGCCAAAACCCGAGGGCTGCTGTGAGTGGAATGCGGAAGAGAAAGGTGGAAAAACCAAGGGACAGGGACAGCGAGGAGCAGGGCAGAGACCAAAGCCCGAGGTCAAATACAGCATGAGGATGCAGGCTCACATGGAGTGAGCACAGGACTCTGTCCCCTGGACTTCGCCCAGGAAAGTACAAAGGGGCAAATCCAATGAGAGGGTCTCTCTGGTCAGAGGCGCAAAGGAGACAGACCAGCTCAGCGGCCAGAAACACAGGGTGGAGCATAAGAGGTGGGGCAATGTGGACCCACCGGGTCTGCGGACCAGGGGCATTCCTGGCCTCTGGGAAGGGGGGCACATCTGCAGGGAGATCCTGGGCTGGGAGGTGCCCAGTTTGGTGCTTGGAGCATGAGCCCCACTAGCTGAGGCCCTCCTGCCCGTGAGAGCCCGCTACACTCGAGGGGTGGCATGTGAGGGTAGAGGAAGCAGCTTCTGGTGCTTTCCGAGTAGGGGCCAACGTCCGAGCTGGCAGGGCCCTGCTCCTCCCTCTCGATGTGTGGGAGCTTCCTGTGCTTCCAGGAGACGGCCGAGGGGAGGACCAGCTGGGCATGCACGTGCCCATACAGCACAGACCTGCAGGGCCACAGAGGCCTGGGCGGCAGCACGTACCGGTTCAGGCCCTGGCAGTAGCCGATGTCGGGGTTGCGCCAGGAGAAGGCCAGCAGGACGTTGCGCAGGCGCTGGACGCCGTCGGATGTGGGGCCCGCGTAGTGCTTGTTGTTGGGCAGTGTGCGCAGCAGGTCCAGCTCGATCTGTTTGGAGGCCGGGTTCTGCCGTGCCAGCGCCTTCTCCAGCAGCGACTGGAAGTAGCCGGGCTCGGCACTATCCTTGAACTTGCGTGCATGCAGGTCCACGCACCACTTCCACACCTTGGGGCGGTGTTCATGCGGGATGCCCGCGCGGATCAGGCCCTTCAGCTCCGGGCAGCAGGCCATCTCCCGGTTGACAGTGCTCGCCAGGAAGTTCTCCCACTTCACCCCCGTGGACACCTCCTGGGTCTCCGTTAGGTGTAGCGTCTTCAGGTCCAGGGCTCGCACCCTGGCCACCAGCTTCTCCTCCTCGTCATCCTCGGGGACAGTCCTGAATCCATAAATGTCATACTCGCTGCGAAGAGAAGTGCCGGACTCTGAGACACTCAGTCACAGAGTCAAGAATGGGGATCCCACCCTGACCTCCTCCTCAGTGTGGGAGGGGCCAGGTCTGGCTCTGTCCTCCCTAGACCCCACAAAGCCCTGTTCTGGATGGCTGCAGGCCCAAAGCGTGATGACAGGCAGAGAGGAGGCAGCAGCGCTGATCAGCCGTGGCCCAGAGCTGCAGCCACCCCTATACGAACAGCTGAGCACAGGCCAGGCAGGGGCAGAGACTGAGCCGGCCACATTCATAGATGCAGCAGTGCTGGATGTGAGCACCTGCATGGGCTAAGACCAGTGTCAGCCCCCCAAAATATGTGCACAGGGGGCAGAGTGAAGGCAGAGTGCCTGATGGGGCGCCCTGCTGGTTCCCACTTCTGTGCACAGGCATGGGGACAAGGGAGCGGAGCGGCACTTGCTGGCCCTGGGAGACAGGTGACCAGTGTCAGAGTCAACCCGATCATTTCAGGAACTGATGCTAACAGGCGCCTGTGCATGAAAAGTGTCGCTGTCCCCAAACACTTGCAGAGGAGCTGAGAGGTGAGAGGGCAGGAAAGCTGGGGGAGCTGCCTGCAGCCCTCACTAGGTCTGGTGCGGGAAGGGGCTGGTCAGGCACTATTGTGCAGGACTGCTGTGCTTCGGGGCTGCTCGCTGCAAACTCACCTGACCAGGGGCGGTTTGAGGAGGGCTTGCTCTGGCTGCTCGGGGCCGTCCACCTGCAGGGCATCCTCCAGCAACTGTGCGATGACCTCACGGGCAGGCCCAGGCCCCTCCGAGCAGACGGGCGTCCTTACTTCCTGGAGCAGGATGAGGTACTTGCTCTCGATCTGGCAGAGTTTGGCCTCCAGGCTGGAGTACTGTGGAGAGTTGGGGGGTCAGAGCCCAGCGAGTGGAGGGTGACCAGCCCCCCTGTTCCAGACATGTTCAAGGCAGGCAGCCTCAGCTAGAGATGGACAGGGAGGGGACAGAAGCTGCGGACTTCCCCCACGCCTGGGGGAACAAGGAACAGTGAGAGCTGCTGGTGCCTTGCAGTCTGCAAAGCCCTCTGCAGCCACACTCACGTCACTGTCCACAAACCACACACTCTCCCCAAAGGCCTCAGGGTACTCAGAGGTTTAATGTGAGCAACGGCTCTTGGGGTGGACAAGGTGGTGCTGGTATTTCTGTCGCGTCCCCACAGCTCTGCCCTCAAGCCCACCCCTGCACTGTGGGGGCGATGGATAGGCCCCAGGCTCTGGCCCAGGAAACACACCAGACGCACCTTGGCCATCAGGTCCCTCTCTCTCCTTTCTGCATTTCTCCGCAGAGCCGAGAGCTCAAGAATTTCCTTATTCAGAAATTTATTTTGGGTTTTATAGCCCTGCAGACTGTCCTGTGGAGAGAAAAGCAGGCGCTCTGGTTGGCTGCGCTGTCCAGTGTGCGTTCTGCAGACCCTGAGTGGCATCTGGGAGCTACGACCGCGCCCCACCACCAACCCCTAGTGCTACCCGGACACCAGGTCCTCGTGCCATTTGGACAGAGATACACAGAGGATGCGGGTTCCCAGGTCTGAACACATGACTGGTGGCAAGGACAAGATGGGGTGTCTGCCACTGTCCTGCTTCTCTCAGGGTGCCCCTGCCTCATGGCGCTGGGCACTGGTACTGATGTCAGATGGACTGGCCTCGTCCCAGCAACGCTGCCATTTCTTGACTGCTAGGATGCTCTCCCCCGGCTTCTAACCTGCCCAACACTCACCCCGGAGGCACTGTGTGGCAGGCCTGAACCAGCCTGACCAGGACCCACCTCACCCCTGCCCTCAGGGACATGCCTGTGGACAAGACAGCTCTGCAAGGTGCAGGGACCAGGCTTGCCAGGGGCACGGAAAGTGACAGTGTGTCTCCCAGGCCAGGACCAGGGCTACTTCACCAGAAGATTCTCTGACTCAGACAGAAGCCCTACCACTATGCACTGGGCCTCGTGGGCTGTGGAGAGCCCTGGCCAGGAGCCCCTGGCCATAGCAGCTTCATTTTTTCCTTGGGTTCAGCCTGCGAGAGCTGGCCGGCTAGACAGGATGCAGCCAGGCCCAGCAGGTCTACAGTGGCCGAGGCAGTGGGGGAGTGGAAGCCAGCCCTGCTGAAGGCAGTGACCCCACACAGGGATGGACCAGCCCTGGGACTGAATTAGGCTCCAGGATGCTCGCTGAGGGGACGCTCATCTGAGGGAGGGTGCTGTGGTCACGACAGCAGAGCTACAGGGGCACGGCAGGGACTCAAGGGCCCAGCTCCAGCTGACCTTCAGCCGGTCCAGCTCCAGCAGGTCCTTGTCGGGGCCCGACGGGGAGCTGGGAGGTACGCTGGGAGCGGCGTTGTCCTCGCTGAGCTGCCGCGACAGCTTGATGATGACCTCGTCCTTGGCCTGGATGGTCTCCAGCAGCATGCCCAGCCGCTCGCTGAGCTCGCCCACCTTATGCTTCAGTGTCCGCACCTCCAGCTGCTGGCTCTCCTTCTCAGCGCCCAGCCGCTCCAGCTGCCCGGCCAGGCCCAGGATCTGCGCGTCCTTCTGGTGCAGGAGCTCCAGGGAGCCCTGCGGGACACCCTCGCACAGCTGGCTGCTCGTGAAGTACTTGTCATATTGGGAGGAGCGCAGAGTCTGCTGCAGTAGCCGCACCAGTTCCTGGAGGGGGGCAGGGAGGGCAGCGCTGGGGGAGGGGAGCGGAAACACTCCCGGCTCGGCTCCACGGGGAGCGGCTGCGGGAATCTGCGGAAATGCTGAAACCCAACTGAAAAGGCTTACAGCCAACTTCCTCTTGCGAGAGAGGGGAGAGGTGAGGAGGGGGGACAGTGAACAGGAAGCCGATCTGATCTGCAGTGTCCAGGTCTGAGGGGAGGCGTGGGGGGTCAGTGTCAGAGCACCGGCCCCACTGTCCTCTCGGCACCACAGAAAGGAAAAGACCGGGACAAGGGCAGGAGAGCAGGTGGGCAACATAGGGCTTGCAAGGGGGTGGGGGGGAGGGAGGCCCGGCCCGGCCCGGAGGCCAGGGGGTAGCAGGTACCTTCTGGCTGGAGAGCTCTTTCTTCAGCTGCACCAGCTCCTCCTGTAGACTCTGCATGTCGGTGCTGCCTGTGGGCCCCTCAACGGCCGGTTCGCTGCTGCCGCTGCCGCTGCCGCTGCCGCTGCCGCTGCCCTGCCGGCTTCTGTACAACCCAATCATGTCTCTCATGGGGCGCTTTGCTTTGGAGGGAAGACGCCCCAGATCAAAGGGGAAGCTGGTAACTCCTACGCGAAAACAAAACAAAACTGGCTCTTCCCTTCGCAAGCCATGCAGGCCCCTGGATGGCAGGCTGCGAGGACGCGGTGCTCCCTGGGAGAATCCAGGCTCAGCACCTGCTCCTGACTCAGGTACACAGGGGTCAGGAGGGACGCCAGGGAGCACCCCCAGCTGCCTCCCAGGCACCCCAAAGGCGCACAGGGTTCCTATGGCTGAGGACTCGCCTGACTTCTATTTTTCTTTTGCTTGGGGGCCACACCCAGCTGTGCTAAGGACTTCCTATTGTCCCTGCGCTCAGGGATCACTCCTGGCCAGCTGGGGGGACTCTATGTGGTGCAGTGGATCGAACCCAGTTGGCTGCGTGCAAGGCAAATGCCCTCCTAGCTGTGCCCCCTCACCTAACTTCTTAGATCTGCCTGAGGGCAAAACTCTCCATTTACAACTCCTCAGTTATAAACACAGGGGAAGTGTGACCATGTTCTCGCCCCAGACCACGGGAGTACAAACGAAGGACTTGCATCTCCAGGAGACTCAAAAGCAGACAGACAAGACCCTCCCCTGCAGAGGGGGCATTGGGCAGCAGCCGTGCCGTCCAGGCTTCTACCTTTGTTCCCTTCAGGCATCGGGCGTCTCCGCTCCTCGGTGACCACCAGAGACTCCTCCAGCTCCTTGGGGCTGGGGTCCAGGATCTCCCACTCCTCATTGGTGTAAAACACGCTCTTGCGCCCATCGCTGTGGCCTCTTCCAGGTCGCAGAGAAGACATGGAATTTCTGTTGGGAAAAGGAGCTGTGTGCTAGCCAGGCAGCGGACACGGGCTATACCTGCAAGAACCACATGCTCCATCCGTGGGGTCCCTGTGAGTGACACCAACTATAGGACCCACGGGAAAAAGAAAGGTGACCAGGAGATGCTGCTGGAGGAGTGTCTGTCGAGTGAAAGGAGACTGGGATGGGCAAGTCCTGAGGAAACAGATGCATGCAGGAGAGAACTGGAAGAGCTGGTGGACAGAATGGGACACTTGCTAATCACTGGGGTGGGGGTGCCCTGCTAGAGTGAAAGAGAATATTCTGGATCAGCTGTGGTCATGATGGCCTGCTGCATGCACAGCTTAATATGTTTTTTAATTTCTTGGTTTTTGTTTTTGTTTTTTGGACCACAGCTGGCAGTGCTCAGGGATTATTCCTAGGTCTGCACTCAGGAGTTATTCCTGGCGGTACTCAGGAGATCATAAGTGATACTGGAGATCAAACCCAGAGAGGCAGCCTGCAAGGCAAATGCCCCCCTGCTTCGGCATAATAATGAGTTGTTTTTAGTTTAGGTTTTTTTTTTGGGGGGGGGGGGCAATTCCCAGCCATGTTCAGGGCTTACTCCTGACTCTGCATTCAGGTATCACTCCTGGTGGACTCAGGGGACCATATGGGGTGCTGGGGATGGACCCTGGCCCCTCCAGCTGTGCTATTGCTCGGGTCCCTGGGTGTCTATTTTAACTGACTGAGCAGCACAGCATGCAACTGGCATCTTGGCAGCATTTCCCCAGAGAAATACCCAGGGACCCTCCCTCCCAACAGACCTGGCTCCTCCCAGGATGCTGCTCTGCGTCGGAGGAGACAGGAAGCTGGGCCTGAGTGTGGAGCATTTCGGCCATGCAGGCCTGCCCCTGACTGCAGCACGGCTGGCCTGTTCCCAGAAACTGCCTAAGTCCAGCTCCCTCTCACCTGAGCTCTGTGCCCCACTGCCTCAGAGAGAAATTGATGGAGCTGGGATGCGTGGGGACGGCCGTGCACTCGCCCACCAGCCCTCCCGGAGCCGTTTCCATAGCGAGGACGTTTCTGGCCTTCTCTGCAGAAGTGTCTGGATGAGGGAACACCGAGTCTAAAGGAAGAGCAAGGAAATGTGGATCATTGGAAGCTTTGGCAGAAACTTCACAAACAATGATGGGTTCCCTGAATAAAACCAAAACTGGGGGGTGGGGCAGGCCAGAGTGATAGCCTAGTGGGGAGGGCACTTGCCTTGTACACAGCCAATCTGGGTTCAATCCCCTGCACCCCCGCTCTGGGCCCCCAAGGACTGTCAAGAATAAGTCCTGAATACCACTGAGTGTAGCCCAAAAAACAAAGAAAAAAAAACCTTTTAGAGGGAGGAGGCCCGGCAGAGGGGTGCTGTCCCCTCTTCCCGTCTGAACACTTAGCAGCAGCCCTTTCCCTCATGGACTCAAATAGCCGGCAAAGAGCACAGATTTCCTTGGATATGGAACACTGACCCACGTGCTTTCCACACCGCACCTGGCCAGGGCTGCCCAGATGTGGGAGTGGCCAAGCCCAGGACAAAGTGGGTCAGTGTCAGTCAGTGTCCTGGGGCCTGAGTGCGCGCCCTCTCCTGTATGCAGCTGGTCTGCCTACGGGGCAGGGTGAGGGCACCATCACCTCCTGTCCACCTGCACATCCTGTCCCACAGCAGGGCCTGTCAGGCATGTGGATCCTGCAGGCTGTCACCGTCCTCATTCTGAGTTTCCCGGCTGAGTGGCCCTCCAGCAAAGGGCAGCCCCATTTCTGGCTCACCTGTGTTGTCTCTGGCCACGAGGCCCGTGGACACGTCGCCGGATGCCGGTGGGGCCCCGTGATCCCCCTTGAGCATGTCCAGGCTGGTGCAGTACTCCCATCGCCTCTGCTGTAGCTCCTGCAGCCAGTGAGCCATGAGCTGGCAGTTCGGAGCCTAGGAATGGAAGACCAGTCATAGACTGGAAGCCTTCCAGCCTTGCCACCCCTGCTCTGGAGAGTGGCCAGGCTGGACCTACTCCTCAAACTCAGACTCATACAGACCCAGGAAGCCCAACTGGTCCAGAGGGTGCCCGCCACAGACATGCATGCAGGACAGGATACACATCACAGGGGAAAGAGCCTTTAACTCAGAGCACAGGTCAGCCCTGGGGATGAGTGAGAAATGGGGCCCAGGGGAGTGTGTGGTCACAGGGATGGGGGACAGAGCACAGGCAGTGCCGGTGTGCGGGACCAGCTCCTCAAAGAGGGAGAGGATGGGGTGACACTCAAGTGGGCAGGGAGGATCAGGGGAGGGGCAGAAGTCAGGCTGCTTGGGGCCGTGAGCCTCTCTGGCATCTGGTGCAGGGGGCAGAAGGTCTGGGTCTACAGCTAGGCAGAACCAGGCACTGGCAGTAGAGTTGGGTGGGGAGGGGCCAAGAAAGGTCACAGCAGCAGAGGCTGAGTCCCCAGGCCCGCCTCCTGCTGGGAGGCCCCCAGCGAGCCCCAGCTCAGAGGCAGGTATGTCTGGTATGTGGGCACACAGATATGTGCACGTGAAAACTGAAGATTATGCACACAAGCTTGCGCATGAACACACATGTGAGGGCACATGTGCAGAGTCTGTATAGGCATGAAGATTCTGAGAGCACACTTGGTGTGTACTTGCATGGGTTCTCTGAATGTGTGACTTGTACATGTGATCACATACATGTGTATGCACTTGCTCCGCCTGACCTGAGGCCTCTGGTTGGGGAGAGACTACAGGGGCTGCCTTCTCACTGCCACGTTCCTATTGCCCTGGTCACTCTCCAGCCTCACAGCAACACATGGTCAGAAATCTGGCTGCCCTCTGAGGCCGGTATGTCTGAGTGAGTCTCAAGAATTTCTAGTTCCGGGCTGGAGAGATAGCACAGCGGATAGGGCATTTGCCTTGCACGCGGCCGACCCGGGTTCGATTCCCAGCATCCCATATGGTCCCCCAAGCACCGCCGGGAGTGATTCCTGAGTGCAAAGCCAGGAGTAACCCCTGAGCATCGCCGGGTGTGACCCAAAAAGCAAAAAAGAAAGAAAAAAGAAAGAAAATAAAAAAAAGTAGGACTGGAGCAATAGTACAGAGAATAAGGCACTGGCTTTGCATGCACCCAAACCAGGTTCGATCCTCGGCATCCCATATGGTCCCCAAAGCACTGGTAGGAACAATTCTTGAGCAGAAAACCTGAAGTAACACCCAAGCACCACCGCGTGTGGCCCCAAAACAAAAACAAAAACCCTTTTCCCATCCCATCTCCAGCACCAAGTTTCAGGAACAGTTAGATTAGTAAATGCTTCATCATGTCTCACGTAATTCCCGGGACAGTCTTTCGATCACATGCTTTCAACATCTGACATGTTATTCATGTCACAGAAATCTAGTCAATAAGGCAGGAAAAAAACTTCCTGGAGACGATGATCAGTTGTTCATTTCCTTTTAAAAACGTCAAGTGGGGCTGGTGTGAACTGGGGTACAGCAGGCGAGGTGACTGCCATGCAGGCACAATCCACAATCCCCAGCACCCCATATGGTCATCTGCTCACCGTCAGGAGTAAGCCCTGAGCACCTGTGGGTGGGGCCCTCAAGACCCAAAAACATTTAAACGAATACAGAAAGCACAGAAGTGCTTGAAGTCTCTGTTCCAAATTCCCAGTAGCAGTAAGTGGTTAGGGAGGGGCCAGTGTGTGTGTGTGGGGTGGGGGGGAGTGTCCGAAGGGGCTCCTGGATGGTGTGGGCAGGGCCACTGGAATCCTGAGGCCCTCCCTCCCTCTGGACCAGAACCCTCCAGATCATAAGACAGTGTGCAGCACTAAACAGTCTGCAGACGTGGCAGAAATCCGGAAAGCCTCGCATTTTCCGTTTGCTGCAGAACTGAGATTTGGCTCTTGGTCTGATCACATGGAGAAACAAACCAGCCTCCTCGTGGCCTGGTCTTGGTCCGACAGATCCAGGCGGTATATATCTGCCTCTGCTACTGTGGCAGCCAACAGACACGGGGCTGTGGGGTCATGCAAGCACATCCCAGCAGGCAGCATGAATGAGACACCCCATAGGGTGCTCCAGAAGGCAGGGGCGCATCGGGAGCACAGGCCTCCACCATCGCCCGCGTCTGTTCCCTAAGCCACACGTCTGATGCTCACAGCATTCCTGGGAATCTGACGTAAGCCCAGGGAGGAAGCAGGAGTGAGAGCTCAGTAGGGCCCGCAGCCAACATGGGGTGGGTGGGAGGCCCTGAAACTCCTGCTCAGGCCAAAGGCTTCCTGCACAGTGACGGCCAGAACCCACCAGAAGAGAAGGAAGGCTGGGCTCACAGCCACGGGCGGGGGGGCACAGACACTGCCAGCTGGAGGCCCTTAGTGCCGGCATGAAAGAGGATTCTGGACACACTGCCCCTTCCCACGTAAGAAATCCTGAGAAACGAAACCTCACTTCCAAAGAGAGGTACCCAACATCTGCAGAAAAGACCATCCAGGGGCCGGAGCGATAGTACAGCGGGTAAGGCGTTTACCTTGCACACAGCTGACCTAGGTTCAATCCCCGGCATCCCATACAGAGCCCCATGCACCATCAAGAGTAATTCCTGAGTGCAGAGCCAGGAGTAACCCCTGAGCACTGCTGGGTGTGAGCAAAAAGCAAAAAAGAAGGAAAGACGATCCAATCTGTCTTGAAGCGCTTTTGAGTATTCTGAGACCAACTGAGGCCTGAGCTCCGCCCCACAAACAGGGTTTCACCAGCTACAGCAATCAAAGCAACATCAGGTGGGGCCAGAGCACAGGAAAGGCGCTGGTTCCATTCCAAGCACCCCATACAGTCCCAAGCATCGCCAGGAGTGATCCTTGAGCAGAGGCAGGAATAATTCCTGAGCACCACTGGGTATGGCTCCCAACAAAAACAAGTAGCACCAAGTGCCAGAGAACCAACGTATCAGGGCGAGCAGAACAACAAAAGGCTGTGAAACCAAACCCGTTAGCACTGGGGCCACCAGCAACAAACCTGAGAACTTAAAGGAGGCATAGAATCCAATTCTAGACGGGAACAAACATCCAGGAAATGACATTAAATGATATTTCTGTCTCTCCTGCTTATTCCTACAGAACGTCAAAGGTCTGGAGGACCAAGCCTACTCATCAGAGCGACATCCAAGCCCCCCAAAGGCTGGTGGAGCCCCTGGAAGCCAGCCAGAGCCCTCAGAGCCCACTGATGAGCTCGAAGAGAGCTGAGTGTGCTTCCAGACATGAGCTGATGCGAGCAGTGCAGGGAGGCACAGCATCAGGCGGGCACCTGGGGGAGTCACCTGCAGCGATGGTCTCGAGATGCAGAGGCTGGAGGGAAGTGGGTCCCTGAGGCGCCTGGCCTAAAAAATTACACAGGGAAGCCCAGAAGCCAATTCTGCTCTGGCAATGGGGCACGAGGGGGGGCAAGCAGGTCCCTGGGACAGCCACTGACAGATGCGGCTACATTCTGAGGCCACACAGGATGAGAGAGAAGCGCTGCCCATGATGGTTGGAGTCCTTGGCTGTTCCTCAAGGACTCACCATCAGTTGCTGCCCCTCAGTCCATCAGCCAAACAGCTCAGGTGAATGTCTGTGACTTCATGTGCTCAAACATCCACTCACACATGTTAACACACAATCACATGCACTTACATGTGCTCACACGTAAACTGCATGCACTCACGTGTGCTCACATTCATACACATACTCACACACTCACCTGTGCCCACTCACACTCACAGGAGCTCATGCCCAATCACACACTCACACATGCACTCACGCACAATCACACCCATCACATTTGCTCACACTCAGAGGCACACACTCACACACAACCCCACCCACACGGATGTCCTCACACACTCACATACCCAATCACCCCACACACATAAATACACACACTAACAGGTGTACTCACAATCACACCCACTCACACACGTTCACATAATCACACCCAACTCACACATGCACCTACACACGATCACACCCACTCAAACACAGTAACACCACTCACACGCACTCACTGGCTCACACACCACTTGCATGCACTTACACCGGCATGCCTTTGCACTCATGTGTCCCACTCCACTCACATGCAGATCTGCACGTTATGCTCACACCTGCTTGTGCATGTGAGAGAGCATCCACCTCTGGGATGGCGTGCCTGGGATGGTGCCAGTGGGGAAGCAGCAGTACTCACTCCCTGGCAAAGGGCAAAGGAGGGAAAGCACTGTTCTTGTCTGGCCCAATCCTGGCACCACTTTACCAGGAGACAGGGCCAGGTCAGGTGCTGCCAGACACGCCCAGTCCCAGCCTTGTCTTGGCCCACAGTGGCTGCCCGTTCCCCAGCCCTGTTGCCTCCTCCAGACCCCCAAGTGGAGGAAGCAAGGCCGACCGAGAAATTCTGAGACTGGCTTCCCCTAAGACTCAAGGCCCCTCATTCTGGAGAGGCGGTAGCCCAGGGCGTGGCAGGGGGCAGCAGAAAAACGCTGAGCACCAGCACCAGGGCTAAAACGCTTAGCCCTCATCCAAAGGAAGGATGCCTAGTGGTACTTGAGAGGGCTCCATCCCCACAAGCCCTCCCCCTGGGCCATTTCAGAAGGCTGCCCCAGCTGTGCCCCTGAATCCCGGTGCCCAGTGGTCCAGAGAGCCTGGACATGCAGGGCCCTCCAAATAACAGTGCTCAGGGGTTCATGCCCCCGTCTCCCCACAACCAAACAGGGGTCAGTGGAACCGAGCACAGACTCTGGGATGATGTAAAACAGGGTCCTGCTTCTAGTACTTCCCCACAAAGCCACAGACACAGCCCGCCTGGCGGGAGACAGTCATGAGGTCTGGGGCTGCCCGGCAGGGCGGGTGGGACTCTCAGGCCTCACTGGGCCTCACTGGGCAGGAGCTGGGCTGCAGGGGACAGGACCTGAGCCTGCCAGGACAGAGGCCCTGCTCCCCACCTAAGCCAACACCAGGGAGGCGGCTGGGAGCCGAGACCAGGCGGGTTCTTCTTCCAGGTTTGGGGGACTCTGCCTTCTGACCCGAGGGCCCCACACCGGCCAGAGCTCTCGCAGGAGGTTCCGAGGCCAGGAAGGATCCGAGTAGCCTCCACCTGTCCACTGCTCCACTGCGACCGGGGGCCGAGAGGTCCTGCCACTTGACCCGAAGCCCGTGGCTGGAGGGCCACCCCTGCACAGGGGTCTCCGATGGGGCCTCCGGGGCAATCGGCCGCCGGAGGGGCCCGGGCCCACGGACCCAGCCACTGCGGCCTAGACCTGGGTCCGGGCCAGGAGCTGCGGAAAGTGCAGACGGCGGCGGACAGGAAGGCGGGGAGGGGCCGGAGGGAGGCGGCGCGCCCACCTTGAGCACCGTGACGCCGTCCGCGCTGTGCACCTGGAAGTGCGCGGGCGGCTCGGCGCCGGGTTCCGCCGCCTCGTCGGGGCCCTGGTAGCTGAAGCAGGCGTCGGCGATGTCCAGGTGGCCGAGGGGCAGCGCGTCCTGGGGGCTCTTGAAGTAGTACAGGTAGCAGCGGCGCGCGTCGAACACGAACCAGCGGCTGCGGTAGCCGCGCAGCGGGCCCTTGCCCGACAGCTTCTGCAGGTACCCGCAGAGCCGCGCGGGGCCCGCGCCCTCGCCGCCGCGCTCCTCGGCCCGCGCCCCGGGCCCCGGCATCGCCCGCCCGCGCGCCGGGCCCGCGCGCCCCCGCCCCGCGCGCCCCGCCCCCGCGCGCCCCCCGCGCGCCCCCGCCCGCCCCCGCAAGGGCGTCTGGGAGCTGTAGTCCCGGCCGGCGCCCGCGCGCGCCCCCGCCCCGCCCCCGCCCCGCGGCTCCACGCAGCCGCCGCCGGCTGCCCCTCGCAGCCCGTCACCGCAGCGGCCCCTCTCCCCCCTCACCCCGTCTCCCGGCGCCTCAGCCTCCCAGGGCGCCTCAGCCTCTCAGAGCGCCTCAGCCTCCCAGGGCGCCTCAGCCTCCCAGAGCCTCAGCCTCCCAGGGCGCCTCAGCCTCTCAGAGCCTCAGCCTCCCAGGGCGCCTCAGCCTCTCAGAGCCTCAGCCTCCCAGGGCGCCTCAGCCTCTCAGAGCCTCAGCCTCCCAGGGCGCCTCAGCCTCTCAGAGCCTCAGCCTCCCAGGGCGCCTCAGCCTCCCAGAGCGCCTCAGCCTCCCAGGGCGCCTCAGCCTCCCAGGGCGCCTCAGCCTCCCAGAGCACCTCAGCCTCTCAGAGCGCCTCAGCCTCCCAGAGCGCCTCAGCCTCTCAGAGCCTCAGCCTCTCAGAGCGCCTCAGCCTCTCAGAGCGCCTCAGCCTCCCAGAGCGCCTCAGCCTCCCAGAGCGCCTCAGCCTCCCAGAGCGCCTCAGCCTCTCAGAGCCTCAGCCTCTCAGAGCGCCTCAGCCTCTCAGAGCGCCTCAGCCTCCCAGAGCGCCTCAGCCTCCCAGAGCGCCTCAGCCTCCCAGAGTGCCTCAGCTTCTCAGAGCCTCAGCCTCCCAGGGCGCCTCGGCCTCTCAGAGCGCCTCAGCCGCCCAGAGCGCCTCAGCCTCCCGGCGCCTCAGCTCAGCGCCTCAGCCCCCGGCGCCTCAGCCCCCGGCACCTCAGCTCCCCTCAGCAGCCTCACAGCCCCTCTGCCCTTCGCGCAGCCCCAAGCTCCGAAGCTCGCCCCCTCCACGCCCCCCCCACCCCGCACCCCCTGCACGCCCCCCGTCCCAGCGGCGCCGCCCCGCCACGTGGCTGCGTGTGACTCGGAGCTGGACCCGCGCCCGGCTGAGGCGTGGCTGTTTCTTCATCGAGTGTTCCACGAGAGGGTTTCCCAAAACCCTGAAGTTGCGTCTCGGAAAATCCGGACTGAGGCAAACTCTTTTCGGCTCTCTGTGTCCCGCGCCCAGATCTCACCGCCCCGGGTGCCTTGCCGCGAGGTGCTGGAACTAGGTTCTCCCAAGCAGGCTCCCCAGTTCTGTGCTCGCAGGCACGACACGGAGCGGGTGCCCGGAAACGCCCACCCCTGGGAGCGAGCCTGCCCTAGCCCGGGGGTGGGGGTGGGGCAAAGCACCCTACGGTGACTCACTGACCATTGGGGAGACTGTTGGTAGGTGCCTGGGAACCCCGTGGAGTGGGAGGAGCTGGGATTGGAGGTGCAGTCTGCCTGAATTCTGTGAAGTGGGGATGTCCTCTCAATCCCAGGGCACAGACCTGAGAGGGTGGGCTGGGGCTGGGAGGACCCCTGGACATGCCCCCACAGGTGGGGCTGCAGTCCAGCCCTGCCCACAGACACAGACACACACACAGGTGGCGCTGTACACACACCCCACCAGGGAACCCCGCCTTGCAGAGCCCAGCTCAAAAGCTGGCATAGCCACTTCCTGGCACCAACAACTACAAGTCTTGCTCTGAAATCCTTGGCGGCGTTTCTGTCCTGATATGCTTGATGTCATTGGCCTTAGTAAACAGTTGTCACTTGCCCTGCGGGTGGAGTGTGAGAAGAAACCCCCAACCAACCATTTGCGGAAATAGCTACCTGTCCTGCATGCTGTGGCTGGCATGTGGTGCACGTTGACTGGAAACTTCATCAGTGTTGGTCTGGCCCTGGTTTGGGGCTTTGAAACCAGCGCATTTCTTAGTGCACAATAGGCTGGTGCTCCAGAATCTAAAGGACAAAACGCAAACCTGCACTGCTCTGGGACGTGGCTGTGAAGCTACAAAAGTCCTGAGAGCAGCAGACTGTAGGGACTCTACTCCTCCCCTACTGGGAAACCCAGTGACCAGAAGGAAGTGGCTGTCCAGGAGGAAGTCACTGCACAGGACACAAGGACATAGTGTTTGCTGAAAAAGGGAAACCAGGCAGCACACTCGCTCCCACCAGGGCAGCCTTCCAGAAAGTCTGAGGATTCCTGACAGTGCTCCTCAATAGCCAGAGCTCCTACCCACCCTCCCCATGCCTCTGGCTGCAGGTTTCCACTGCACAGGGAGGAACAAGATGGCCAGGGGGCAGAGCTGGCTACATTGAGCAGAGACCTACCTCAGGGATTTCTACTTCAGGGAACTCCACATCAGAACCCTCCTCAAGTAATCCACCTCAGGGCCCCGTATCAGAGGATCCACATTAGAGACCTTCACCTCAGGGATCCACCTCAGAGACCCAAACTCAGGGATTCCTACCTCAGAGACCAACTTGGGACCCCCAACTCAGGCACCCATCTCAGGGGACCTACCTCAGAGACTCCACCTTAGGGATATACTTCAGGGACACATCTCAGGAATTGACCTCAGGGACCCACTCTGGACTCATAGACTTACCTCAAGGACCTTCACCTCAGGTACTCACCTCAGATACCCCAACTCAGAGATCCCCACCTCAGAGACCAGAGACTTGGGACCCCCCTACCTCAGGCACCAACCTCAGAGGACCTCCCTCAAAGACCCCATCTCAGGGACCCACCTCATAAACTCACCTTAGGGGGCCCTGCCTCAGGGACCTACTTAGAGACCCTCACCTCAGGGATCCTTACCTCAATGATCCTCACCTCAGGGACCCACCTCAAAGAACACACTTCAGGGACTCACAATAGGGACCCTCACCTCAGGAACTCCACCAGAGGAACCCAACTCAGGCACTCTTACCTCATATCCTCATCTCAGAAACCCACCTCAGGGCCTCTCACTTCAAGAATCCACCTTAGGGGGCTGGAGCAATAGCACAGTAGGTAGGGCATTTGCCTTGCACGCGGCTGACCCAGGTTTGATTCCCAGCATTCCATGTGGTCCCCCGAGCACTGCCAGGAGTAATTCCTGAGTGCATGAACCAGGAGTAACTCCTGTGCATCACCGGGTGTGACCCAAAAAAGCAAAAAAGCAAAAAAAAAAAGAATCCACCTCAGAGAACCTATCTTAGGAACCCCACCTCAAGGAAGGGCTATGGGTGTGTTTTCACAGTCCTGGGTTCTTATGGAATGTGCTAAGGGTGGATTCACAAACAAGGGAGGGGCTCATGGCTCTGGTGAGGTGCCCAGATTCAGTTTCCCCATTTGTAGAGTGACTTTTGTCATATGTGTACCCCCTAGAGCTGCTGGAGGCTTGAAGGAGCTGGGGGGTCCAGTGCTATTCCACTTTCTGCCCAGTTCCAGATCCTCAGTCCTGCGCTAAGCCAGGCGCTTGACCTCATTTCTTTACCAAATGCAGGCAAATCCACACACCTGCACTTGCCTTGGAGGGTAGCTGTCATTGCCGGTCCAGGGCTTACATCAGCGGGATCAGTACCCTGAAGGAGATGGGGGTTGGGCCATAGGTTCCAGGCAGGTGGGACCACTAGGATGCAGAGACTGAGGGGAGCCTCTGTCGAGAGCGCCTCAGACCCCTGTCTATAGGGCCTTGAAGAGTAGGCAGTCTTGACACATGGTACACATGTGTCATTTAGAGGGAAAGCGATTATCCTGCATTCAGCATACATATGTCCAGGGACAGGGGATGGCGCGGGGCGGGTATGCCCTGCACACAGCACATGTGTGTCCTTTGAGGGCACAGGTGACTTCACACAGAAGTGCTGATGTTGGTTCTTCTGTGTATCCACAGTCACTGCACAGGCGATAGTGGACATCCAGCTATGGCAGATGAGCTGGACCTTCAGTAACTGTGTGAGAACTGGGAGGGCTTCTTACATGGAGTCTCATGAGAGGGCCTTCCCCACACCCTGTTCTTTCTATAAAAGCCTCCATTAAGGTTTTGGGGGGTCAGGACACACCTGGCAGTGATGCTCGGCCTGGCTGGACCTTGGACTTGTGAAGCCTGTGTCTACCTTGAGCAACCTCCCCATTCCCTGCACTCACTGACTCATGGGAGTTCTGCCATCCTTTATATGGTAGTACCCAGGTCCCTTAATTCCCAGGGGAATTCAAGGCTGGAGACAGGGTCCTCCTCCTTCTCCTCAGGGGGCTCACTTGAGCCCACTCAGAGTTTCCCTGCGGAGGCCCTTATTTGCCTGGCTTTGGAACATTTTCCCTAGTCTTGCTACACCAGTTGCTGCCCTGGACACAAAACCTTTGTCTTCTTATGCAAATGACCAGGTTCTGTCCATAAATACATCCGGCTTTAAAGGGAGCTGGAGAGAGAAAGTCTCATGGAAAATTCTAGAAACTCTTTTCCTTTGTATTTGAATATTTGCTTGCAGGACCTTGCTTTTGCAGCCACACAAACAGGATCAGACCACGCTTCCCGAGCCACCTTTGTGCCTGGGCTTCTCCCTGGCATCCAGCAGAATTTAAAGATACAAACACGAATGCATGGAAACAAGTTGCCATAGGAACAATTCTGTTGAGGGAACTGGAGAGATAGTACAGTGGGTAGGGTATTTGCCTTGTATGTGGCCAACCCAGGACAATCCCTAGCATCCTATATGACAATCCCTAGCACCCAAGCCTGACAGGAATAACCCCTGAGCACTGCCATGTATGGCTACAAAACAAAACAAAAAAAAGAAGCAAGTCTATTGAGGAAATGTTACCAGAAATCCTATGTGTTTGGCACAGCGTGCTTCCCGGGTTGACACTCACAACCTCTGGCCCACAGGTGCGGGGTGCAGTTGGGGGGCATTCAGCCTGTCTGGTCTTGTCTGTAGAGTTGGAGCTGTGGAAGCAGAAATGGGTGCTGGCCAGGCATCAGGGGCTCCCTGCCTGTCAGTGTGACCCTTCCCCCACATCTCCTGTCAGCCACCATGCCCCCTCAAAGCAGAGCATCAGAGGCTCAGGGACACCTGCCCATGGACACAATGGCCCCTGTGTGCATGGCAGTTGGAGGTGTGGACATAGGCAAATGAGCACAGCACACAGATAAGTGGTGCGGACACCCAGTGCCGCACTCACCGGCATGGAGGGCAGCCAGAGTTCACTCAGCCTGGGCAGGGGACAGCGGGTCTCTGCGGAAAGCCAAGCCATGGCCAACCTGCAGAATCTGGCCCTGCGCTGGTTCATGGAGACACAGGCCTCCCTCATTCTGCAGAATGGAGTCCTGCCCCCCTGGTTCCATGGATTCATCACACGCAAGTAAGTCTGTCCCTGACCCACAGCATGCTCAGCTGAACGCACAGGCTACCGGCCACGGGGTGCCGATGGAGGGTGGGATCTGCCCCTGGGCATGCTGAACTCTGTGCAGGCTGCTCCTGACACTCTCAGGCCGGGTCCTAATGCTGGCATGTGCTCTGCTCAGGGAGACGGAACAGCTGCTCAGGGACAAGTCCCTCGGCTCCTTCCTCATCCGCCTCAGTGACCGGGCCACCGGCTACATCTTGTCCTATAGGTAAGAGCAGAGCTTCTCTCTCTGGAACTGGCCCTGCAGACAAGCATGACCTCCAACCCTGGCCCCTGTGCTCACTCCCCTGCTCTCCATCCAGTGCTCACCAGACTTGTCCTGGGCTGCACTACATTGCTCTGGGCCAGGCACAGGCCATGGCAGAAAGGAGAGGATGGGAGCCAGCCTGGTGGACAGCAGGGATGAGGCCCGGCCAGCACAAACTTGGGGGCAGGTGGAGGAGGAGGGGTTTGCCTGATCAGAGAGGAATCAAGCTTCAAACCACTCCATCTACCCACTTCAGTGTTGGCCGGGAGCAGATGTCCTGTGTCTCTTTGTGCTTCACTTTTCTCAATAATCACTGGGGTTGCAGCAGGACCCAAAACCTAGTATTGTGATGGGCCCCAAGAGTCATCCCAGTGCTTCTTTCTATAGGCCTGGAGCCTTAAGTTCTGGTGTGGGTAAATATTCATTGTGAGAGAAAGAATGACTCATTCTGATACCAGGTTCCTGGGGATCTCAGCTGCCTTGGTCTTTCGAGAATTAGGCATGTTTTCTGTGTAGTCTTGGGTGCAAAGCTGATCTCAGAGACAGAGGAAGGGTGCTCAAGGTGTGGTTAGACATAGTCTCCCCACGTTCTCCAAATTTGCTTCAGGTTCAGAGTAGAGGCACCATGAGAACTCAGAGGGAGAGACTGGCCTTTGACCAAGTGCTAGAGCAGCTGCTTATCCAGATGGGAAAAGGGTCTTCTGCCTCCATCCCACATCCCACACAGAACCCACACCCCACACAGAACCCACATCCCCCACAGAACCCACATTCAATACAGAACCTACATCTCGCCAGAACCCATATCCCACACAGAACATACATCCCACTAGAACCCATTTCTCACACAGAACCCACATCCCATCAGAACCCACATTCCACACAGAACCCACATCCCACACAGAATCCACATCCCACACAGAACCTATATTGAGCAGAAAGTTCATTCTGTGACCACAGCTGAGGGGAAAACAAACAGCACCTTGGGGGCTGGAGAGATGGCACAGCAGGTAGGGCATTTGCCTTGCACGTGGTGGACCTAGATTCGATTCCCAGGGTCCCATATGGTCCCCCAAGCACCGCCAGGAGTAATTCCTGAGTGCAGAGCCAGGAGTTAACCCCTGTGCATCACCAGGTGTGACCAAAAAAAATAAAAATAAAAAAGGGAAAAAAATAGCACCTTTGTAGAAGAGATTCTGGGAAAAACTTAAGTCCTTAGAGACCAAGACTTGCTCAGCAACCCAAAAGCATCAACGTCTAGGGAACCACATAGTTTTAAACAGGCTCCCCTTAAAGCAGGGAGTCTTGTCCATCATGAGACCAGACAGAAATCACCTAGAAGACAAGCTCCTTCCTGGATAGCCATGCCATGCGGAAGACATGGCCTGAGTCAAGCATAAGTAGTGAAGATGGCCCATTATAGGAGAGTCTGAAGACCTTAGGGTGCAAGTTCTGCAGCGTCATCACTGGGGAAATACAAGTGTGAGCCACATGGGGTACAGAGGACAGGGTGGAGAACACAATACCTACTCAGTCCGTGACAGCTTTGGAAGCAACTGGTGCACTTCCTAAGGCCTAGTTTGGGAAACCCAGCCTACCTGGCCTCCTCCTTGGTTCATCCTCAGCTGAGATAAAACACAGTCACAGAGAATGTGCAGATGCTCTCTTTGTAACAGCCTACCTGGAGGTGACCTAACTGCAAAGCTGGAGTGGGAGAAGTGTAGGCTCTTGCCAGTCAATACTGCCCATGGTTGGAAACAAGAGTGACCTCTGCCCAGACACTAATCCATTCCTAGACAAGTTTTGGGTGACCAAAGAGACTAAGGGAAATCAGCATGACCCCATTAAATGAAACTCCGGATGAGCAGACCCGCTCTTGGTGATGGGACACAGGATAGGGCAGGATCTATGTGACAAGTCAGATGGTGGTGGTGGTCAGTGGTAGTGATGGAGGTCAGTGGTGGTGACAGGGGTTAAATAGTGGTGTTGTAGGTTACGTGGTAGTGATGAGGGTCAGGGCTGGCCAGTGGTGGTGAAGAGGGTCACATGGTGGTGTTGTAGGTTACGTGGTAGTGATGAGGGTCAGGGCTGGCCAGCGTTGGTAAAGAGGGTCACGTGGTAGTGATGGGTGTCAGAGGTGGTGATGAGAGTCATAGTGACAGGGTCAGTGGTGGGTGAAGTTGAAGATGTTGGTGTTGATCATGGTGATGGAATCACAGAACGGAAGGGTCATGAGGCATCTTTTGGAAATGTGTTCTGCTTTGCCTGGGGTTACGTGTGGAAACCCACTGATAGGCAAGCCCCCTTTCACAGAAGGAGGGATGCATCAACAGATCCAGGACAGCTGTGCTAAGTCAACCTCATCTTTCAGACCTTCATGTTTTATTTCTCGTGGAGTTAGGGGCCTGAGTCCAAGTTCTGGACTCCAAGTTGCCCTGATTCTACTTCTGTGGAAAGCTGTGTCCCTCCATTAGGCCCCTGCAGCTGCTTTGTGCTTCGGGCGTCCCCCGAAGCCAGACTTGAGTGAATCACAGGCACTCTGGGGGGCAGCAGCAGGGCTGCGGAGCGGGTGATCTTGTCTCTCCTGCTAACATACCTGTGCTACAGGGGCCGTGACCGCTGCCGCCACTTCCTTATCAACCAGCTCCCCAACCGGCGCTACCTTATCTCAGGGGACGTCCAGAGCCATGGCACACTGGCCGAGCTGCTGAGCCACTACCAGCAGGTGCAGCTGGAGCCCTTCGGGGAGACCCTGGCTGCAGCCTGCCCCCGGGTAGGTAACCTTCTGCCCAAAGCCCCACTGCTAAACACCCCTTATCCTGGCTCCTCTGCTTGCAGCCCCCAAGCATTCGGTGCAGAATCAGGCACCCTTTGAAGAGGAGAGACTGGGATGGGGTAGCAGTGGAACCCCAGTCCTTCCCAGCCATCTGGGGGCACCAGGAACTAGCCAGGGTGTGACCACATGTCCTGTGCCCTCACTCCCAGGAGGAGGATGGTGAACTATATGATGCCATCTCCCTGGGACTCCAGCAAACCAGCGCCCTGGCCACAGTGCCCCTCCCGGTGGCCCCTGAACAGGCCTCCAGTCCTAGGACATCTCCAAAGCCCCAGGATTCCTTTCTCCATGGGAAGAAGAGCCCAGAGAGGCAGGGGCATATCCCTATGGAGGAAGACGTGCAGGTAAGGATCCTGGGCCCTGGGGCAGGCTGGCGGTCTGGAGTGTGGGTATTGACCTGGTGAGGTATCTGGCGACCACCTGGCCACACCCAGTGGAGCATCATAGGCTCAGTCTGAAGTTCCTGTGGGCCAGTGCTCCATTGCTCCCAGCTCATGTCAGGAGCCATTGTGTGGGAAGAGCAAAGGGACCACAGAGCAGGACTGCATGGTCCCCTGTGCTCATCTGGCAGCCCCTGGGCTGTGGAGGCCAGCTGGTATGAGATACTGAGTGGAGCAGAGACACCTGCCTCATTGTGCCGTGCCCAGGGCTTTTCACAAAAGTCAGAGCTCTGGGACCTGCGTTTTCCCACCTAATCACACATCTTGTCTTAGGGACCATGTGGCATCACATGGCAGTGCAGAGAGTGGCTGAACCACATCCCACACCATATCCCACGCTGTCCCATACCACACCCTACACCACCACATCCCACACCACATCTCACACCACATCTCACACAACACACCATATCCCATGGCATCGGATTTACAGTAGTTCCATTGTCAGCACCCCTGAGAGCTGTGCAATTGCACACAGTTACTGGCACCTCTGGTGCTCAAATGCCTGCTGGGTTAGCAGAGGTGGGCTCAAGGGCCACCTGGGAGAGCACAGGCAGAATGTGTGTGGGAGAGATGGATCAAGATGGCCTTAGAAAATTAAAAAAGAAGATGGCCTTAGAGACCTGGGTGGGAGATGGGAGCCTGAACCAAGCAACCAATGCCTGTGGCTGGAAGTTGGATAAACTGAGGCAAGGACAGGGCCCTGCTTGTCTTGAGACTGTAGGTTCACTGAGAGCCTGATGGGGGTAGCTCTCAAAGGGTCCCCCATTGTTGCAGGTCCCCAACAAGGTGCCACCCCTCCCCGAGCGCAGTGCCTCCCTTCTGGACAAGTCCCAGGGAGGCCCTAACGACATCGTCTACGCAGACCTGAGGAAAACCAAGCAGACTCCAGGAGGCCTGAACACCGAGGTGTCTGGCCGACTCACACCAGTCCCAAGCCAGGAAGCCCCGCAGAGACTCTCAGATGCAACTCCTGGTCCCCAAGGCCTCTTTCTGGCACCCAGTGCTGTGGCCCCAGGGATCTCCATCTTATCCTGGAGTCAGAGTTCTCAGCCCAGCTCACCCAATGGCGCTGCAGACACCTTCGAGGCCATCAGCTCCACCAGCCTTGCTGACAAGACCAGGCCCCAGCAAGGGGATGGCAGCACCTATGAGTCTATCCAGGTCTGCTGGGGGGGCCCAGCATGGAGTCCCCTACGGAGAGGCTCAGGGCCACTGGACTACAGCTATGATAGAATCTCAGGGGGCCCTGGGCCCCTGGATCCTGGAAACACCTATGAGCAGATCCCAGCAGCCAGAAACAAGGACCCTGGACGGGCCCAGAAGGTGGGTATGTGGGCCGGGGGGTGTGGGCAATGTGGGGCCTGTGATGGTGGCAGGTGGGATGGAATGCATAGTAGGTTGTGGTGAGGTGGGGTGTGTGGAATGGTGTGTACTGTGTGGTGTGATATGAGGTATGTGACACGGTGTGAAGTGGGGTGTGTGGTATGATTTGAGGTGGGGTAATGTAAATGTAGGTGGGATGTGGTGTGAGGTGTGGTATGTAGTGTGTGGAATGGTGTGAGGCGGGTACGTAGCGTGTGGTGTGGTATGAGGGGAGGTGTATTGTGTGTGGTAGGGTGTACGGTGGGATGTGTGGTGGGTGTGAGGTGGGGTGTATGATGGGGTGTGTTGTGTGCTGTGAGGTGGGGTGTGAGGTGGAGCGTGTGGTATTGTGTGGTGTGGTGGTATGAGGTGGGTCCGTGGTATGGGGTGGGGTGAAGTGGGGTGTGTGGTGTGGGGTAGGGTGTGTGGTGTGGGATAGGATGGGGTGTGGTGTGGTTGTGGCATGGGGTATGGGGTAGAATGTGTGATGTGGTGTGTGGTGTTGGGGTGGGGTGGGGTGTAGTGAAGCGTGAAGTGGGTTGTGTGTGGTGATTTGAGGAAGCTCTGAGGCAGCTCGGGGACTGGGAAGGAATCGAGGCTCCTGGGACTCGGAGGCCCCTCTTCAGTCTCTGCACCAGTGCCCACCTGCTGGAGCCCACAGGGAGAGGCCATCCCGAAGTTCCTGGGGTACCAGGAAGAGACAAGTTCAGCTGGAAGGCCACCGTGAAGCTCAGGAGGTTGGGGCCCCTGTTCCCGGTCCCTGCCTATGGGGTTCTACTGTCACTGTCACTGTCCTCGCGTTGTTCATCCATTTGCTCAAGCGGGCCCAGTAACGTCTCCATTGTGAGACTTGTTGTTACTGTTTTTGGCATATTGAATACGTCATGGGGAGCTTGCCAGGCTTTGCATGCGGGCAGATACTCTCAGTAGCTCTCCAAGAGGGGCGGAGGAATTGAACCCAGGTCGGTTGGGTTGGCCGCGTGTAAGGCAAACGCCCTACCACTGTGCTATTGCTCCAGCCCCACGATGTTATCCTTGTCCCTGTGTGTCCCATACTCTGCCGCCAAAGGGCACAGCATTTCCCCCCCACCCCCCACCACAACTGCAGGCACTGGGATGCCACTGGGCCCTTCCTTAGCTCAGCCCAGCCCCTAGGTCTGCGTTGGTGGCCCTCAGCCCAGACACCCCAGCCTTGGCTCCAGCATTTTCTCCCCTTTTGCAGCCCGAGAAGCTCCGAAAGATGTTCTTCACCGACAAGAAGCCCAGAGCCTGAGGTGGGCCTGGATGCCGCCCTTGGGACGCTCCATCGGGCTCTGTGGGGGCACCAGGAAGCCTCAGTCCAAACAGGCTGCTCTGGAGACAGGCCGCACTCTCATTCAGCAGCTTCAGGCCGCGGCCACCCATCCCCATGCCTGGTGTCCTATCCTAGGTCGGGGGTGGGGCGCAGGGAAAGGACAGGGCAGGGATCACACCCCATTTTCAAGATGAGTGCAGGAGTGGAGCCGGGGTGGGTGGGTGGGGGGGGCTGACAGCATCCCTCATCGACACCTCCTGGGGGGAGGCCAGTCCCCAGCTGATTAGCAGACACTGGCCACTGCATCTTGCAGGAAGCACTCAGCAAGAAGCACTCTGGGGTGAGGGGAACAGTTAGCCACCCCTTCCCGTCCTCCTGTTCCTGAGGGGGTGCAGCACTCATCTGCCCCCTGCCAGGCTCTATCCCAAGGTTTGGATCCCAATGTGACCCCAAGGCCAGCTTCGAAATAAAGGTCAGTGCTGATGCGGTGCTCGGCCCCGGGAGCCTGTCCAGCTGAGACAGAGCAGGGAGAAAACGGCTTTACTGCAGGAACTGGGGTCTGGACAGGGACGGGGTCCCCTATCACGGCGGGGGGGAATAGCTTGGTCTGGGGGAAGCCTCTTGTTCCCTGACACATCCTGGCTGCTTTTTGCCCTGGGCCCAGCACCTGGACAGGTTAGCACCTGCCCCTTGCCAGGAGTGACCTGGAGTGCAAGGCAGGGTTGCGGGAGGTTCTGGGGCCAGATCCTGAGTCTGGGAAGGGCCCTGTCCCCACCTCCTTCCCTGGTTAAGGACTTTTTTGCTCAAAGGGCTGAGGAAATGTCCATGAGTATACTCCCACACCACAGTCTCTTTCTGGGGATCCAGTGAGCACTGCCGAGCGGGAAGCTGGGCTTTTGGGTCGAGTCCTCAGATCCGGATGTGGAAGGTGCTGGAAAGAAAGGAGGGGGGGATTAGGCAGCCTGGCAGTGCCCTGCCTCACAGCTCCCCCGGGCAGGTTCTGGTACCCAGCAGTAACCCCTGGGAAGGACAGGCACCAGGCCACACCTGAGGAAGTCGGGGGCCTTGGCGATCATATCCTCAAAGTCAGCAAAGCCCAGCTTGCCATCCCCATCCAGGTCGGCCTCCTCAATGACCTTGTCACACACCATCACCACCTCGTCCTCATCCAGCTCCGACTTGGTGAGCCGAGCCAATGTCCGCTCCAGGTCCTCCTTGCAGATGAAGTTGTCAGTGTTGAAGTCTGGGGATGAGCGGAGTGCTTAGCCGGGCAGCTCCTGCCAGGCCCTGCCCAGCCCCTGTGCACATCGGTGGCCTTGGGGACGCTGCTGCCCTGCACAGGCAGCCCCTGCCGCTACACAAAGGCACCCCACACCACCTACTCAACAGCGGCATCCCTAGCTACCACACTCACAGGCAGCCCTCACCATCACACTCGTGAGCGCCCAGGCCTCCTGCTTCCTTCTCGCACCACCCCATTACCATAAATCTTGAAGGCATAGCTGGCTTTGAGGTCTCGGGGTGCTGACTCGCAGAGCACTGAGAACATGTCTACAAAGTCGTTGAAGGTGAGATTGCCGTCGCCTTCCTCGGAGAATGCCTCCACGATCCGCTCCTTGAAGGGGTTCTCCTGGGGGACCGTGTGCAGGTGAGAGGCACCAAGAAGTGCCCCTGCACCCATCCTGGTGTTCACAGAGGGGGCTGGAACCTCTGCGGGCAGGAGCTGGTGGGCAGCAGGCCGTGTGCTGTGGGCATGTCCCCAGACTGTCCAGGATCTGGGAGTACCGTGCACCCATGCCCCTGAGCCTGGTGCAGAGGGTCCATGCCAAGATCAGGCTCACTGCTGTCCCTCAGGAAAGAGGTCAGAGTGGAGCCTCCTGGGTACATGGGCAGCTGTGGCTGAGCTGCAGGGAGGCTCCTTTCAGGCTGGCCACTCTGCCATGCATGCCAGGGGAGGCCGGGAGAGCCACTGCCCCCCCCCCCCCGAAGGGCCTAAGGACCAGAGCAGCAGTTTGCTGGAAAGTCTTGAAACTGATCTGAGCATTGCCCTGTGGGCTGGGTACCCAGAACTCCTGGGACACACAGGGCTGAAAACCTCTGAGGTCATCGCCCGGCCAACACCCAGAGTAGGGGAGCAGGCAGCAGTGATCCCCACCCCCAGAGAGGGTGCCCCTCATAGTGTCATGCAGATAAGAACAGTGAGGTGGGTTCCACCTGTTTGGCCACACAGCCTCTGTGCTCCTACCCCATCCTGCCTCACCTGGTCTGCTGCCCTTGGCCCTGGACTCTCCCATGACCCCCGTACCCGCAGCTCAGGCATCTGGATGATAAGGCTCATGGGCACGTGCACAATCGGGCTCTTCCTGTAGTCCATGGGCACGAGGTTGGGGGCCAGCTCATAGAAGCGTGCGTGCAACCTGGGAGGGACAGAGAGAGTCCCCCATCAGCCTCCTATACCTGGCTGCAGAACCCAGCAGGTCGAGGGAGGGGAGGACCTGTGTCCTGAACTGAGCGTCTCCCCACCCATCCTATTTCCCACTTCTTTTCCTTTCCCACAGGGTTCTTGGGGCAGCTGCTTTGAGCTGCCCCCACATATGAGTTCCCCATCAAACTCGCAAATGAGGCCTAAAGAGAATAATTGGCCAGAAAGTTTTTAAGGAAAACCCATGGAGAGTTGGAAAAACCCAATCCGGGAGAAAAACTCCAGAAACTGTTGAACACTCTCCCTGTTAGCTCAGGCGTCACATGTTAGTCCTGCCATAGGTGTTTTCAGTGATAAGATGGTGAAGTCGGGACTGGCACAGCCCAGGGCACAGTTCCCCCTCCCACCTCTGAGGAGCACAGTCTGGTGGGGGCATGAGGAGGTGGCCCAACTCTGACTGAGGAGGGGTCTGATCGGGGGCTGTGTTGCTGTTTCTGACTGGGTCAGGAGCACGCCCATCCTGGCTGCTCAGGTTCCCTCAGGATAGCCCTTGGGGCATGTCTGTCCATGCCTGTTTGTGGGCTCCTGGGCTGAGCTGTAGGGGCTGGGGGATGGACAAGGAACCTGCAGGGAGCCAGGACCCCCACAGTGTCCCACCTGCTCGGGCCCTCATGAGCCCCTCAAAGGAGATGTGGGGCCACTGTGGTTGGGATAAGATTGGCAGAGTGGACAGGCACACACAGCCTAGCCGGGCAGTGCCAAGGCAGGGGTCCATACCAAGGTACTGTGGGCTTTGAAAGGAGGTGCCAGCTGTGTTTCTTGCTCCCTGGGCCCCTGTCTCAGTGGACCCCACCTCACGCTCACACCAGCTACACATAGAACCTCTGCAAACCCCTCACAGGGTCCCTGCCCCCATCTCGCAGAAGACTTGCAGCTCTGCAGAACTTGGAGTTCGATGGGGCTGAGCCCTGGTCTGCCAACCCTTGACCCACCATCTGTGGTGGCAGCCAGCAGGGTCCCCACCACTGAACAGAGTACAGGGGGATCCCAGCAGCAAGGCTGGGCCAGCTCTGCCCCCTGCCCAGGACGTGATCGGACACCGGCTGTGCGGCTGCCGCCACCTGATACCCAGGTTGGCCGACATGGCTTGAGGCAGGTTTTCTGGTATCTGTGAGTCCTGCCCACCATCTGCTCCTGGGCTCAGGGCCTGCAGCCATGTGACCCAAAGCCCTCCCCATGCCCGTTGACAGTCACACTTACTTGAGAATGTCCTTCTTGTTGAAGAAGGTGCAGTCCTGCAGAGGGAAGCACGGTGCTGTGTGGTCTTGCTCACTCCTGTCCTCCAGGGGAGTTGGGGGGCGGGGCAGAGGGGGACAGTCACCTTGCTCCTGCTGGGACTTGGGACAGCAGCACGGAGTAGGAACTGTCCACCTTTGTCCTGACCAGGGCATGGGTACATAGTGGGTGCACATTTCCTGGGAACTTGTCCAGGTTCTGAGCCCATGGTAGGCTGAGGGGATGGTCTGGGCCCCGTAGTGCTCAGGTCCTCAGAGTCTGTGCCCTTCATCTACAGAGTGGGACAGCCCTTAGCAGAATTGAGGGACCAAGGCTGTCTGCCTCATGCAGCATCTGCTCCCCATGTGTCTGCCCCCATCTGCTTACTGGCCTGCAGTCTCCAGGCCCTCAGCATCCCCCATAGGGACAGTCGTCAGGTGCAGGTCCTAGCTCAGAGACATGAGGGTGGGTAGGGGCTTGGAGCTATAGTACAGCAGGGAGGGCATTTGTCTTGCACACGGCAGACCCGGGTTCGATCCCCGGCATCCCATATGTTCCCCTACACACTGCCAGGAGTAATTCCTGTGTGTAGATCCAGGAGTAACCCCTGAGCATCACCAGGTGTGGCCCAAAAAACAAAAGAAACATGAGGGTGGGCTGGGGAGCAATGAGTTGGGGTAGGCACGTGGACCCCCATCCTCTGTGTGTCCACGGCCTCCCTGGGCCTGGTCACACCCTTCAGGTCACGGCTGGTATGGCTCTTCACTGAGCAATGTTCAGCCAGCCTGGGACAGAAATGGGCAAGTGTGGGTCACTATCAAGGATGGGGATATACATCCTGGGCCCCAAGCACTCCATGGGGTTGAGACTGGGTGAGGTAAAGGTGCAGACAGGTGATGAACACAGAGTCAGGGTATCCCAGTGTGCCTGGAAGATGGGGCCTAGGGGAGGAGACAAAAAGGCAGTGAAGGCCAGTCAGTCTGGACCTCCCCACTCAAGCCACTTTTGGCCATGAACAAGGGAAATGCACTTCTTTGTCCTCAAAGGCTCCTTTATTTCAAAGAAAACTGGGTGGGGGGCCAGTACTCAGGGAATCTGGAGGGCGCCTTTTGTGACAGTCAACCAGATGGTTCAAAGCTCAGGCCCAGTGGAGATCACCCGGGGGGGGGCCATATGGTGGCCAGTCTAGGGCCGTGAGCTGCCCCCGGCCCTGTCCATGGGTTCTTTCTACAGCCGGTTCCAACTTTCAGGACACTCATCTGTGCTGTCTGTTCAAAGAAAGAGGAAGGAATGGGGAAGGCGGTATTGGGGGAAAAGGGGCACCAAGAGGTCCCAGGGTGGGAGTGTGGGGACTGCAGGGGATAGGCAGGGGTGTAGGAGGGGGGAGGCTTGCAGGCCTGAGTTCTACAAAGTCGGGCCCTCCTTAGGGTTGGGAGGGCTCATGTGTAGAAGGCAATCCCACTGGAACTTGGGGACTGGGCAGGGTCCCTGGGTTCACAGGGCGGTGGCTGTCACTCAGGGCCACCCAGTCAGCCACTGGCCTTCGGGAGCCGGTAGAGTCAGGGAAGAAGACCGAAGCTCTCAGGTTTCTCGGCCTCTTGGCTCCACTCTGCCTGGCAGATCAGAACCCAGACCTGGGCCGGCTCCCAGGGAAACCCAATGCAGCGGGTCTGAGGGCCCCCAGTTCTGTTCTGCTGAACTGCAGCCTCCTCCTGCTGTACCTGCACAGGGCACCTTCAGCTGCATCAGTCCTGCACCCAAAGTCAGAACAAAGACCCTTCTCCCCTGCTCTCATGCCACCGCCTGCCCAGAGCCACTGAGGCCTGAAGCCAAAGGAATGCCCCCGTGTACAAGGTGGTCTGAGCCATTGTTGGGACTCCCAACACAAAATGGGGGGCTCATTCATCTGCTCTCTGTAACACTGCCCATATGCTCTCTGTAACACTGCTATGAGCACAGGGAGACCACCCAGTGCCGGCCCCTCCACCCTCAGGTGACAGGGCCAAACCCTGCTGTGAGGAGGCCCGAGAGGGAAGCTCCTCCTTCAGCCCTGCTCCTCATAGCCCTACTTCCACCCCACCTGAAACCTGGCCAGGGAAGGCACTGGGGGGCGCCCACTGAGCCCCTGTACAAAGAACACAGCGATGGGGTGTATGGGTGTGTGTGGGTGGGGAGCCAGGGCTGGAGAGGGCCAGGAGCTGTGAGCAGGTCTGGGGACCCTGCCCGGCAGAGTTTCCAGGACCCTGATGGGGAGGGACAGTTCCTGAAGGGAAAGGGGAGCTGAGAGGGGCGGTGAGGGTCTGCCACCTCTCCCGTCAGTTTCAATACGGGGGAGCATGAAAGACCCTAAGATGAACAGGAGCACTTGGGGACGGTGCAGCTTACGATAGGACCCGAGCCAGGCCCTCTCTGCTGGCTCCATCCCCAGCGCCGAAGGGGCAAGACCGCCCCCACCCCACCCCACGGGAAAGTGAGGCTGGGCCCAAGGTCATGCTCGCGTCAGCTGTGCTGGCAGCTCCCTCGAGGCCGGGACAGGGCGCAGGGCGGGCGCGCTTACCTGGTAATTGTCCAGCTGCTCCTCGGTGAATATGGTCTGCTTGTTCCCCATGGCCGCCGCGTCCCCGCCCGCACCGCGGCCGGCTCAGCTCAGCGGGCAGCGTCCACCAGCCAGCCCCGCCGCCCCGCCCGGCACCGCGCCGCTGAGCCCCCGCCCCAACGCAGGCCCCGCCCCAACGCAGGCCCCGCCCCAATGTGCCCGCGCCCCAATACAGACCCCGCCCCAGTGCGGACCCCCGCCCAATGTGCCCGCACCCCAATGCAGACCCCGCCCCAATGCAGGCCCCGCCCCAATGTGCCCGCGCCCCAACGCAGGCCCCGCCCCAACGCAGGCCCCGCCCCAATGTGCCCGCGCCCCAATGCAGACCCCGCCCCAATGCGGACCCCCGCCCAATGTGCCCGCACCCCAATGCAGACCCCGCCCCAATGTGCCCTCGACCCTGTCGCCCCCGCCCCGCTGTCGCCCCCTTTCGAGGTGCACGTCCTGCCCCTGTCACCCTCGCTCTAAAGCAGGCCCCGCCCCGCTCTGCCTGCTCCCTGCAGTGCCCCCCGCGTCGCCCACCCAGTGTCGGCCCCGCCCCAGCGTCGGCCCCGCCCCTGTCGCCCCTCCACCGCTCAGGCCCCGCCTCCGTCGCGCTCACGCAACCAGGTGCACGCCCCGTCCCACATGCAGGTCGCCCACCACCCGCCTCACGTGAGGCCCCGCCCATATTCAGACCCCGCCCACACATGTCACGCCCCACACGAGGCTCCGCCCATATCCCGGGCCCGCCCTCTTGCAGGCCCAGCCCCTGAGGCTCCGCCCATATCCCGGGCCCGCCCTCTTGCAGGCCAAGCCCCTGAGGCTCCGCCCATATCCCGGGCCCGCCCGCTTGCAGGCCCAGCCCCTGAGGCCCCGCCCACATAAGGCTCCGCCCACGTGCCGGCCCCGCCCCTCGTCATCCTGCCTCGCGTGAAGGACCCTCCCCTTATCAGGTGCCCATTTGCCGCTCACTGTCATTGCGGTCCCACAGGGCAGCTAGCTCGTCGGGATGTAGCGGGCTGGTAGCGGCAACGGGGTGGACCTGGACGCTGATGGGACGGGCATGGGCGGGACTAACTCTTAAAGGAAAGTGAGTGAGGCCGGGAAGCTGGCAGGTGGCGGGGACAAGGGGCGGAGCGTAAGAGCGGCGCTATCCAACAGGTCTGGTGCTGCAGCCCGAGTCTGCAGGTGGCCACTGTGCTGGGGACAGCCGTAGTTGAAGCGGGCAGACAGATTCGAGTGCAGTATGGGGCGCACTTGACTTGGGCCGGGACGTCAGTGAGGAGCAGAGGTGAAAGAGGCGACCTTGGCAAGCCTGTCTCTTAGGGGCCTCCCCAGGGAAGGGCAGGGGTCAGTGGTAAGGCCCTCTGGGGCCCCGCCCTCTCGAACTGTTGACTGGGAAGCCCATCTGGCCTTTGACCTGCCAAGGCAGGGTCTCTCAGGCCTTCTGGGTCCCTCTGGGAGGACGACAGGATTAGCTGGCCTTTGTGTCCTTGATGCAAACGCAAGACTGAAAAGAATTTAAGAGATTTACTGTGTCCAGAGAAGTGTGACAAAGGCCAGAACATTTTCTGGGGCAAAAGCCATCCAGCTCAGCAAATAGAGCCTCCCATTAGATATCTAGACCTTCACCTGTGTCATTTCAGAAGTCCAGAAGTGTGTTCCATTCCACAGATGTGCTAACTCAACTGAGACTGCAAAATGTACAGTTTGTGTCATCCCTGAGAGCAATAGATCTTGTTGGCCTGCAGGAGGTCAGACAGAGAAGAAGCAGGGCATCTCTCTGAACCCAGTCTGGCATGGAGCTCTCCATTATGAGCAAGACACTTTCCCATGGGCTGTGGAAGTCTGGTGGCATGTTATTTTCCCATCTCCAAATGATCTGCCCAAGGTCACACACTGGTTGGTAACTGGATTCACATCTGGTGATACTGTCCTGCCCACAGTGTAAGAGCTGAGAACCTGCAGTCACATCCGACTAAAGACATCCTAGACCTTCTTTCACAGCCTTGTAAACACCATGAGTAGGGGCCAGGGCGGTGGTGGGAATTTCTCAAGTTTTATATTTGTGAGTCTGATCAGACACTCCTATTTGATATGACCTGAGCCTGAACACTGGCCTTTTGATTTCAGTGATTTTCCACTGGCATGGTTTTGATGTAATGCTCAACTTCCAGAACTGTGACTGGTGCAGGAATGGATTGACTAGGTGAAAGAGCATGAGTGCTCCACAGCCCTTGAGATTTGTTGCTGAACTGCTTTCTAAAAAAGGGCTAAGCAGTGGAAAAGGTCAGCCATGAAGTGCAGCCATTCCACCAGAGTCAGATATACGGGATTCCAGCATTTTAATACTTCCTAATAAAAGGGGAAACATGTTCATTAAATTTTCACATGCACTTGATGGCTTTTAAAGCTGGAATTTCCCCAAACATCTTTGTTGTTTCTTTAGCTGTGAAGAGGTTGTTCTAATACAGTGTTCTTCAACCTGTCTACACCGAGAACCGGCACCAATCTGCAAACTGGTGAAGACCATAACTCTACAGTTATTTACTAAAGCCCTAATATTTAGGAAATAAGTAGAAAGCCATTTAATTTTGTGAAATTTTTCTTTCAAAAACAGAGTGGTTATTTGGTAACAATGATATTCTATCTTGCTAGCTTCTTTCTAGAGTGTCATTTTGATCAAAACATCTCCTCAACATGAAGTCCCAAACTAGAATAGGACACACCCAAGCCAAAGCACAGCTTCCAGACTCCACTCCTAAAGATCATTTCCCCTGTGAGGTACGCCCATGCTTGTGAAGTTGTCTCTGGACACTGCCATGTACAAGGAACAGAGATGGCACCCAAAGGGCTTGTCCAGAGGCCTGCATCCAGAGACACCAGAAGCTTTGGAGCCTGAGGACGGACACGGGGAATAGATTGCAGATGGAGGTTCTTGTCCCTGAGTATCTTATTTATGTTTTGGGGGGTGAGTTCACACCTGGTAGTGGGAAGGAGCTAGCTACTTTGGGATCAGTGCTTGGGGAGGAGTTCTTGGCAGTGCATGGGGGGACATAACAGTGCTGGGGGGTAAACCTGGAATTCCTGCACACCAGCCACCTACAATCTTTTGAGTCACCCTTGCCCCCAATTGTCTCAGAACTGTGCCTGCAACTTCAGGGGGCAGGGAGTCCCTTGTTAAGACGGCTGGAAAGGAAATTTGAGGTCCCTTACAGTCTTGAGAATCTGAGTTTTGACAGTTCCACAGGTCCCTGCCCCAAGGACCTGTGCTGACTGTCCTCGGGCCCAGCTCAGTCTCCATCCCCGCTCTGCGCACAGCAGTCCTCCCCTCCTCCCCGACCCACAAACTGCGGAGGTGGCACCAGTCTCCACCTTTCCTCTTGCAGCAGGGCGCAGGCAGGCTCATGGGGTCTTTGCTGCTGGGTAGGGAACTTGGGGAGGCCCTGTCGAATGCACCAATGCGAGGATGCTGAAAGTTTCTCCGGGACAGGGGCTCCGAGGCTCTGGGGGGTGGCGTGACCCTTCCACAACGGGTGCGCGGGATACTACCATCCCTCATGGGGCGCCAGTCCCTTGGCCAACTCTCAGGAAGACACAGTAGGGAGTCTCGGCAGGCGGGCGTGCGCCAGGGCCGGCGAACGCGGACCCAGAGCGGTCCGCGCACGCGCGCGGCGCCGGGGCCGGCAGGAGGCGGAGCTTCCGGAAAGGCGCCCCCCGGCTTCCGGGTGCGCGGCGCGCTCCGCTTGCATCACGTCAGGACGCGCTCTGCTATTGGCGGCGCCGGCGCGGAGGCGGGCCGGGGCGGGCCGGGGGCGGGGCGCACGGCTGCGCAGTGCTGTCCCCGCTGTCGCCGCGGTCAGAGGGACGCGATGGCCGGGCCCGCGTGGATCTCCAAGGTGAGCGGCGCGGACAGGGCGGGCGGCCGCGGGCCGGGCGGCGGCAGAGTCGGTGCCGCCTCGGTCCTCGCGCGCGGGGCCGGTGCTCGCCCCCGGCGGTGTCCGGGCGGGGTCGGCGTCAAGGTCACGACGGGGCGCGGCCGGAGCGAGTGGGGAGTCAGGGCGCCAAGTGCCCCAGGACCTGGGCTCTCGGCACCCCCGGGTGCCCAGCAGCACCCTGAGCCCACCCGGGCCCGCAGCACCCTGAGCCCCGGGCGCTTCCGGCTGCGCGCAGGAGCTGCGCGGCTTCCCCGGTGAGGGAATCCCGGGCCTCCTGCTGCCGGGGTTCCCCTTGGAGCCCGGCCCGCGTGCTGGCAGCTGTGTCCCCTCCAAAGGGCACCCGGCGCCGCCGCCGCGCACCTTCCAGTTGCAACCCGAGCTCGGGAGGGCGGGGCCGGCGTCCGGGAAACCTGGAGGGGCCCAGGCCGCGCCCCTGCCCGGCACCGGGGTCCGCACCGGGCTCAAGGTCACACCGGAAGCGGGTTCCCCACGTGGAGGGGGACCCCGGGCTGCCCCTGCTCTCTGTCCCATGATGCCTGTGCCATGGCCAAGGTCACACGAATCACCGGTGCAGGAGCAGGAAGCTCGGAAGTCTCTTGTGACTTTGAAGGAGTGGTCCCCAAAGATGTGCCATAAGCGATTTAATGTCTCTCTGCTTTTTCTCTCCTGTGTTTTGAGATTAAAGGGCGGCCCAAATACTCTTTCCGGTAAGAAATTGTTCGGGGATTGCCTTCTTCCCCCCCACTCCCAACCTGTCCCTTAGCCCAGGACGTAGAGATCCCCATCCACCGGTGGCAGCCAAGCCCTTTGTACTCGACGCCCTAGAGAAGTCTTCACGTGGCAGGGGTTGAGCTGGAGCAGAAGAGCCTCAGAGGCTAATGCTCGCTTTGAGAGGTGCTGATCCAGATGTGGGCTCCGGTCAATTTCTCTCTTGGGGTCCATTCAGGGCTTAACTTAATCACTTAACTTCCCGTTAGTCGTCAATTTGCTCGAGCGGGCGCCAGTAACGTCTCCATTTGTCCCTGTCGCGTGCTAGTGTAGCCCAATAGCATCTGTTCGCTCCGGGAATATGAAGAGCCTCAAACCGATCGTTCATGATCTTGACGAAGAAGTCTGACCACATTCAGGGCTTTATTTGAGAAAATGTGTAAGCAGTTTTGGGACGCCTTTTATCTTTCTA